TTTACATTTTGAATGGTCATTCAATTCTTTTCTTTTAATTTTTAATTTTAAATTTTAAAATTTTTTTTTCTTTGACTGTATTTATTGGAGTAAATTATTGTATGGAAATTGCAAAATTTTGTAAAAAATCAAAATTAAACGAACTATCTAATTAAATTTGACTGTATTATAAACTTTACTTATAGTGGTACTGTAATGATTAAAGTTATTACAGTTTGATTTAAAACTTGTCAATTATTAGACTGTCTGTGTAATTTTGTGAACAAATAAGTATTCAATTATCGATATAATCAAAATTTCATTACTAAATTTCAATTTTAAGTTTTGATTAAAAACCATAACAATCCTATATAATAATAAAGTCTCTTACGACTATAATAGTAAAATATTAAAGTATAAAAATCAAAGTTGGATTAATCGTTTGATAGATTCCCATTTCTGATGACGTAACAGCAATTAGTTGGAGGTCAATGAATGTGAATTATCGTTTGACTTGCTGCAAAATTGGCGGCAATTGTAATGTATAGGTAAGTTTAACTCATTGCCGCTTCATTTATCCAATGCATGCATTACATCATCCATGCATGCACATGCATGCATCTTGAAATATAATTAACTTTCATAAATTAGTGAAGTTTTTATCTGATGGATTTATTTTTGCAGATTAGATATCCGTCCAGCATGACAGGTAATAATAGATTTATATTATTAGATAAATAAACATATAAGTAAAGAATTTGAATTAAAAAAAAAGTTGAATAAATTAATTATAAATAGATAAATAAATAATAAATAAAATAATTAAGAGAAATATTTTCAAAAAAAAAAAGGACAATAATAGAATCGTTTAAATGGCCGAATTTTTTTCTTTTTTTTGATTTTTTAAAATTCATATTCTTTTATTTGTAATTTTGCAGAAATATTGCTGTAATCTATTTCGAATACTACTTTTTTTTTTTGAATAACCGCAATGATTTATTTTAAAATGAATCAAGCATTCTTGAACTATTATCTATTGCTTTACCTTAATATCTTTCTCTCCTTTCTCTCTTTTTTTTTTTTTTCTTTCAAAGAGAAACAGTTTAAATAATGCCTATGAAAATAATTTTCATTTCATTTTTCATTTTGAAAATTTCTGCAAGCAACAATTCTTGATTTGCTCATGTGATCGTAATATTGAAATAAGTGTAAATGATGAAAAAGAAAAGAAAGTGAAGAATAAAGATGTGAAAATGATAGTTGGTTGACCTGATATTTTATGTCTCATAAGTTTTGCTTTTTCTCATCTATAGATCAGTTCATCCTCATTTACGCGCTATTTCCGTAACACCTGCGAGTATGGGTAACGTCTGGTGAAACATTTGTTGAACAGTGGTGAGCGTTTTAGTTTTTAGCTTCCTCAACAGTTGCTTTCATTATCATTAGATCATCATTTGTGCATAAGATTTCAAAATTTTATAGACATATTGTATTCTTCTTTCTTTTCTGGAAGGTTTTTTTTTCCTTTTTTGAAAAGCATTTAATCATTTCAAAATGAAAAAGGAACATTTGCATATCATAAATTAAGCAAATAGTTTATATTTTTGTTTTGTAATTTTCAAAAATTCAATAATGCTGCATTTGACCTAATTTTCAAATTATTTTTTGCATTATTATTATTTCACTGTTAGTTTTAAATTAGCATTTGCTACTACAATTTATCAGTTGTGAAATGTGAAAAATTTTTTAAATTTAAGCATTCTGTTTTACTTTAATTATTATTACTTTAAAGTCATTCTTAATTCAGTAACAATTCAAATGTAATTGCATGCAGCATGCACTTAGCACTTAATTGAAGCATTTCAGCTATTGTGCAAAATTATGAGGTTATGCGTTCATAGATACATATCAAACTACAAAATATCCAACCTTCTTCACACCTTATCCATCCATTTAATTGTTGCTAATAATATAGTACGTTGCTTGTTTAAGGATCCAATTTCCAACTTGTTACATACATATGACACCCTACTGAGACATTTGCACATACTGAACTATTGCGCCAACAGTTCTTATAAATAAATCCAAGAACATCAAAATGCTACACGATAGTAATCATTAAATCACATTTTTTTCTTTCTTTTGTTTAAACACTTGCATTGAGGGTAAATTTTTAACAATAAATATAAATTAAGAAGAAAAGATCAAAGAAGCATTATCTTAATAATTACAAAAAATTAATCTCAATACATTAACTGTTTATTTATTTATTCCTTTTTTAAATGAAAAAGCAAAAAAAAAAAAAGAAAAAACGGGACAAATATTTTCAGAAAAATTTCCTTTTTTTCTTTTGAGTACAGTAAATTCATTGATCTTTTCTTTATCTTAATTTTTATTTAATTATTCATCTTGGAAATTTGTTACTCAAACAATATATTTAAAAAAAAAAAAAAAAAAAGTTCATCAGCTGCTTTAATGATAAATCAACAGTAACTTTATAGGGACAGCTGTGGCAAATTCAATCATAGTTATTTCAAATGTATGTGTATGTGTGTATTTATATGTATGTATGTGTATGTGGGTATATGAGTATATCAGCAACGGGTACACAAACATGTTTCTATTTTAATTTAAATTATTTTGAAACAGATGTGCATGTATATGAGTATGTACCTGTGCATGTATGTGTACGTGTACGCACAAATGTGTGTACACGTGTACGTACGTGTCTTTATCTGTGTTATTGAAAATTTTAAGGAAATATCTGATAATAATTTAAAGTTTTGACCATTTACAGATGTTTTCAAATAAATGTTTTTTGTTAAATTTTTCCTTTTTGTGATAAATAATTTTACTTTCGTTAATTTTTTATTTGTGTAATTTTATTATATATTTACAATATTAATGACAAAAAAGAATGAGAAAAAAATGGTAAATATACACTTATGAAATTTATAGAAATCAATATTTTGCGCCTTATTTAAATTCAAATATGATTTTTTGTTTTTGCTTCTTTTTTTTGATGGATATTTAAAAATATTCCAAATTTTAATCTAAAAAAAAAGTTATTTTTTATTTTTGCTTTGATCTTTTTTTAGCCTTTCTTTTTATTTAAATAAAATTCAAAAACGACTAACAAATAGATATTTCATGAAAAAAATAGAAAGTTCAGATCATAAAAGATGGATATTTAATCCAAGATTTGATTATATGATTAAGATTAAATTAAATTAAAATTCATTCTCTATAATTTTAATTAATTTTCTTCTTTATAATTTTTATGCCAGTTTCTTTTTTAAGTATTTAATTTATATGCAAAATATGGGAAATAATAAATCTGAAAAAGATGAAACATAAAAATCCATTTATTTCATAATGATATTATAATAGTTGGATGAAACTTTTATAAAACTAATACATTAAATTAATATATGATTTTGCATCTATTAAAAATTCATTTATTTCATACAATATTATCAAATTTTTTAAAGAAATATCCATGTAAAACTATTTCACTGATATATTGTGATGATTACGATGATAAGTAGTAATAATGATAATAATGATAGTGATAATAATAGTAATAATAATATTTTTGTTAAAGTTGCATCTGTTATGCAGATTGCGCACATCGTAAAATATTATTAGAATTCTTATAGGACGGATTATTCCTTCTGTCTTTTTGATAAATAAGGCACACATCTGTGATACAGATACAGATTTTAACTAGGTTTTTTTTTTTCTTTTTTTCCATCGAGCAATTTCTAGGACGAAAGTGGAACAGCTGAGGGTAAAACAGCTGTCATCAAATCTCTTTTCTAGTTTGTCCCTTAAGCCTTATATCTTTTATCCTTATCCTTAAAGTATCATTTCTGCTTTTGTACAATTAAAAAACTTTATAAATCTAGCATGAAAATTAAGATTTGCTATTTTTACAAAAAAAAAAGAAAAAGAAAGAAATTATCAGGCATTCATCTATCATTGATAAAAAATAAGTTTGATTTCATCTTTTAACACTTATCATTTCTATCAAGAATTATCAATAAAGTAGCGAAATTGTTTGTATAATTGAAATATCATAAGTTAGCTAATCTAAAAAAATCTAAGATTTTCAGATTAAAATGGTATTTAACTTCATTTATCCAACAATTGAAACGTTTCTTATTTATCTTTGAGATGTATTAAATGACAAAAGCGCAAAGGTTAAGAAGCTAACTGGACAGAATCATCTATACAATTCATATTATGCTTTTGAATACCAACTTTCTTAAGCTCATTTTTAAATTTAATTCTTATCTATTTATTTAATTTAGTGTAAAAGTACAGTTTTACTTTAGCAAGTCTGGTTGATCCAATTACTAATTAGATTTCATTAAGCAATTTATAATTATATAAATTGAAAGGGAAACTTTAATTCAATTGATACTAAAAATTAAATACATCAGTTACTTAAATAAAAATGAGCAAAATAAGAAATATTTGACCTTATGGATTCTTGTCCAATAAACTGGGTAATTCTACAAGCTTGATGCCTCAGAAAATAACCAAAATAATAAAGTTAATTCTTTGTAGCATTTGAATCATTGCATTTTGGCCTTCAAATCGATCATTGTTATATTATATTACACAATGAAATAAATTCTTTTTTCCTTTTATTTATGAGAGAATGTTTCAGCTGAAAGAGATAATACATTTTTGATTATCAAGCAATTATTTTGGTCACTTTAAATTAGCCAATATTTTTGGGCAAAGAAAATTCTTGCGCTGCTATCATCTATAAAACTTTTTTTGAATTACGGTATGTTTCAAGTGTGAAAGTTGACAATTGTTTAAACTGCACATAAAATTTTGTCTAAATTTGAAATTTCAATTTAAATCTTTTTATTATTAGAAAATCCATTAATAGAAATGAAGCACTATTATTATTATAGAAAAGGTTACAAATGTCACAATCTCGATAACAACTCTTACATTAGTAGCATCGGTATATTGATTTCAATAAACAATTTATCAAATAAATAATGGCAACAACAACAACAATTCAAACAGTTCGTTCGAGAGCTACAAAATCTGCTAGGTGCTCAAAAAAACGACGTGAACGAAAGCAAGTCCTCGAAATGCTTCGTAGAATGGTACCATTCGTTAATGAACATACACCGTTACTTGAATTACTACAAAAAGTTATTGATTACATTACCGAACTTCAGGTAATTTTTTTTTAGCTTACTATAAACATATTTAGTTTATTTATGAAAAATTTTTAATAAATTATTGAAATTATTTATGATTGATTATTCAGGAATAATTCTAACTTTTTAATATAAAATTTTAAAATAAGCAATTAAATTATAAATGTAACAGTGAGCAAGAAAGTAATACGAAATTTATAAAATAAAGTCTTCTTCTTTTCTAATCATTTATTTTCTCTTTTTTTTTCAGAGAATATTTCTGTAAATCTATAAGGATAAAGTGTAACAAAATTTTGAAATATTTTTTGTTTCTATTTTATTTTTTTTTTTATTTTTATTTTTTACAAAATAATAACTAAATAAATATATGAAAATTGATAATTTTTAAGTTTTCTCAACTTTCCTTCTTTTTTTTTCCAGGAACTTCTCAATAATCCGTCAACGAATGCAATCGAAAGTAAAGAAAATATATTACCACGGAGGTTAAATGAATCAGGTCACAAAATATATACCTATCATTGTACCTATCGCTCATCATCATTCGCTAAATCGTCTATTTAAATTAACAAAATTGTGCATCATCCATCTGCTTAGTGTATTGTTTTATGAAAAAATGACTGATGTTTTGGTTTATGAAAAAATTTTTTAATTTTAAATTCACTCATCTGTTTGTACCATATAATTATGGCCTAAGGTCTTGTTTCTTTCTTTCTTCATACTATGAGATTAAATTAATAAAGCAATTTTTCATTATCAATTGTAAAAAGAAAAAAATCAATAAAGATCGAGAAAACATTTGAAATAAATTTAAAAATAACTTTTAGCTAATTTAAATCCAAATATTTTAGGTTTTTTGGCAATTAAATTTCTGTTTTACTAAGACAAAATTAATGATTTAATGAATTTTTTAAAATCCATTCAATAATACTTTCATTATTTAATTAATTCTTCTTTTCTTTTTTCAAACAGATATTTTTGGTTTGTTCTAAAGTGTTGCAACTTTTTTATTTTCTTTTCATTCTTGATTTTGTACTTTTCTTTCATCGAATTTATACCTTATAGTTCAGATTTGAAGAAATCAGTCTATCTCGTTTCCTTTTGAACAAATATTTCTCAATGTTAAAGCAAATATCTCTTTCAGTGGTGGATAAATTAACGTATCTCATTTCAAATAACAACAAAAAAAAAAATTTAGAATTTTAGAATTAATCCAAACTTTTAAGAAAACATTTTCTTACATTATTTCCTTGCGCTTTTACATAAATTATAAATATTGTTGCAACAAATAATAAATATTCGCAATAGATTTTCACATCAAATAATTTTATTCCTTAAAAAAAAAAAAAACTTTCTCTAATGAAATTTGTCATTTAAGTGCAATTGAAGGGTAAAAAACAATTAAAATAAATAAATAAATAAACAAACAAACAAACAAACAAAAGGAAACTAAATAAATCTGCCAATAATCAAATTTTATCATCGCAATATAATGCAGAAAACATATGTCATCATTCTGATCCATAATTTGCTACAGTTACAATCCTAAAACAGATGTCCATCTATAAACGTGATTTTTTTTTTCAAAAAAAAAAATTTTATTGATAAAATTATTTTCAAATGTGATTAAAATTAGCCCAGTACATTTGCGCATTAAATATGACAACATATTAGCATAGCATATTGTAATATGAATTTTTTTTTTTTTTTTTTTTTGTTGTTAGAATTGACTTACGGATTAATTAAGTGCAAAATATTGGCTAAATATTTAAAGTTTTGATTGAATAATTTCACATATGCAAAAATTTTAAATAAACAACTTTTTATGCTTTGTAATTTATAAATGTATTTGCATCGATGTAAATTATTTTTATTGAAAAACTATTTCAACTTTTAATCATTTAAAATTAATTAGAGATTAATAGTATCGATTTTTTGAATGTAGTTTTTTAATTTCAAATGTTTCAAGTGTAATTAATTAATCAACTATCAAATATTAATCACTTAATTGATTTTTAAACACAAATTAATTAACATAAATCAGTAAGGGAAATTCATCAAAATACTAACACTTAAATTAAATTAATTGAATAAACACCAATTGAAGTAACAGTGAAAAATAATCTCTAACCTATGCTTTACAAACTAAATAACTTCTGATATCTGTTGGATAAACCAAATAACCTCTGACCTATGTTATGTTTGCTAACAATCTGGGAAGAATTGTGAAACGATGGAATTGTCAATAAATGGCGCCAACGAGGATAAATAAATTCCTTAAGTCAATATGAATAAACAAAAACTATCACATTTGGATCACTTCATGCTAACAGTGCTTGTGTATTTTTCCGGATCCGGAAAGATACACAAACATGCATATACAAATAACAAACATTGGTGGGATAAGAATGATTGAAAAATGATCAGTGAGGATAATAAATTAGGAAAATAAATTAAATTTTAAAAATTTTTTATTAAAAGTTTAAAATGAAATAATATTTCTTTTTAGCGAAAAGTATTATTCAAAGAAATTTCAACAAAAAAATTATGAATGGATTGACTGAATAAAATACATTGAATTATTTTATTTTTCTGATTTATTTTAAGAAAAAAAAATTAAAATTAACAATTCAATTGGAAGAATGAATTGTTTAGTTTTATTTTGTACTGTTAAAAAGTTTTATCATTTTCTCTGCAAAATAAGAATTATTGTTTCATTTGATTTGTATTATTAAGAAGTTTTAGCATTTTTTTTTTCTAAAAAATAAGAATTATTTTAAAAAATTTTCTCTTATTTTAGTTGTTTCGTAGTAATTATTATTATATTCATTTGATTTTTCGTTTTGCTTTTTGGTGGTATGAAAAATTTTAGAATTTTTTCACACTCTTTGTTTTTAGAAAAGAAAAATGGTAAAATTTTGAATTTGAACTAAAAATTTTTTGATATCGAACTGGAATTCAAATTACTGTAAATATATAACTTTCATTTAATCACTGCAAAAATAAACGAAAACAAAAGTAAATGGAATGAGAATAATCAATGAATAAATGAAATAAAAAAATTTGATGTAAAAAGTTGAAAGAAGAATTTGAAAAAGACAAAATAAAACAAAAAACAAAAAAAAAAAAAAGAGTAAATGAAAGAAAAGTTAAATTAGAGATATAAATAGGGAATAAGTTCAAAGGTTATGAATAATCATAACTTCGATTAATTCCACTTTTTTTTTCCTTTCTCTTTCTTTTTTTAACTTCATTATGATGTTTACTTCAATAATAACTTTAAATTGAAAGCGAATGCCACACGTAACCAAATTACGTACGCATCTGTTCTCATTATTTCAAATTTTAGTGTAAGCCATATGGTTAAATGACATTTGAATTACACGTCCAATTGATTTCATTGATATACCTGTTGAACACGTGTTCAGTACTTTCAACAAAACAACAAAGCTCATTTTCCTCCTTTTCCTTCTCTTCCTTTCTCCCTCTTCCTCTCCCTTTCTTCTTCTCCTTTCTCATACTGAAATGGAATTGATAATTTTTTCAAATGTTACCTTACTTTAAATAAAAATATTTCTCATTGATCGAAATTCAAACTAAAACTGAATATCACTTATTTTATTTACTTATTTATAGACTTTGAACATTAGCGTATTGTGTGCATTGTATTTCAAATCTTTGCAATGATAAGTTTGCATCAAATTTTTGAAACAAAAAAAAAAAAAAAAAAGAGAGAGAGAGAGAACAAAAAGTTGCTAAAATAAATATATTTTTCATATTAGAAATAAAAAAGAAAAAAAAAATTCTGCACATTTATAGATATGACTAATTCATAAAACACATATTGAAGTGAAAAAGTTAACACTATAAAAAATAAATTTATAAAGTATCAAAGACTGTCCTGGTTTTTCTCATTTTTAAAGATTATAACAAACAGATGAATCATTAAAAGTTTTTTTTTTTCCTTCTTTTTTTTTGTTATAATAATCATAGAAAAATGAGCTTTCTTTTGCTGCATTATTCATTTAAAAAGCTGATAGTGGAAATAATTAATAATATCATGAAAGAGTGTTAAAATCATTTCAATCATCTTATAAGCATAAAATACTACTTAAAAGGTAATGTCATCAAAAATGATGTCTCATAATAATTTTCGATAATATTTTAATGAGACATTGGTTAAATTAAGATTTTTTTAATATTGAAGAACTGAAATTTTACATATGTTTCATCTCAATTACATTTCTATTGAATTTCACATCATTATTTCGTTGCAAAATATTTGTTACACAAAAATTAGCATAATAAAGTTTATTCTAACAACGCCTTTTTACCTTTTTAAAATTAATAACTCAAAATATAGAATGATCAAATTCATTCTAATAGCAAATATAATATATTATAGCATAATAAAATGCTGAATTTTTGAGTATTTATTTCTGTTTTACTTGAGTAATCCCACCAATTACTCATTATTGAATAGAGTAACATATGAGAAATGAAGAACTTTGAGAAAAAAATCCGAAAAATTTATGATTTTAACAACGAAGATATATGCTTCAGTTTTCTTTTTAAATTTATTTACTAATTTTCGTAATATTTTCAATTTCATTTTGCTATTTCAGTCTATCAAATAGTAAAAAGAAAGGAATAAGAAATAGTAAAAAAAAATTGATAATTTCTCAAATCATTGAAATAAAATATACGACAATTTCGCATATCGATGTATTTCTTCCATTTTATTTCTCATATTCAATACAAAATGATTCTATAAATTAGGCCTAAGAATTTTATAAGGATAATAGACCTAAAATTGAGTGTAAAATTTGTTATTTGAATACCTTATTGTTAAGATATATGGAAGGACAAATCATTATTGCATTTTATCTATAAGAATTACGATGTCTCATTGAACCTTAAATTTGGATATTTGTAAGGAAAAATATATTTTGAATGAAAATTTTTTTGAATATAAAATAAGAAATGAAAATATTTCATATTCTCTTCTTTGATATTTTTCACTAAATTCAGTTTGTTGTGGTACTTCGGAAAAATGTTTGTTTACTTCTGATCGTACAGTACGAGAAATTGCAAAAATAGCAGCAATTGCGTTCTACTGTAATCAGTGTTAATTATATCAATGATAGTAGTAAGAAAATGGTTTAAGTTTAATTTTGAAAAAACAGAAGAAACAAAATAAATTGTATGATAAATAAAATTTTTGAGAAAAAAAAATTTTTTTTAATTACAATAAAAATATATTTAATTAACAAACTGTTGCAAATTATGTTTGCGTAATTATATCTTAACTTGATTATATCATAATTTTCATTTCTTCATTTAATATTGCAGCAAATAGATTTAAATTTTATTAACCAAAATATACGATATAATCAGCATTTTTTATTAATTAAGAATAAAAAGATGTCATTTTAATTGTTGCTTTTTTTAAATATTTGTTAGTTTTTTTTTTTTTTGTTTTACGGGCTTTCCTTTACCTACCTTTGCTATATCATTTAGAAATTTTCTGAAGCGGAAATGACGTGATAAGTGATAAATTCTGATCAAATTAATTACTGATACATTTGCACGAGGAAGAATCGTTTGTGATTTTTACGTGCTAAAAAGGATTAACTTTTCTTTTTGCGCAATGATTAATAGCACTTGAACGTCAAAAATAAAATTATCCACGTTGATTTTATTTATATTCAAATTATCTCTCTGTTAATGTGAAAGTTAATAAAATAATTTATAAAAGTTATATTCATTTTATATTTCTTTTTGGCGAAAAATGAACATTGATTACTATCAAAATTTTTGAAAATTTGCTTAATTTTCAATATCAATTAATGTAACCTAGAGATTTTGCAAAATTTTAATAAATATTATGCAAAGAAAAAATACAACAAATAATATTTGTCAATTAAAATTTGGTGATAAATTTGATCAATATGATCAATGAATTATTCTTCTCTAAAACATCTATGAATTTGTAAAAATAGAGTGTTAACAAATATCTCTTGCAGTATCACAGTCTGAAACATTAAATATTATCAGTATAATCAATGGATTATTCCTCTCCAAACTTTTTTTTCTTTTTTTTTTTTTTTTTAAGAAGTAGAATGATAACAAAATTCATATGCTTTTCAAACCATTCAAGTTATATTTGACGAGTAAAATTTGCGCCATAATTACTTAAATGGAACTTTTTGAAATGAAATAAATTTTAATAAGAAATCTTGCGTTTTAAAAATTAATATTATTTAGTTTTGATGGAATTTGATAACTTGATATGATAAAAAAATGATTACATCTCACAAGTTAAATCTTATTCATACTTGAAATTATTTTCCAATTATCACACTAATGTTTTTTTTTTTTCCTTTTTACAATATATAATCTCTATTTAAGAATGCGATTTAAATAAATTTTGACAAAAAAATAAAACGAAATCGTTTAGCATAAAAATTCAAATATCATTAAGCCAAATAATACAGATAGAAGTGTACAGTATCGGATTGTTGTTGCTTCATTGGGACACTGATCATTGCAGAGATCACCTTTACAGCAACATCCTAAACCATGCATACATCCTGCATCCTGCAATTGTACAAAGTAATTAAATATAAAATTAAAAAATTTAATTTAAAATGAATTAAATTTTCCATGTCTTTTATTAAAAAAATAAAACAAGGATTTTCCAATATTTTCCATTTCAAATAAATTTTTCAAATAAAATCTAGTTGTCTTTTTTTTTTTTTTTTTAATTTAGCAAACAATAAAGATGGAAATGAAGTGCATACAGAACAATTTAAGCTAAATTCATATGAGCCATAGTGAATAATTTCATAGGAGCATCCTCTGATACAAATTCCATCAGCTGCAATAACAATAAATTTGTACAGATTTTTTCTTTAAAAGAAAAAGAAACTGAAGAAAATAAAACAGAAAAGGTGTGTAAACATTTTTCAAAAATCGTTATCAAAAAATTGAGAAGCACTGAAAGTCAAATAATTCAGAAATTTAGAATTGATTCAAACTTCAACAAAACTTGAATGAATAAAACTTATTCAATTTATCGATTTATTACATATTATAAATTTGCATAAATGCTGAAAAGGAAAATTCATTAAAATTTATTTTATTTTTGAAAAAGTAATATATCTGTTAGCAGACCAAAGCTTTCTTTATGCTAATTGCAATGCGCAGAAATATTAATTGTAATTAATGAGAATTAATTACAAATAGAAATACCTCCAAATTTAGTCGCAAAACACATTTCATGCTTCTCTTGTTTTGGTGAACAAACTTTACGTGACACAGTTTTTCCAACACTTTCGTAGCATTGAAGACATTGTATAAAATGAAATAAATTAGCAAAAATAAGTGAATATGAAATGATTTGAAATTTCATTCTGAAATGAGCACAAAAATAGAATGTTACTTTATAAAAGTAATCTATTGATAGAAAGCAAGCATTGGGAGAATTTTGATTTAACTAACGATAAAATAAAGAGAAAAAAAAAACTACGAAATTTTTTCTTATTTTAATTCATCGATGAAATTTAATAATTAATGAAGCAAATTAATCTAGCATGAGTAATTCCTGTTTTCCGGGCTGTTTATTCCGGAAAGCATAGATTCTCATGCTATTCATTTCAATGTTTCTTTTCGTTTTTTAAAAACAAAACATTACTATAACTGACGATGATCATTGTGGTGTGTTTGTACCTGGCATGTTTGTATCAAAAGCTGAAAAATATTCCATTTTTAAACCATTCATAATCAACATGATTGTGAATCATCAAAACAAACAACACCTATACAGATTAAAGTAAAGAGAGAGAGGAAGAGAGAGGGAGACCTGGTGATATGGGATGTAACTGATACCAGTGTAGGAGTCATTTAGGTCTAGCATAGGAAATAAAATGAATTTAGTATCATTGTAAAAGTTATTGAGGCTTGGTAGAGGATATGAAATGTCAATTTGGCATTTACTGTAAAAGATTAGTTACAAATTTTTAGCAAGATATGCAAAGCAAATGCCTTAATAAATTAGGCTCTTTTTGATTTTCAATTGTTTACTTTTGTCAGATAAGGCTTTCCATTTACTTTTTTTTTTCTTTTAAATACAAATCACGTAGATAAAATCAAATTCTTAGCAAAGGTCATGAAAATGAATGAATTTTACTCAAATTTATCGGAATTACAAAGTTTTAAAATAACTGATAAAGAATGCTACCTCCTCGTAACTATAGCAACGGTAATTGGAATATGATTTATCCATTTGCTAGTTGTATCAAATAAAGCAATTATAAAAATTGATGATAAATTTTCGACCACCTATTATATATGTATGTGAACAACGATTCCAATTAATTTATTCCATTATTTAATTTCCACTTCCATTGCATATAAATTAAAGAATTTATCATTTATAAGAATAATATCTACATTGAAAATACGAGAAATTCTCACTTAATCAATGCAAAAATTCTTTAATTTAACAAAAAGTAAAAGAAAAAAAAAAAAAAAAAAAAAGAATTTTACGTTCAAGAATTTAAGATGTGAAAAATCAGAAAACAAAATAAATAAATAACATCAATTAATTTAAATATGTGGAAAAAATGTAAAACAAATCAGCTTTTAAGTTATTTCATGAAGAACTTTTTCCATTGATATTTGCTTTCTCCTTTTTTTCACTTTTTTTCACGTAAAACACATATTAAGATGAATGAGAGAGTGATACTTCACTTTATGGCTGCATCAATGAGCCCAATAATCTGTGGATAAAAGAAACCTTTTGGCTTGAATGATTGAATGTACACGTCACTTAGATGAAAGTTACACGTCACGTGCCGACAACTTTTATGAATACAACTAACTCACTTTGCATTTATCTCCGTGATTTATCTTCCGAGGCATATGGTATTTCACGGTCTATAACTACTTGGCCTTCATAGTGCCAAAATCATTGTATTTAATCTGTGGATGTGGACGTGGTGTTTACGTGTCATAGGAGCAGTGTTGGTTTAATAATTTACATGTTTATTTTCAATATGATAATAATTCTTCTTACGACAAATGAGTAATTGAGGTTTAATATGAAAACATTAACATTTTTATCAATTTTCAAAGACATCGATGTTATGGTGATGTAAAGTGACATTTATCTTATCATTTCAGGATAAAATATCAGTTCATTCAAAAAAATGATGCAGTTAACTGAAGTGATTTCAAATCTAACAAAAAGAAGAACTACAGGAAGTGATGACAGTACCACTGCTAATAATAATGGTTTGTGATTTATTTTCTTTTCATTTTTTTTTTTTTTTCATAAATATTATTTTTACTTTACATGCTTGAGACAGTTATTAAAATGTGTCGAAATCTTGTTGTTTTTTAATGTGTATTAACTATGTTTCAAATAAAACTCCTTTTATTTGATAGTTCATTTCATTTCAAATAAGATTTGCAAAAATGGTGTCATTTAATTCGTATAGTAATAGTGGTTAGTAGGGTTGTTGAAATGTATTATTAATATTAGATAAGATATAAGAATTATTTCATATCAGATATTATGTCGTTATTTTTTCAATTTACTTCGCATCATTCAAGTGGAAATTATATGTAATTAAATTAGAAACAAAACTAGAATGTTTTGAATATTTCAAGCTTTGCCCAAAAACAGAGTATGAAAGGATGTTTATCGAATTTATAATATATCAGTTTTCTTCTTCTGAACTGTATTTTGTAGCCTATACAATCTTTTTCTCCGGAAAGGAAACTTGAGTCATTTTCCTTTTTTTTTGTTCTTTTGTTAATCGGACAATTAATCGGACAGAACAAGAAGATATGGATGAATTTGTGGATGCAGTAGATGTGTTTTACGAAGAAAGCGAAAGTGATATCTATGATGATAATGTTCAGTGTATTGTTGCTGAAAATGATGATATGATCGAGAAGGATGAGATATTACATGAACTTGGATTGATGCTCAATTCTACATTAGCAAGCGATTATGATGGAGCTAATGTTGCACGTTTAAATGCTCATTTCTTGTGAGTGAATAATTTATTTTATTTTTTTACTTGGGTGCTATATTTTAATTATTATTATTTTTTTTGTAATTGAAAATGTTGGAAATTAATACATATCATTCCAAAATTACAAATTACATTACGGGAAGTATAGGTGAAAGGCATTCTATTGAATGAAAATTGGTAATGTAGTGATGGTTTCAGGTTTTTAAGTCGCTTGAATGTTCATTACATCACTTAATTTTCACTCTTTTTATATGAGTTTCTTCTCTATTGCTAGTCAACAACTCTACCATCGAATCGTTTTTATTTTAACCTTATGTGCTTGCATCTTTTCCACTTTAACCCTTTCTTTCCTTCATTTTAAATGAATTTTATCAAATATTTATCCTTCAAATGTATCTTTCTACGATTCTCTTGTTAGAACTAACATAATGTACAGCATCTCACTTTTTTAACTTATAGTAATGATTGGAAAATTTTGCTGGAAAGACAGGCAATTGAACTTGGTTTCCCTGGTCTTGAAGAACTACTCAAATCAGAATACATGAGAGATTACGTGGAACAAATATCGTCAGTTAATGGTGTTGCTATTTACGGAGCTGTCTCTAAACCTTCCAATGAACATATTCTTCGGAGAGTTGCTGATTGCAAATTAAGCGAGGCTCAGAGGTAAATTTTTACTATATTATAAAAGGTGTTCATTATGATGCTTCAGTTTATTGCTATTATATTGAAAATGAGGAATAATATTCAGTAAGATGTTCTTTTTGTTAAATCTAATATTTTTTTAACATTTGATAGTAATGCTTCAGAAGTCATAAGAAGATGGGTAGCACATTAAAAGGTTTTTTTATATTAATCAAGTAAGTAGTAATTGTCGAATTTTTCCTTTGAAATTTTCAGGGCTGAAAAACGACGAATACAGAGATTGCTGGAGCTGAAAAACCCTGAAAATTCACGAAATTTTCTAGAGGTTTATGCACATTTTATGTTGTACTTAGAGAAGTTTATAAGCTCGGTTTTTTCTTTTATGAATTGACAAGAGTCTAAAAAAAAAAAAAATGATGTGTTAAATTTTATCTGATATTTCTGTTCTGTATGATTCACTGCTAAAAGCAACAAGTAAATTTTTTATTACTACAAAATTGAACTTGATAAACTAGAGGTAAGTTTTCAAGTTTTTTACACAAATTTTTCTTTCTAAAAATTTGCATTATACTTTCATTTCTCATACATTTAGGGTAAACGTCGAATTCTGCAAATTTTGCTGGATTTGAAGGCATATGAAATGGAATTTGATTATCAAACTATCCGGGACGAATATATGAAACGTTACAGTACTAGTTTGAATGCTGCGGTTAATATTTGTTACATTTTTATTAAGTAGTGAATTTATTATACTTTTTTTCAGTTCCTTTATTACTGTTCTTCTTTAGGTATTCATTTCGAACAAACCTTATTTTAGGAGCACCAACGATTATTCATGAATAAATCGGCGTTGAAAAACTTTTTGAGAGTTTTTTATCGAGAAGTTATTTTAATTAATGACAGTCCCATTCGAATAAGACTCAGAAGTCCGGATATAAAAAGTAGGTATCTTCACTGCACTTCAGTAAATAATAATGAGTTATTTGTTATTTCTTGTACTTGTTTATCTAATTTATTGGTTAGTTTCTGCTTAGCTTCTAAGCATATGCCTGAAAAATTGCTCAAGAGCTATTCCGTTTTCTACTGTTGGCATTGAGAAAGTGATTAATAATGAATGCAAATGTCATCTATAATTGATATTTAATTATTTTATTTTGGCTCTACGACATTTTAAATTAAATTTAGCATTCCCATTTTTAGTACCGGAAGAAATAACAGAAGATCTTCGTTTGTTAGCAATTCCGTTTGTTAGCAATTTGGATCGATCATCTATATTGAACATTGTAGACAAAGGTTTATGCTTAATTTTTCCCTTTTCAAGTTTTTTGATACAGTCTGCTCAACTTTCTCCTTCTTCTGCTACTTGTTCGATGAAGTTTTTGCCATCATTAATCAACTGCACAAAGCTACCAGTCGAAGTAAAGACAGATAGCCAAAATGATGTAGCGATTTAAGCACTGTGATTCATGAACAGAAACCATATCTAGGTAAATTCAGGTTATTGTTTGTGAAGTAAGAAATAAAATAGTTTTGCATTAAATTCTGATATGATTCATTTACTTACGAAAGTTTTAATATTATGGATTTATTATGGAAATTGGCTTAAAATTATCCATCTTTGTAATAGTACAATGAAATTCCACACAACTTCTGTTAGTGAACTTACACTTAACCTTATTTAGGAACAGTAAAATATTCAGAAGATGTTATCGCCTCTGGTGAAAGTATTTCGAAGGTAATGAATCATTATTTAATTTTAAGCAGTTCAGTGGTCACCAGTTTTAATTTTTGCTGTTGATATGATTTTTTTTTTCTTTTTTAAAGTGTCTAGTCTGGTTTCGGATTTTATATACGCTTATGAATGTGTGATATGGTTTTTTTTTTTTTTTTTGATTGATGGATAGTTTTTTTTTTTTTTTCTTTTTATTATACATTAATTAGAAGATTCATTTCAAAAAGAGAGGTATTTTTACCGAATAATATATGCAAATTTTGATAGATCATGTAAGATACAAATGTTTTGAAATCTGCAACTTGTAAACGGATATCCGATATTCAAGATAATTTTTCGGCATAGTTTAATGCAGTAGAAAAGTCTTTTTTTTTCAAAAAAAAAGAAAAAGAAAAAAGAAGGGTGAACTCGAAATTGGACTATTAAATTGAAAACTATCTTGCACTTTTCTTTTATGCCTTTTTTTTTTGCTTATTTCATAAAATGAAATTTAACAAAGTATAGATAACCAAAATGTTTCTTTTGATAATGGAAATAAATTTAAATAAAAAAGCCTGCTGTTAAATGATGAATTATGGTTCTATTGAAATCATTCTAATTGTCTTTCTATTCGAATAATTAGAAAAGTGCAAGAAGTCTATTTGATCGTTTAGTTAAACTAAGATGTACACTATAATGTATATACTTTGTCGTGCATTATGTATCAGAATTTCTTTTTTTTAACTTCAGAAACAAACAATGGATAAAGAAACGAACAGTGAAGATAGACAAGTAAACAGTGCGAGGCATAATGGGAATGCTGATGAGATTAATAACGTGATGCTTCATCATATACCTAAAACGTGTATGCCAGCTGATACGAGTAAAATAATAAGTATTCAAAAAAATGATCATGATAAAACACATCGAAAATCATTGGTAAAATTTCACTTCAGAAATTTTTATTCTAATTTTCAGTCGCTCAAATGAAAAGTGCTGAGAATTTTATTTGTATATCTTTACAGTGATGCGAGCATAGCAAATGTTGATCACTAAAACTATTTTTTTTTTTTTTTCTTTCGATTTACCATCTGATTATACTAATATATTATTGATGCTAAAATCGTATACTTTATTGTTCTATTCTTATTTTAGCTACCCAATAAGTGATGTATTATTTTCTTTAAGCAAGCTTTCATGTTTTCGTATTTTCTAAGTAGTTTTATGCTGTCGATCAAAAAATTATGACAATATGTTTTTTGCACTTTGGATTATGATTTTAGAGATTTTTCCACTTGATTAATTGTGGTAATAAATTGAAAAGATTAGAGATTATTATATTTAGCTTATCTATGAAGGATTTTTTATAGGAATCAGTCAATTTGAGTGAGGATAAATATACGGGTGATGAAGAATCTCCTGATAGTAGTGATTCGGAAGTAAAAAGTTCTAAAAAGTACCAAAGAAAGAAATCTAGAAGGAACTTAAATACATTCAATATGCCTTCAATATCTTCAAAGGTGAATGAATCTTTGGCAAGGAGTTTTTATTTGTTTCAGTAAAACTCATTTGTCTATTAAATCCGTTTTAGTGATTAACAGCAATTATTACCGATTATTTACAAAATAATATGTGCTGAGTTTGTGCCATTACAAGTGTTTTCTCCCTTCAATTTTTTGCTTAATATAGCAAAAGAATATTATAACATTAAACTACTCGAAAATGAAGTCGTAGTCAAAGTTTTTAACATCATTTTGCTCCCCGCTGTTAACAAAGTTGTGTAAAAAATATTGTAATTATAACAGCAGAGAATGCAATAAACAGTAAATAAAATTGACGTTAAATTCCACATTAGCTTGCTTTAAATTTTTTTTTTTTTTTTTTTTTTGGTAAATAGCATATATAGATGGAGCTAAGGGTTGCTTAAGTTACTTAGAGAAAAATACTAATTGCTTGAAGAACAGTTTATGGGATTGATGGATAGTGGAGGAAACAAGATTAGTGTTAGTTTTCTTTTTTTTATTTATTTTATTTTAAACAGCATATTAATCTATAGCATGATAGAAATTAATCCAAATAAATGAAATTTTGCGTTCGGGTGCAACTGTTATATTCAAGGGCCCTTATTTGTGGATGAGATAGCTTTTCCAGCAAATTTCCTGAAAATTTTCAAGATTTTTTGAAACTATTATATACGGATTATTTAGTAGTCGTTATTTTTCGTTTACTTCTTGCAAAAAATGCTTTTTTTAATATTTTTTTAATGGTATTTTATTCTTTTTATTTTTGTTTTCATCAGCCAGTGCCTACTTAATTTTATTCTTTAATGAGTGATATAAATGAGTTTGATATTATGCAAAATTTTTCACTTATTTAAACTAAAAGTTCAGGATCTGATTTTGTTTCTGATCAATAAGACACATCTTTTCCTAAAACTAGTTCTCGGTTTTTCAGCAGTCAGTAAAACGTCTGCCGATTGGTGAACGTTCCTTGCATCAATCACTCAATTATTCCCATCTTCCAGAGCGTAATCCGTTCTCATCATCGTCTATTAGTTTTAGCAATAAAAGTTCAGCAGGATTGATTCAGGTCAGTTACATTGTTATTTTTTGGATAGTAGCAGAACAGAAACAAAAACATTCCCATATCAATCACTACATTCTTTTTTTATTACTTTAATAGTTCTTTCCAGTCAGATTTTATCATCAACTTAAGGGTTATTTACTGAAAACACCTGAGTGACTTACGTTCAGTCATTACCTTGCAAGAATATCGTCTAAATTCTGTTGCAAAATAGCTATTTTATGTATAGTTATTTTATTGCAGTCGTCCATTTCTGGGATTTAAATTTTACATTTGCAAATTATCACTGCAATATGTAGTAAATCTATCACATGGGATTCAGTTTTCACAAGGAAGGTTAAAACTTACTAAGCATGTTGCTTTTTGTTTAGATATGAGATAGGATAAAATATTTTAGAGGCAGTATTCTTCGCAGTTAGTTGCTAATAACAAACAATATAGTGAAGAATATCATGGAACACAGTCATCTGGATATCATGATTTTGTTCAATTTGATCGTACCCAAGAGGTAATTATTCAATTTCTTAATACATCTTTTGTTAAAAGCGGTTTAAATAAGGAATAAAATGGGCGATTGTATTCTTGTTTCACAGTCTTAAAGTATATATATTATTAGTATATATATATTATAAATATTATTAGCGAGTTTGTAAATTTTTAGTTGATAATTAAAAAAAATACGGTGAAGTTGCAGTGTGTTAGTGTAGATAGGGTAATGTTAAAATTTAGGATATTTTTAATTTATAAAATATAACTACAGTACTAGGTCTGTTAAAAAAAAAAAAAAACTAAGATCTCATATGAAAACATAAAATTAAGATCTATAAGCTTTTGAATTACAAAAGCGATTTTAGTCAGTCATTAGAATGACAATTTCATTTGATCATTCATTGATTTTGTTCCCTTAAACTTCTGTCACTTTTTTTTTCTCAATTGTCAAGAAGGATTCACTACTGATAATCCTTTGTGATGTATTAACAACCCGATGGTCTAATATTGAAACATTAATCACTGCTACAGTTCATACTAATTTCTACTGGTAAAATCATGAATTGGGATAAGAAAAAATCATGGGATAAGGAATAATTTTATAAGGTAACATGGAAAGGAGCAGTCGCATTCCAATTAAGCTTGTGAATTGGCGGAGTTTTACCATCTTGCACTGTTGTTCTGTCTATCTTCAAATGAATGAATCACTGCACACATTTCTGATTGGATAAGAGAGAGAGAGCGAGAGATGTGAGACGTTCTAATGTTCATTTATGCACGTGCAGTGATAACGTGGGAGGCGAGAGATGTTCTAATATTCATTTATGCACGTGTAGTGATAACGTGGGAGGCGAGAGATGTTCTAATATTCATTTATGCACGTGTAGTGATAACGTGGGAGGCGAGAGATGTTCTAATATTCATTTATGCACGTGTAGTGATAACGTGGGAGGCGAGAGATGTTCTAATATTCATTTATGCACGTGTAGTGATAACGTGGGAGGCGAGAGATGTTCTAATATTCATTTATGCACGTGTAGTGATAACGTGGGAGGCGAGAGATGTTCTAATATTCATTTATGCACGTGTAGTGATAACGTGGGAGGCGAGAGATGTTCTAATATTCATTTATGCACGTGTAGTGATAACGTGGGAGGCGAGAGATGTTCTAATATTCATTTATGCACGTGTAGTGATAACGTGGGAGGCGAGAGATGTTCTAATATTCATTTATGCACGTGTAGTGATAACGTGGGAGGCGAGAGATGTTCTAATATTCATTTATGCACGTGTAGTGATAACGTGGGAGGCGAGAGATGTTCTAATATTCATTTATGCACGTGCTCATTTTAATATCGCTAACGTTGGGGATAACAATTCACTGAGATACTCTTTTCCTGTAGGTGGGAAATACGTTCTTTTTGCAATGTATACTGACTTTTGTTTAGAAACGAAATCAAATCAATATTTTTGTGTTAAGGAAATTATTTAATGATTACAAATGATTCAACAGAATTATCAACATGGAACTAACATTTTTATTTATTTCTTTTGATACTTGGGTGCAAATTTCATTTGTAATCAATTTGTTTGTTTGTTTTTTTTTTTTTTCTTTCATGGACAAATTTTTCAGGAACATTTCCGTCATGATTTACTTTTTTGAACCAAAAATATTTTAACATAATCGATATAAATCACCATGATATTGACAAAAAAATATGGTTGTGCAAATAAATAAATGAATTAATTATATACATTAGCATGCATACTGAGAAAAAAATGTAAATTTTATAGATTCTGTAGAATTTATCATAAATTAACAAGATTTTCATATTATTAGAAGATGAGTGGGATGATTGTTGTTATAATGCAATTGCATCATTAATGCGTGTAGTTTGTGAGAAAACGTTACGTTTAAATTTATGTTTATATATTAGTTTCATAAATTTCAGAGTTGCATACCTGTAACTAGTATATATTTTATTCGCTCATCATGAGCAATCGCTTCTTTTCGTCTAATTTATGTCGAGTATGTGCAATCTTCACATTTCATAATTACATTCTATTTTAGTAAACCTATTTCTCTTCTTTCACTTCCTCAGTTTACTGCCCTTCCTTTATTAGTTTAAATTGGGATTTATTAAATTGAGTGATTATGACATATATAATTGTAACAGTATTTGAAGTTTATGTTGGCTGATAATTTAGAGGAGAGCGTTTCAATAGAATTTGTCATCTATACAAGTTTCATTGGAATACTGATGATTTTTTCCATGCTAAAGCATAGCATTTGATAATCAAAGAATAATCTGATAAAACCTTAGGTTTTCAATATTTTTTTCTGACATAAATTGTATAGGTATTCTAAAATTGATATATTATATTGTAGGAGGTGAGTAAACTACCGTATGGGTCATACAGTGTTCCTGATTCTACCAGTAGTCAATGCATTTCACGTCAAGGTAAATTTTTATTTTTTACAGAGCTTGCGAATAGAACTTTAATTTGGTTTGATTGTGATTGTGGTTTGTATTCATCAGTCAACTTTGCGTAATATGATTTAAATTTGACTCTTATTTAAGGCAGAAGTAATTTAAGTCTATGATTTACTTAATTTTGTCCAGTAATCCTTTAATAAAATTAATGGTGATGACCAAATTTTATGATTTTTAGTTTTTTTTTTTTCAAATATTCTTTTGATGTTCTGTTTATGATAACGATAGGAAGTACCGCTAGGAAAAAAGTGGTTGCACAAAAGTAGTCAGTAGTAAACTAGTAGATTACCAGTTAGTAACTGTCCTGGTGCAAACAAATTGCACCAAATTGAATAGCGTATTTTAATATTTCAGTAAATGACATTGGCAATCATCGCAATTCGAATGAGAATTTTGAAAAGCCATCTGCAAGTGAGTTTCCTGCAACAGTTTTATTTTTCGTCCTCATGGATTATATTCCGTTATTGGCTGCTATTATTTTTTACAATTTTTGCGGAAAAAAATGATCAAATGTCTCAAAGAATTTATGCAACTTTAAGACAGATTCGCTGATTAATCAGCGAATCTGTTTTATGGATATGGATTTGAAAAAATAATTGATTCTGAAAAAAAAAAAAAGTTTTCTATTCTTTCTACTATCTCTCTACTATTTGTGATATCCTTAGTTTGATTTATAGAAATAAATATGAGAGCCATAATGTTTCGTTTTATTTTAATCTTTATTAGAAGTTTTGTCTTTCGTTAGAAGTATTAATCATAAGTTTAATTATAAAACAGATCATTCGGACCAAAATAGTTGGACAACATCTGTGCAACAAATGCAGCCTCATACACAGAGTCGATTTCAGGAGTATGTTGTTTCATGTTTATTAAATATAAATTTAGCAAGAAAAGTGCATTCCAGATCATGCTCTAACTAATGGTTTAAAATATGATTTTTGGATGTGTTGATCTTTTAGCATGTTTTAAATTAAATTTGTATTTTTAGATATAATCGGGGTTATCCTGACGATTGTACAGTGTTGAGAAGCATTCCATCGAACAAGTTTTTTTCTCATCTTCCTAATAAAGAAGTTTCACAGGTCCACTTATTAACATGAACTTTTTTTTTCGTCCTGCTATAAATTAGTTACAAATTATTACTTAAATTATGCTTATTGATATCGTTCACCTCATCGGGATTAATTTCTAAATCTTCTTATTTTTATATTTAATTTCAGTTTCGTGATAAATCCTCAGATTATAATAAATCCCCTGTAATTTGCTAATTGATAATCAAATTGTTGTAGTTGTCAAAACAAACACAAACTGATGAAGACTGGTTGGAAAACTTATTTGATGAATTGGGATGCTATAATTCGGTAATAATTATTTCAACTTGTAGTTTATAAACTAAATCAATTAGAATTTGGCTTAGTATAATGTTTTCATTTTTGAAATAGATCTAGAACTGTTTAAGATTCTCAAAACTGTATTTTGAAGTTCAAAGTAATCTAATTACTGCGACCGCATAAATATATTTGCATGCAAACTTCACACAATTTTAAGGATGTTAGGCAGATTCATAAATTAATTTAGTGCTTTAACTCATTTATTATATACCAAAACATGGAATGGTCTTTTTTTTTTCTGACTCTAATGGATTTCCTTATTTTATTTCAATAATTTTTCTAACCGATTTGCAACTTCTTAATTTTTAATACTTTTCAGAGCAGGAACCCACTACAAAAACTAGTGAAAGTGATAAAATTACTGTTGGATATACGATCTCCAAATCCAGTTTTGGTTCGATTTTTTGTAATTTCTATAATCTTATTTTCTTTTAGTTGGTTGTACTTAATTGTTTCGAGTTTACAGAATTTCTAAGGGTTTTTTCTTTTTTTTTTTAAAGTTAAGTACATTAGTGCTGCGCTGTGTAAATTATTTTTATTATAGACTTTTTATTATAAAATTATTTTCATTATAACCTGTTTAACTTCTGAAGTTGTCTTATTACAAATCACAACGCTAGTGTTTAAATGTTTTGAGTGCTCGAAATATTGTATGATTGTGTAGGATGTAGAAAGGAAAAGAAAAAGAGAAGCTCTCACGTGTACTTCAGCTCTCAGCATTACCGCAGCTTGTTGGCTCATTTTACGGTACTCCGCTAAATCCAGCAGAAGATCAGAATTATCGGAAGACATGGCGAGAAATTGTGAGAGATTATTGTAGTGCAGAAATACTTATTGCACCGTTACCGAATGGTGAGGTTAGTAAAAGCACTAAAATATTAATTATACATGTGAAAAGATTGGTAATACTGAAACTTCCATACTAAAATAAAATATTTCATATTGTTAAACAAAGTTCTGAAAAGCACATTTGATAAATGACATTTATAAATTTTCTCTGATCTAATGTTTTGGACTTCTAAAGTTTTTGCAGTAATTTTTTTTTTTTTTTTTTTTAATCTTTATCTTAGAATAATCTCGAAATCATTTACAGGAAATATTGATTAAGAAATAATGTTATTGCTGATTGGTAAGAAATTTCATGGGATTTCAACTAAAGAATATATTAATTTTGCAAGTGCCCAGTGGTTCCAATATTCCCGAACCTTATTTTTGTGATATGTATTTGTTTTTAATTCTCGTCCAATGTTGTATTTTTAGGTTGTTAGTTGTGTCCAAAAAACCAACTAATAACTAAATGCTGTAAGTCGAAAAGCCTTTGCTTCCAATTATTTATTCCTAGGATAAATGTATGAGGTGTGAAGTATGAGTTTTCTTTTTTCCCTGAACCATTTTTTTTTTCAGTTTATAGGTGAAGATTTACGGTTATGGCTGAAAACAATAAAAGTTTTGAAAATTACTGTGTTTTCTCACTGTTGTATTGATATTTATTCGAAAAAATATAGTAATAAAACTTCTCGAAAGTGTGCTTTTAGAACTTTTTGTGTTTTTTCCCTATTTAAAAATTTTAATATGATTGAAAAAAGATGTTTATTTTTGCAAAAATATAAGCAGAATCTTGTAATGCTTCCCGTTCTTTATGTTCTTTTTTGCAACTTGTATTTTAATTTGGATTCTTTTTGGTAATTACGATGGGGTGTAAGTTTTTTTTCATTGGATTTAAATAAAAAGTATTACAATCATATGGTTTTCGAATAAAGCTCCCCAAAAAAAAAGAAAGACGGCATGTGGTGCGTTTTTATTTTACGTGACATATCTGGGTGACATAATTTATCAATAAAAATAGATATTAAAAGTTAATTTAACATCGAATGTTGACAGTAATGGCAAGTTGGGGAAAAGTTTTGTGTTTTAAAGAATGACTGGTATGTTTCTGTTGATCTTTGCATGTATATATATATATATATATTATATATATATGTGTGTTATGTATGTGTGTATATCTGTCACATTAGCATTACTCAAACCTGTCAAATCAAAAAAACTGTTAATTAGCTATAAACTCGGACTGATTTTGTTACACTAGGCAATTGTAAACTTAATTTCCCATTTTTATTATTATTTTTTTTTTAATACCAACGTTTGTTCCTTTTGTTAACACAAAAATAAACTTAAAAATGAACTTTTGTATTCATTGTATCTTCTACAAATTATTTTTTTTCGAAAATATCTTCGAACAGATTTTACTTCTGTTCCATAAATTGCATTTAAATCTGGATAAGAGAATTATGTTGAGTTTAAATGAACTGTTATGAATAAACAATTACAATGGAGCGAAGACATTTCGTAAGATTGTGACAGTTATCATTTTAATTCTTCCACCTTAAGAATATGACTGAAATTTTAACCGAAATATATAAGTAAAATTTGTAACTAAGATTTCCAGCAAACTATACTAGCTGAGAAAGTTGTTAAATTTCAAATAAATTTCAGTGATAAGTTGAGATGGTAAGATTTAAGCTTAAATGTTCAGCGCATAAGTTTAAGTGAATTACCTGTGAATAAAAGATGCATATTTATCATTGTTAAATAATTGATAATACTGATAAATATGCATATATGCTGTATTCCGATGATTGTTGAGTGTTTTTTTGTTTTTGAGTGGATTTACATTATCAAATAATCAATGGAATTGCATAACGAAAGAATCATTTAAAAATTATTTAAACAATTGGAGTAGTCTAAACTCAAAGAATTAATTTTTCTTTGCTTTTTAAAATTGTTTTAAATTCATTTTGTTGTTTTAGTTCAAATTTATACGCCCAGAAGTTTGTTTTGTTTTATTTTTTTGATATGAAGTAGAAAAATAATGTTTCGCACGGAATGAAAGTTTCTGCCAAAACAAAACAAAAAAACAAAAAAACGACAATTCATTTATGAAAAGAGAAATTGAGAAAGAAAATGGAAAAGAAAACATGATAAGAGAAATGAAAATAAAAAGAGAAATTTTAATGATTAATTGAAACTTTTTAAAATTTTTTTGATGATTAATTGAAATTTATAGCAATTAAACGATAAAGTTAAAAAACATTCTGCTGTTTCTATCATTTATTTTTACAATTAAATACTAAGGTTCCAGAAATAAAACAAAACAAAAAGAAGTGATATGATGTATTTTTTTAAAGAAAAAGACTTTTTAACTTTTTTTATGATTAAGTAATTTTCTGGTACATACGTATAGCTGCAAAAGTATTTCATTTAAATAAAAAGTTAAACTTTCGTTTTGCCTTCATTTTATCCCAAACAATTTGTGATTAATGAAATGAATGTTACGGTGGAACAAAAAAATTTTAAAAAAGTGAAGAAAAACAACTTTTTTTCATTTCAAATTTTTCATCTAAAATGAATTTAATACATAACTTTGTATACTGTTCATCACAAATATATAATGTTAATTAATTAATTAAATAATTAAGATATTAAGTTATATTTCAGGTGATTCTGCAGCTACACGTATGTACTAGAAATTATTTATTAAAAAAATCAAAAACTCTTTTTTTTAAACCTTTCAAAGAAACACTAAAATATTCCTTCTGTTTTTTTTTTTCATTTGATTACCTTATGGAATACCGGTATGAAATGAAAATTTTTTTTTTTATGCCTCTTTCTTCTTTCCTTTTATTGCACGAAATTTAATTTCCTCAACATAAATAGAAGATTTACCGAAGAATTAGCATTGGTATTTTACATTCCTAATAAAGTATCATTTGCGTGGTACTTTTTTTTTTCTATAATAATACTTCTTTCATACTTTTAAGTGATAATTAATTAATGAATAATAATAATATCATTTACTTATTAATAATTTATGATAACAATTTGATAATTGGTTGAAATGATTTCAATTCATTTCTTTTTCAATTCACATTTAGTTAGACAGAAAATTGAATATTTTTGAAACAACTCCTCGGAAAATAAATTTATTAAAGTGAAGTATGACAACTTTTTTCCTGTTCTTCACTCAATCAAATTTAATTTCCGAATTGAATTTGATTGACGTTTTTTCTTTTTCAAAAATATCGAAATAATGTATGCATTTAAATTTAATAAAATTGGACCTGAAATGAATTAAATTCAATCAATTTAATTTCCATTTCCGTTTCCATTAGTGATGCTTGTTTCATTGAGTATCATTATTGTTTTCAAAATAAAATAAGCACTAATAATTTAAAATATATTAGCTGATTAAAATTTGTATCAGTTGTTATATTATTTTATTACTTTTAAGTTTTTCCTTTTCTTTTGCATTCCGTAACATAATTGGGATTAAACTTTCAGCAAGCAAATTCCAAATTTCAACTTCAACTGCTTAACAACATATTTAAGAAAAAATGGCATGCAAATGCTAAAAATGCTTTAATTTTTTTTTCTTTTGTTTCTTTTTTTTAACTTCAATTTTTGTTATGTTAGGATAATTTTCCTGCAAAATGCCAAAAGATGCATCTTTTTAAATAGATAACAAACATGTAACAATATTTAGTGATAAATGTAGTTTCATTCGTTGATAAAAATATCAGCAAATTATCAGTTACTGTTTGGAATGGAAATATTAATAAATCATTAGTTACTTTTTGGAATAAAAATAATAATTTGTATGTCTGTCTAAAATACTTTCCTTACGTACTTGATATTTTTGAAATTTGTAATCAGTAAACATGATTGCAAAACAAGTGATGCAGTAACAAATGAAGTTAATAATACTTCCTTATCATAATTGAGATGAAAAAATCATTTATAAAATGAAAAATTAAGTAGTAATAAAGCAAAAGAGAGAGAAAAAGAAAGAGAGAAAAAAAGAAAGAAACGAGTTGTTGTTATCTATTATGTTTGCTTGTTCTTACCGTCAATTTTAATTAAAATTTGCAAATAAAAATTGCTTTTAAAAAGTTGAATTTGAAAAACTTTCAAAAGTTTTGCTCATTTTATTTTCCATTTTTTCGTTTTTTTTTTTTTTTTTTGTTGCTCTAATGATTATTATTATTTCTTTGTTCTGTTCAGAAAAAAAAAGAAAACGAAAAAAAGAATTAACTGTGTATAATTATTAAATTTATCTAATGCAGTAGAGAAAAACACAAAAAAGCAAAAAAAAAAAAAAAAAAAAAGAAAGAAATGCTTATTTAAAAGAGAAATTGAATTAGTTATTATTTGCGCATCATTTTTATCTTTGGTTTTGTTTTTCAGAAGCATTCATTAAAAGAAATGATGCTACTTTTGCGCTTCAGCAAACTTTCATGGCGCTATCAGCAACTGCTTCTTGCACTTCTTTTAGCAGTAGCAATATGTTATGCTACTCCAATGAAATATAAATATGATCCATTTGTGATGGATGTTAATACATTCCTTCATGCAAAACGAGAATCCGGTCTTCTTTCCGCTGACGCATTAATGAATGATGATGATGAGACTAGCATCAGGAATATTACCGCTTTAGTCCGTTCTAAACGGAGCTGTTGCGGTTGTTGTTGCTGTTGTTGTTGCTGGCATGTTTCATATTTAATTTTCATTAAATTTGATGAATGGAAATTTGCTTGAGAATCAATTTGACAATAATATCAAAAAGTACAATTTTTGAAAGTACAGAGAAGTCGTCAAAAGTCAACCTGGATTACAAATATATACTTTCAAAATTCATATATTCCAGGTTTAAACTTAATATCATCTTATCAATTAAATCATAAATTAAAAGTTAAGAATGATTGAGTTATTGCTACTAATCCTACTACTATTATTATCATTATTGCTAGTTATTATCATAGCTACTACTACTAATAATATAAAAATCTCAACCATACATATTAATAACGGAAAAATGTATGAACCAAAAAAAATTTTTTAATATTTTAACTTCTAATTATTGCTTATCCAAAGTTTTAATATTAAAATTCTTTCAAGTAAGTGGTATAAGAAAAAAATTGGAACGTATTTAATAAAATTTCAAAAAATTAATTAATATCAGTTATCTTAAGCTGCTGCTGTTGTGGTAAAAAGAGAAAGCGATCAGTTAATGGAACAGAAATAGGTCAAGGATCATTGTCAAGACGTCGTCGTGCACTTCATGATCTGGAAAGATGGAACTATATGCAAAATACGAAACAGAATATTCGTAGTGCTCTTCTGGAATTGATTTAAATATCAGAAAATTAATTGTAACTGTTGCAATTATGAGTGAAACTTACTTTAAAATATTCTTTTGATAAAAAACTAAATGTAACTTTGATATAATTTTATTTCAAATTATGATTTTAGTTCTTCAATTGAAGTACGAAAAAAAAAAAAAAAATCCTATAAAATTTGTCTTATACAACTTATCTTATTCACTAATATTATTTAAATCTCATTAAAGTTTTCCTATCAGTACTGTTCATTTCATAGAAACTTACCTGCCAATATTATCTTGTGATAATAATTATTAGTCATTTGATAATGAAATTAAAGATAATGAATTTGTCCAGTAAGTATTGTTTATTTTACAAAAACTTGAATGCTAACATTGTCTGCCTTATAAAAACTTACCTGCCAATATTTTAGGTTTTATGAAAACTTATCTGCCAATATTTTCTGCTTTATAAAAACTTATCTGCCAATATTTTCTGCTTTATAAAAACTTATCTGCCAATATTTTCTGTTTTATAAAAACTTATCTGCCAATATTATCCTGTGATGATAATTATTAATCATTTGATAATGAAGTCAAAGATAATGAATGTATTCAATACTTCATGATGTTATGATATGCAAAATTCAATTCAACATATATTGTATTCCCATTTAGCTTTTTTTTTAAATATAAATTTTTCCTATCCAATATGTCTTCTTGTCTTAAAAACATAATTCATGAATTTAATTTTTGAAAAGGTAAAATACTCTATAAAGGTCAGCAAACTGTAAATAAAGGTCAAGAGAAAAATAACGTATGAACAAACCTAACAAAATAGCTCGTTAATTTCAATTAATTAGTAAAGAGAAATTCTATGAGTGAAATTTAACTAAATGATTTTATATTACATATTTTTAAGCTTTTCGAATTGAAACTAAGCACTCTCTCTCCGAAACAATGTTAAATAAATGTTTGTTTTATAGTTTATTATTTAGCGAAAGAAATAGGATAAAAAATCGAATGAAGTTTTAATCGAATCTTTTGCATCTAAACTTTTGCTATTTTTGAAAATGATTTACTTATATATAATATTCTTTTTTATGAAATGCATATAAATTTTATATTTTTTAGTTCGAATTTCTGAAAAACTTCTATCGATTATATTTTATTGCTGAGGAAAAGAAATTCAATTATTTTTTTTGTCAGTTGAAATTTGAGCTAAATTTGAATCAATTTTATTATTGTAAAACAAATCTTATTTGCTTACTTATCAAGAAATAAATATAACTTACTAATCGCAATAGCATCAAATCTCTTTTACTAAGTTTTAAATTTTGGATACAAACTGAAACAAACGCATTTTTGGTTTTAAAATCAAACCATTAATGCAAAAGAATATAATAAAATGCATTAAAAAAAATTTCTCTTTTTTCATTAATTAAACTTTAGATTAATTTTAATTAACTAAAAACTACAATTAGTTCTGATTAACTTTAATCTAATTATTCCGTTACTTTATAATGATATTAATATAAAGTATAAAACCTTCAACAGAAGTTACTTCTTGCATATGGGTACTATTTTAATCTAAAAAACCACTAGTTAATTCTAATCTTCTAAAGCTGCTAATATATTTGATATTTGAAAAAATTTCAGCAACTTGAATCCTTTTAACAGGTAAAAATAGTGTAAAAAAGGAATTATAACAGATAATCAAAGAAAATTTCTTCACTCTTCTATTTTTAAAGGATTTACAATTATTTTTTCAGTATTTGAATTTTGTTTTAAAACTTTGATTTAAAAATAAACTGCATTTATTAATTATACATTAGTAATATTCTGAAATTAAAACATTTGAGAATAGATGAAAGAAAGAAATGTATTTAGTTAATGGACCATTGCCTTAATAATTGCATAATTCAATTTTATGAACTTGTTTATTTGTTTGTTTGTTTGTTGTTTGACTTACATATTTATTCATTTACTTATTCATTCATTTTTCCTCTTTTAATGATTAACATAACCTCTTCATCATTTATTCACCTCATTTGTAAAATAAATATTAAACAACCATAACAAAAATAACAAATGATAGGTAGGAAAGAATAACAATAATAATTAGCAATAATAACAATAATAATAATAATAACAACAACAACGACAATGACAATGATGAATACCAAATCCAGATTGGGATATTAACGATTATAGCATCGTTGATGCTTAAGTGTATGATAATTGAAAAGGTAAATGTAAAATTTTAAGACTGGCTTATTTCATCAAAACAACATTAAAATTGATAATGGTGAGAAGATGAAATAAGCTTCCATTATAATTAAAACATTCCATATAAAAGGAACCAACAAAAATTAGTGGAAGTCATTCAAGTTAATTGCAACTTTTATCCATCCACAAATCTTTCATATTTACTTCTTATTTTCCTACCTTTCAATTTTATTTAGAAATAATTTTACACATAAAAAAGTAAAGAAAAGCCCACTGATTACTAATTTTCAGAAAAAAAACAGCTGATAGAAGAATAAGTTCTGTTGTCCAGGATGCGGAATTGGTTTATCATTTTCCTGATCTTAAGTATTTCCATCAACACACATCTAACAAGAGCTAAAACGACAACTGCACCTAGACTGAAGAATGATCGCGCAATTGCTCCAAATCTAGAAATCGATGGTGAATTTGCAACTGTTCTAGATGATGCCATCAGATTAGCAGATGTGGAAACTGAAATTCAACGTGATTCTCTAATTCCAACTTCTGATTCGAAAATAAAACATGAGCTGGGGCATAATGCAGATGAAAGTGGACGAACAAGGCGCAGTTGCGGTGGTGGTGGAGCAGGTTGTGGTGGTAGTTGTGGGTGCGGATGCGGATGCGGATGTGGATGTGGTTGCTGCCAGCGATCATGTTGTAACTCATGTACCACTTGTACCACAGTTACAACGTTTGTTTTCTACCAGAATTACTAATAACAGTTTCTTTAATCTTTTTTATTATATAAAAACATAAAAACATATGTTTATAAGTATGACGAGAACCAATCAATCCAATTTGCAAAGTTTACGCAAATTCAAATAGCTAAGAATGTCTTACTCACAAAATGTCATTCCGTACTTTGATATTACTCCACTGTTTCAACATGTTATTTCTCGTTATTCTCCTGAAATTATTAAAGATATTATAAAGAGCTCATAATAAAAGTTAAGCATGAAAATCGCAAGGAAACATTTTTTTTTTTAGTTGTTGCAAAACATGTTGTCAACAGTGTAATCAATCGTGTTGCGGATGTGGTGGATGTGGCGGAGGAAGTTGCGGTAACGACGGATGCGGTAGTGGTCATAGGCGTAAAAAGCGAAATATCATGGAGCTTCTAGGAGGACATTTGCTACGTGACAAACGCTCACCGGTATGTATCACAAAAATAAATACGACAATAAATAATTCTATGTATATTTAGCATTGTATTTAATTACTTTTTAATAGCACTTTCAATAATTCCATAATTAATCAAAATTTTTTTCTTTTTGAAAATTTGATTTAGCATAAAGTGCAACAGTTTCAGAAGAATAACCGTAGGCGTGCTAATGATGGTGTACCAATCAAGAAAACATTTAAGGTATTAATTAATAGATATAATTAACTTTCGATAGCACTAAAATTTTATTTTCAAGATATTCCATAAAAAAAGAAAAAAAAACCATATAAAATCATTATTGATGCTTGTCTGAAACATTAGTATTATTTTGATTGGCTATTAGTATTATTTTGATTAGTATGTTATTCATTTACGGTTATACTTAAACACATCAAATCCAGGTACTTAAATTATTTTATATCGAATTTTACTAAAATTTACCATCATAAGTTATCAGATTGTATTGAAAAATTTAAAACTCGAATGCATTAATAATAATTTTATTTTAGCACTAATCTTTAATAACTAACTTGTAGAATTCAAATTACTACCAGATAATGCATTTTAGGATTGCTGTTGCTAAACTCAGGTTCACAGTCAATTATAATCAGTAGCAGAAGTCAACATTCGGAAAAAAAAATTATGATTCAGGAAATTTCTGATATAAATAGTGGAAAATGTTAAAATTGAAATTTCAGAATTTCAGCTTGACTTAATGCGTTTCAAGTATTACTATAAAAAAAGAAAAAAAGTGAAGTTCCAGTAAATTTATATTACAATTATTTAAAATATTAATAATTTGTAAAGAATAAATCATGCATGTTTCATTATTCATAACAAATTTTGCCATAAATTTTATAACCTGTCCATGATGTTTGAATAACGACCAAATAAACAAATCTGGTTTTAATTAAAATCAAACATAATGTCGGGCAAACTGTTCAGAAGAATAAATTACAATTAAAACTTATTAAGAGATTATTCAGTCAAATCGTTAACAGTATAACTGTACTGTCCCAATGATTTCAGTTCATTTTTTGTTTAAAACAAAAATGAAAACAGCATCTTGATCTTCTGAGAAAAATAGTTCTCTAAATAAAATCGCAAAAAAAGATTCATATAGAATACACTAAGTTAAAATGAGGTTAAGTTTAACATTAAAAACTAAAAACAGTGTACAGTATCCCGAAAGTACGCTAATTAATTTGCATTTCTTCAAATGTTCAAAATTTGTTTACAATTGTTCTGCGACAACTACAATTTTTTTTTTTTTCTTTATTAATGAAAGTAGAATCACATTTTACTAAATCAAACATTCATCCAGATGACAAGGAAAAAAAAGCGGAAGAAAAAATCGAATAATTCATCAATAAACTGGGCAGTAATTAGTCATCCATTTAAAGAGTTGGAGTGACGGCGCTAAGAGTCATTCATGAATCCACAACCAAGTACAAATACACTTTCCTTGCGGTTTCGTTATTAGGTAATCAACAAATCAGTGCGACTAAGAATTAGTGTAATAAAGAAACAGGAAAAAAAAGGGAAGAAATGTCTTAACAATTTTGTAAAAAGTAGCAACATATTTTAAAACCAGTATAGGTAAAGAAATAGATAAAGGTTTAAAACCTGTACAATCATCATGAATCATTAAAAGCATACCAATCAATTCAAAAGAGAAAATTGAAATATTTCATACTTTGCTCTGAACATTTTTTTTCTTAAAATTCTTATTATTTAATTTAAATCAAATTTCTGCATGAATTTATCGGAAAATAGACTTTAGTGGATAACAAAATTACAACTTACTGCCATTTATTTAAACTTGAGATAACAAATAGATATTCATACATCAGAATTGGCATTTATGATTAGAAAATCTGGATATTTTTATGAAATATATGTCGAATTCAATTGAAACCGATCCATATTATTAAATATTAACACTTTCCAAGAAAGAAATATATCTATATGTGTATAACATAAGCATACAAAAACCCACACTTAAACAAATTTCAAAAACATGCAACACAATTATTGAACATATCACCATTTCCATTAAAAAAATTTTATCCTAATCTTAGATTGGACTCGCAGGAGAATCAGTAGCAACTGATCGAACGCTCTCAGTTGGTTTTGTGGACGGTAGTGGATCTTCAGGGGGTGACCTACGCTGATCCGCATTTGTCACTGATTCCATGCCCTTCAGAGTCTCCATGTCACATTGTCGTTCTGTTGTAAGATGATGTTCCTGCAACTGTGGTTTGATATCAGTCAGTTGATTTTCAACACAGATAACATGCTGGTCATTTCGTTCTCGATCATCTCCTCTCAACCGTCTTTCGAAATGTTCCTCTTGCTCGCATTCATGCATTACACGTGGACTACCACGCCTACGACGATCAGGTGAATATGGTCGTCTTTCGAACGGACTCGCTGACCTTGACCTGAAAAAAAAAAAACCAACATTCGATAATCAGATATATATATATACAAATATTTTTTTCTAACACTTTGATTCTTTTAACAAATCTCAAGAAAGCATAATAGCAACACAAGGATTATCAACCTTGATCGACTTCTGCTTCTTGATCTCGACGAACTTCTCCTCCGTCTCCTTCCATAGCGATCATGTACACGACGATCATAGTCATATTCCCGTTCCCTGTCACGATCTCTTTCTCTGTCGCGATCATAAAATCCCCTACGACCCAATGAAGGTCCACCACGTCCACGTCTGAAACCGAGCCATATTAACCGATTTTTCTTAGCTCATCGTAACTTATATAATTGTTAAATAAGGCTTAAACAATTCGTTAGACAGCTTGTTCAGAAATGAAGCAATTGCTGTTAAGTTCTGCTAATTACTTTTAAACTTTGAAAATATTTTCCTTCTCATACAACTTATGACTATTTGAATACTTCAGTAATATACAATGTATGTCATACCTATATCCACCATCTGCTCCACCTCGACGTGAACCACCTCTAAACGGCTGACCACCGCGTCTAAAACTTCGTCCTCGTTCATCACTGTAACCGTACCCTTGGGTACCCACAGTTGGTTCATCACCATGCGCAAACCTGCATCTCGTACCGTAACTACACGTACCCGATTGATAAAATGTGCACTGTTTGACTGCTGTAAAAAAATGCTTATTAAAAACAACAACAATATACCTTAGTAATCTTTACAGTTCTGATTTTTCCTTCCACTGCTGCACAGTGTTGACGTCAATAATTGGAAGGATTCAGAAATTTCAAAAATACAAATAGGAAGCTTACCAGTACGGCCGTAAGCACCATAAGATGGTGCTTCAGATGTAGATGGACCACTTTGAGTAGTCAAATCTACACCTATTGTTGGTGTAACGCCAGCCGGAACTGGACCATTCAGAAGAGGTTGCTGTTGCTGAACCGGAAGTATATATTGACCTGCTGATAAAACAGGTGGCATTGGAAGTCTAAAAAGTACTAAAATGTTAGGTCAAAATTTTTGATAGTTTAAAATGGAATTTCAAAATGAACTATGTACATGAACTCCTAAAGAAAATATTTTTATAAATAATGAAACTTAAAAAAAAAAAATCTAATACCCATGAGCAAAACGAGGTGGCGGTAAAGACATATTCAGAATATTTGGAACGGCGGAATGTGTTGTTAACTGAGCATACGTTGGAGTTGTGGTCACAGGGAGTTGTGATGCAGAAGGAACTGATGTTGCTATTGTACCAGTAACAGCAGAAGTAGTTGAAGATACTTTATTAAGTATGCTTGTTAAATCTGAACTTGAACCAACAAGGCCCATCTTTTTTAGTTCAGTCATTAATTTCTGCAAAAATTTCATTGCTTTCATTTATATATGCTTTTAATAGATAAGAATTAAATATTAATTCAAGAACAGCTATCCTTAAAACTTTTGAAATTAAAATAAACATGTAACGAATTTAACAAAATTGATCACTTACTTGGACATCTATTTCTTTTCCTTCACTCTGATTATGACTTGCTGAACCTCCAGCAGTGGTAGCAGCATCCTAAAAAATATCAAATATTTAATACGCAACAAAAATACTGAGACCTTCATGATTTGAAATTATGTAACAATAAATTAAGTTCAGAAAATTACCTGATTAAGATCTTCATCATCGGCTTCAGATTCCAAAGGTATTTCGGTTGGTGGTAATATAGCACCAGTTAACAACTCTGGTTCAGCATCCGCCAATTCGGCTGGTCTAAAAATTATCATTTTCAACTTTCAAACAACGACCGCAAAAAACAGAAGCAATATTTTGTCCGTACCTCCCCACGTTTTACATAGTAACAAAGTAAAACTTACAACGAGGGATCATAAAATGGCATCATAATAGTCTTTTGCCGCTCTTCCTCAATTTTTTTCGCTTCACTCTGCGAACCTCGACGTTCAAAAAATATAGCATCCGTAAGCGGTATCAATTTCCACTGAAAATTTTTTTAAAAAATCAGCTACAAAAAAGTTGATCTTATTCATCACAACACTGATTAATTTCTGAGAAGTTGAAGTCCCACATAATATCAAAGGTCTTGAATTGTAAACTTTATCAGCCTACCTACCTACCTACCACACTAACATGAAAGGACCAATCTAATAGATGTTGCAAATAAATGTAGAACTCTACAAGTTCCACAATTCCAAAGTTCACTGATTATTAAGATTTTAAACAACATTTGAAAGTATTGGAAATCCCAATAATCTTTAAACATTCCTCAATATTTAAATCACATTTGAAAATTAAAAAAACAAAAAACATTAGCTATACTGGAATATGAGTGATTCCTTCCGAACGACCAGTATTGAAGCCAAATTCAGTTATATGTAGGCTGCGTTGTTCTTTCATAAATGTTCGTTCACGTTGCATTTCGAGGTGCTTCATGTCTTCAGACGACAATTTGCTAACATTTACTGAAATTTGAACTTTAAAACTGCTATTCGATCTGATGGATCATATAAGAATCAGCTAAGTGAATTTAAACCAACATTAAGAACAAATATATTAATGAAACAAAAGTAATTACAAGTTGAAATTCTGTTTCTAAATTAGGGAATGAACTTACTAATCATTTTATTAGTCATGAAAATTGTGAAAATTATATTTTTCTCATATAATTAATCCTACTCCCAGATTTAAAATACAGCAATTATAAAAAAAAAAAAAAAAAACTAACATCTTTCACCCTCTTCTACTTCAAAATACCGAACTTCAACAAGCTCCTGTCCATTTTCATCAGCGAAACGTATCTTTCGATTACCAATTGGTACAATGTTTGGTTCTTCCACTACCAATTCTTTTTTTTCCTCTACCGATCCCTCGTCCTGTTTTTCTTTATTAAGCGATTTTGAGGTATCACTATATAGTCCCTCCTAAGAAGAATTGTTAAATGATTTTTCAAAATAAAAAAAAAAAAAACCTAAAAATCAAAATTAGTCTTCGAACATAATCACAAATTATGACTATGACTGCGTAAAATTGGAATGACGACTTCTCTTCTATAAAGATGTAGGAGTTTTAAAAAAGAATTATTTTGTAAGCTAGCAATGCATGATATTCAATCATAACTTCCACTAATTTAATATTTCATACAGCTGTAAATTAGCCCAATATTAACAAAATTTAATACAATCATTACTGACTCTATTACAACCGAACTAGTTGATTTAAAAATTTTGTTTAACAACACAAACCACTAAATACACCATACCTAAACTTAAAATTCAAAAATCTTAATGTATGAAAGAACAAACCATAACACTCGGTATAACGGATATCGATGGTTTCAAATTCAACGTCGACCGCTTTTTAGCTTGCTTTGGAGGAGGTTTCTTATGTCCTGGATCCATCAGAGCATCCATAAATGTATTGCTCATCATGACTCCTATAAATCACTAAGATTAGATTAAGTAAGAATTAATATTAACAGTACATTAACAATGTGAAAAAATATGCAAATGATGAATACTTACTTTTTTTAGTTGAGAAGTAAAGTTAATGAGGATTTGTTGTATCAAGAACAAAATATTAAAAATGTATGACTTACTTGCAGGAGTGTGTGAAACAGGTTTTTTATCAACGAACGGTGCAGATGAGACAGGAAGTGAAGCATTAATTGCTGATACTTTTGACACACTTGTTGGAACAGCTATAATGATAAAAATTTTAAATAGTTTAGCTATAAAAATAGTACACACCGAATCGTTGGCATCTAATAGTGCTTTATAATGACAAAAAGGTTAGAAATCACCACAGCATAAATGAAGCAAAACTACAGTCCACTCGCAGCTTATTCCTCTACAAATAACAATTTGAAATATAATAACTGAGTAGAAAAAGTCGCAACTATAAAAAAATGGACATACCAGCGCGTTTTTTGGCATCTAATAATGCCTTACTAGGCAAACTGCCTTTCTTTTTGGATGTTACCATTGTGCTAGCACTACTCTTGCTTGTCGTACCTTCATCATCACCTTCTAATCCTAAAATCAGCAAAAATAAAACATCTTCAGTAATCAGCAGGTTATTAAATTGGGATCATTCGATGATTGTACAAGCCTGCTGCAAACAATCGCATACACTATGTGCATTCACGACACACACCAGAGTTGGGGACAAGGTGATGTCACATCTGAGTTTCCGTTGAAGAATTAGCACAGTTCATTGATTTATAAAATTATGTGAAATAGTGATGCGCAACTAGACGACCCATATTTTCCGTGTAACAGTGATGAATTATCATAGTCTCATTTGCATTGTAAGCCTTAACATTGACATTTGTGACGGCTTAACCATGCCACAACCAATTGCAATATAGTACCATTACCAAATATGGCAAAAAAAAATGCAAATTGATCCACCACTTTTTCTATCTTTCAGAGTTAGCATTGTCAATTTTATACTATTTAGGTCTCGTTCAAGCAGGCGTTATTACTTTTCTCCAGTTCTGTCCTGCACAGAATTTCTAATTCATATTTCCTTCCATGCCTGTTTTGAAATTATTAAAGTTTTCATTTTTATTTGATTTTGCTTCCTGATGCATCTTTCTGGATTATTCAATTCAATGCCAATTCATTTTGTCGGTATTTCTAACAACGTTGGCTAGGGGAAAAGCACAGTTTGTTTTCATATATAACATTGTATATATGATATGAAAAAAAAAAAAAAAAAAAAAAAAAGCACTGTTTTCATGAAAATAGTTATCCGAAATGCTTGAAAAAAGAACAGTTTTATGGGAAAAAAAATGCACAACAAAATTAGCAGTTAGCAGTAGCACGGCTCGTACAATCACCGAACACCTGTTGCATGGAATGATGATGAAGGAGAATCCTGAAATTCATCAACATTATCATGCAAGCTAGTATAACCGATATTAAATCTAATTCTAAAATACTTGACTTCCAAATAAGATAAGAAATATTGAAGTTGTATGTTAAAAAATATATATAATGCAATACGCCTTTTGATGACAAGATAATCATGAAACAAATCAGAATTTTAGTTAAATGATTACTGATTGAAGAAAATCATGATCCCTTCAAAAAATTATTTTTCACTTCCAAATTGTGAAATCACGTAAAACTCCGATAATCAAAAAAACTGAAAAATTAAAATGGCAGAATATACTACAAGTGTTACCAAAAGCGCCTCTATTTCCCATCCCAAAATTTATTCATCTAATATATTTCATGTATATCATTCTAATATATTTCATCAAACAACTCCCACTGTTAATATTACATTACACAACATCGATTCGTGTGCAGTACCCCCTTCTTCGAATTTAGGAATTAAATGCCAACATCACTTAGTAGAGGAGTCATTTAGCTAGTATTATCTGTTTCACAGTTGAAGCTGAAATATTTGAGATAGTTTGAGAAAATTTTTCCTGCATAAAATGGTTATGATATTGCAATATTAGCATAAAAACAGAATTTAAAACATAAAAAACACCTATTGCAAGTTCCAACTATTCACATTTTTCTGAAGAAAAATCTTGCACCTGACTAAACGATGGCTAAAAGGAATGAGAAATAATACTTGACCAGTACAGTACCTGTTGAACGGAATTTTGAAGTATAGGTCTTGGCTGTTTTTGGGCGTCGTTTCTTTTCTTTTCTCTCCTCACCCAATTTCTCGAACATATTGAATTCATTAAGTTTATTCGACACAGCTTTCGCTGACTCATTTAATTTCTCTGCTTTCTCTACTTTAGTTTTAGAAGATGAAGCCTTCATAGACTTTTCGGCTTTGACAGATGAAGCGTCTAATTTTTCAGGATATTCGATGCTTGGAGACTTCTTACTAGATTCCACTTTATTTCCAGAAATGTCCTTTTGCTTGCTTCCATCCACTTCTTTTTCAGCAGTTTTCGTAGTTTCCAAATTATCTTTCTTCACCTTTGCTTTGCTCGCACCTCCAGATGCCGGATGAGGTGTTTTACGTTTTGCAGAACCAACTTTTTTCAATTCTTCAGGTACTTGCTGAGGTGGTGCGGATACTAAACGTTTCCATCGTATCACTAAATCACCAGATATTTTGCGTACGTCTGAAAAAACCAAAAATATTTGTAACTTGTGCAAAATATAAAGTAAAACACAGTGAAAGAAAAAAAAAAAAAAAAAAAAGCAAAAACCAATAATCTACGAATTGCTTTTTCCCACATAGCATAATTTGAAACAAACCTTGATCAGGACAAGTCTTCGATAATTTACGCACAAATTTCGGAGTATCGTTTGATTGCAACAATTCCAGGGTTAGATTTGCCTTAAATGAATCAGTTAAATAAAGCTGAAAAGTAGTCGAAAATTAGCCTCTACATAACTGAAATAGCTATTTGGTTTGAAATATGACCAAAAAAGCCGAGAAAATCGGGAACTCATGACAAAATGAACAAACTGTAAATAGCAATTGCATCTACTTACCACAGTTCGATCCTAATAAATTCTAGAGTGGAATGCAAGATTTTACAAGATTATAATGCATGACATAATCATGATGAGTTATTAGAAGCAATCGTGAAAGCTATGCATACCATTTAATAAGACCAAAAACCGAAAACTCCATTGAAACAATCCATCAATTTCAGTTTATACCCAAATTAAGTAATTAAGACGGCTGTAATCGATTTACAATTGAGAATGAAAGTAAATCTGTAGACACATGAAATAACTTACCTGCGAACATTGGCTTAATAGTAATTTCAAACGACTCCAATCTTCGTTCGCCTCAGCAGTTTTTAACCATGATCCCATCTGCTTCCAGCCAAGTGGCGTACTAAAACGCTGAATCGCAGCAACTTGTGCAGCCACTGTCGAACCACTAAAAAAAGACAGCTCTAAACTTATGGAATAAATAAAATCCATCGAACTTGTGTGTTTTCTTTTCGCTAAATCTCCAGCTCCGATACTACGTTATAAACTAATGAACAAACACCATTCCTTATTTTTACAATCTTCATTTAAATTCAAAAATAAAACAAGAAATTTTAAAATCAAGAACATTTCCAAGGGTGTAAACTTATTTCTTAAACAGTCACGACTTGTAATTGTGATTTACCTTATTTTCTCACTCTCTCCGTCATCTGGTGCAACTAATTTCTTTTTTGGCTTCCCAGCAGTACCACTGATACCTGAAGAAGACGGTTGCGATTCCTGTGAAAATTGCTGTTTTTGACGCTGAAATATATTAGTTAATATTAATCGCTAAATGTAATATTAGTATAATGAAAAGAATAATGAAATGAAAAGAAGAAGCAAGAGCAAGTGAAAAGAAGCAAGAGAATATGGAAGTCGGAGAATCAATAATTAACCTTATCTTCGAGGGCTTTCGCAACAATTTCACGTGCTACAGCACGATAATTTTCATTGGGTGAATTAATATCATCTCTTTGCGGTCGACGAGCAGGTCCAACTTGCTGGCGTAAAAACACATAGCGAGGTTGAGCACTACTCTCCATCACACGATACAGCTAAAAAGTGATCCTTTTCATACATTTTACAATTACCTATTTCGAATTCCTAATTTCATGAATGTTTCTCTAACCTTTATCTACAAATGTAAGTACTAATGAAGTTGGCCACAGTCATAGGTAATTGTGAAAATATGACAGCAGGACTACTTAAAATATAGCTGTCCCCATCCAGTAATGATACTACAGATAGGTAATTATGATAATTGTCAATCACTTATATCAGTACACATCAACACCAACATGGTAACAACATTCTGCCAACTTCTGCTACATCTTTTAAGAAGGCAACTTATTATGGACATCTTTAAATCTCCACAATATTTAAATAACCATGTAATTTTAAGTTCAGGAATAAAGGAAAATAAAAGATGTAATAAATAAAAATATGCCTAAATACACACCGAACCCTGATGTAATCTTGGACGATCCTGCGTTCTCACAGACTGCAGCGCATAGATCGGTTGACCTTCTACCGTGTGCCCAACAACAGTGTACTGAAAAAATCCAAAAACGTTCACCAAAATCTTATTAAATTTATGTACTTATTTTTGAAGTTATCGTCCACCCAACCTTAAGCTTACTCTTAGTCACTTATTGTTTGTTCTCTTTGCATTGAGTCATTTAGTTGCCTAAATAAATCTCGATTAATTTGAAGCCCAATTTTGTAAGAAAAGGTTATGTAATCAAGTGTAATTGAGGTAGAAGCAAAATTGAAAGTAGATGCGATGATGGAATATATGTGATGTCGCAAAACATAAAATGTATGTGGAAATCCGACGAATTAACATGAGTATTGAAGACTGGGAAATTTCTCATATCACCACCATCCAGCAAAAAAGAGGCATGAAAGACGATTTCCGTTCATAGTAATGTGAATGCCCACATAAGCGGATTCTTCAGATTAACCAACTCCAAATGATCCCATATTGCTAAGCATAAAAATCAGATTACTATTATTAGTTTTAGAGTTGGAGACTCAGCTATCAAACATCGAACGTGAGAGTAAATAGTCGAAACTTTGAGTCATAAAAAGTGGATCTTCTATATATGAATCTGTTGATCCAATTCTACAAATTTTATTAGATTTGCTGATCGTCTCTGAGCTGTATAAGCAGTCCCATTTGCAGCACTTTCTACTGCAACAAATCACGCAACAGCGCAATGTGCTAGCACTAGTACAGCTCCATAATTCCTTTGACAACACAATTTTACCAGTCGTAAATGAAAGTGAGAAAGATTAAGCAATGATCCATTGAAGTTGAGCGATTTACACCTTTTAACTCCAGGTTTAATAATGGTCTTTATACAGCAAAACTTTAACTTAGCTAAGAGAGAAGTTGTGGGTCCATCAAATCTAGCTTTCCCGACAAAGCCCCACCAAAAATTGTATGAAGCAACAAACATGCTTCTATTTTACATTACTGAACTATTTGGTGAATTCTCAGAGTTTAAGGAAATCAATATTCCAACACTACACCACGTGGTTCGAAATTATTAGGGGTGTTTATTTTGCAGGTGAAGCTGCACAATTTGTTAATAGACCAGATCTGATTTGTTAAAATAGAAAAATCCATTTAACTGGTGGTGCGGTAAGTGATAAAGAAAAAGCTAATAATACATTCTTTAAAATTATTTGCTACATCTTCGTGAATGTTCGAACTGTGACCAGACAATAAACTAGAACCGAACTTCTTTAGACATGGAATGTTAACAGTACTTTTCTAGATAACATGAGGATGGCAGCACACAAACATTTCATAAGTTCAGATGAACATTGACTACCCGAAAGCAGTACATTTTTCCTTCTTACATAGCCCAAGCTTGATACTCGGACATTTTGTTCCACTTCAAATACCCGTTTAAATTTATACAAAATATGAGTAAAATTTCGACTACCGACCCTATTGCTTTCATTTGAAATAACTTTTGGTTCTTGCAATCTTTGCTGAGGTTCACAGAAAACTGTGTTTCCTTGTTCACTAGTATGGCTTCCATATCCTAATCCACCGGAACGCATCGCTGTTGATGCCCCTCTTGAAATAAAATATTCAGGTATCCCAGCTGAATCACCAGATGTTGGGGAATATGAATGCGTCGGCGAATCTGTTATTGAGTACTCGTGATAACTAGGTATCAATTGATGTGGATCATCGAATACCTGAAATGATAAAATGTGGGGTATCGTCATCAGTGTGTAACCTTTCTGTACGTACATCTCACACAAACTTATACAAATTAATCGAAGGTTTGGTAAAGTTATACATAAATGAAATCGTACTGCATCTAGAAGTCAAATTCAACTGCTCCATTATATATTAATATAACATGTAAACATTTTAATGTATATGCATTTTGCTGTGATGTAATTAGCTAGTTCAATAAAGGGAACATCTTCTACAGTTCTGTAATGAACAACAATCATCACACATGTTGATAAACTGAAAAGTAAAGGGATTTCACTGGAGCAATATTTTGAAAATTTGCAGTACAGGCTCATATAACCAAAGAATGAAATGGATGAACCGCAGCATTAGACCCGCTATCTACCATTGTTAATGGCTCCAAAAGTTTACCAGTTCATACTTCATAATATAAGCCCGATTTCAAGAAACACGAAATAGGGCTTAGCACAATCAGAAATCACATCTCCTTATTCACCTTCTTAAAAAAGTTTATTTCAAAAAAAGCCTTCAAGTTAAATAACGTAGAATAGCACAGAAAAGAAAAACAGAAATTACGGAAAGATAACAAGATTTTGCGGCAGACCTGTTCGGTTCAATAGTTTTGCATCAAATAACTGAGCTCGCACAAAAACGGCATTTTAATAACCGTTGCATTTCATTACGTACGAGAGAATGAATGTATTCAAATAAATTTGTAAAACATACTTCTTGATAATCGTATGAGTTTTGGGAACAGTCGTCATTCTTTGGAATATGACGACCTATAAAGTTGCGCAACGTTTGTCCTGAAGACATATCATCTGCAACGCCATGATTTTGGCCATAATTCTGCAAATTGACGAAATAAAATTAATTTGTAAAGTAATTATAGATGCACATTAAACGGAAGACAAACTACATATTTTGAGCCAAAGAGAAGTTAGTACCGTTGTATTCAAAGAACAGATACCTAAGAAACTTTAAGAATAGATCTGCAGAGTTACTAAAACAAACCTAGATTTCTTATATTTGATTAAGCAATATGCTAAATCTACATTACTTCTTAATTTCTATAGCTCTATGGGGCAAAGAGTGCTTGCAGTAGCCTTCACAAACATTCAAAAAGTAAAAAAGTAAGTTTTATAGCTACTAAAAAACTTCCGTATAGAAAAAAGGTGAGGAAGAAAAACAAAAATGGAAATGGTCAAAAAAAAAAAAAGTGAGAACAAAGTGTAATATGTCTACTAGTACAAGTGAAAGACGCACCAAACTTCGCTGGGAGATCCCATAAAATGTACTGGATGAGATCGCTCTTCCTGAAGAAAACGGTTGCAGATGGTGATCCTGGGTCGAAGTTAAAGCCGAACGCGCACCAGGGTGTTGAAAATGAGCCAAGGGTTGATTGTACTCCGCATTTTGTTCATCGTCATCTTCGTCAGTATCACTTGGTTCTTCTTCTTGGAGAAACTGGGTCGGTAAGGGCACGAACCGACGAATCGGTTCATTTTCTGGCATTTTGACCCGTCAAAATCCTGAAGGACATTAATAATCTTAACAATTTCAAATGGTAGGTTAATGGCATCATACCCAATCATTTCAAAGACAGAAAAGTATATTATAAAAATAAAATTAGTAGTAATAATATGGTAGGATAAGATTACGATGGTTATGTGGACATATTTATATACTATCATGAAAGAAATAAAGACGACATCCTAGAAATTCAGGAACAAACTTTGACAATAATATTAAGACAAAATATTTACTCGGTCGGTAATTACCTCACAAAAAAATAAAGCTTTATACCAAAAAAATGTTCTCACTTTACAGTGAGACGTCCACTTCACAATTTGCTTTATCTAAGACAAATTACATATACATTTAAATTAATGACTGTACTACTAATTTTTTCTTCATCATAAAATGCGTTATGAATCTAATCAGTCACATATATGTATTATGTAAATGCTGTATTTCGACAAACAAAGCGGAAACGACGACTTTATTAAAATGCCTATCTTTCAAATCATTATTCTCAAGCACAGATTACAAGCTTTTGCGCCATCAAAACTCTGTTCAACAAATTACTCAATCCTATGCACAGATACTCAAGAAGTAATCAGAAGAAACTCCCGAAGTAATCAATAAATGGGAAGTTTAATTCATAATACTCACACAGACATACATGTGCACCTTCTTCATTGGACGATATGAGAATGACAGAAAGGAACAAAACTGCCTTGTTGAAATGAGGGCACGATGGAAGGAGAGAAGGATGTGTGCCACGTTGAAAACGCTGACGACAAAACATGAAATCAATCAATTGATGGGGTGCAATGCCTTTTCTTCTCTCCTCCTCCTCCTCTTCCCTTCTTTGCAAGTAAGCGATTGCTTCGTCGAAATCATTTCACAACACGAAAACCTGACATGCTCAGTACCGAAATTCGTTTTTTTCCTCTCGAGAATACTGTCCTTTCGTATTATTTCAATCGATCAGTAACCATTAGCATTGCTACTGCATTCAATTTAACAATCAAACTGGTAGCACAAGCAGATGAAGCTGATTGTAGCACAAGCAGATGAAGCGCACAACACAACCAACGTCTGTGCAGTGCTAACCTTATGGATCACAAATGCTAACCCTACCGGTCAAGACCGCCCCGCTCTCTCTCTATCCTCACACATTAGTACAACATTTACGCACTACTTGCTGTCCTATTCCGCACATTCAGCCATATAAAATTCGATCATTCGCCGGTCAAATTAATCAGCGTACATAAAAATTGATATGCATCGTTACGCAACTCTCTTATTTCCCATACTGTTATTTGAATTAGGGTTAATGTGTTATTCCGCTTTCGTCATTGCTGCTCCACCATAATACTGTTTGCGGGATGCCAGTGCGGAGCCATTTATGCATTATACTCAGGAAGACAGACAATACTACCACTTACGAAATGTCAAAATGCATGCTATTATGATGCAGAAATAGTTATTGCAAAATGCCAGTTGCGGAATATCGGATTACTTTCCTTGATATAACTACCTTTTGTCCAGCAATTATAACGACCTGTATCAACAAAACGGAAGAATAAGATTATAAAATTCCGCGATCCTTTCTTCTTCCAACACATTAAACCTGATTGATCTTTTTCTAGCCAGAAAGTTGCAGATAATGTGAGAATATTCATCTTTCAAAGAAATTATACGATATATGAAAGAAATAATAATTATCAGGAAATATGAAAACTATATTACTTCTAAAGAAGAGAAAAGAAGAAGATTTATAAGAATCATTTTATTTAGATTAGAATCCATGAGTGGAAAATGCTTATTTCAATGTTAACAATTACTAGTGCCTACAATGATACCTACAAATATATGGGAGGTAATTCAAATATCTGTTAATTATTGCAATCAATAAATTTAAAAGCAAGATTAAATATTTTAAAATATTAGTCTTATGAAGCACTACATGCAATATGCAAGAGATTCTCGATTAAATCTTATGTCTCATCTGTATTTCGATAACTGCAACGCATAGATCCAATGTGTTGCAAAATTCTACAAAACTTCAATTTTACTTTTTTCAAAAATAAAAGAAAAAAAGGAAAGAAAAACAAATGGTGATTTAAGAAAGCCAAGTATTTTACTCAGTTCAAAGCATTAAATGTTTTTAAATTTTCGCGGAATTTTTTCAGACTACCTCGTTCTTTCTTCAAACTGTTGAGAACATTCTTAAAACTAAATCATGGCCGACAGTAATACACATCTCTCTCTCTCTCTCTCTCTCTCTGTCACAAATCTCTCTTCTCAATAGGATTATACTTTGATCAGCATTAAACAAAAGAATAAAAACATGATTAATAAATACATTCCAGATCAAAAAAACTACTTTCTACTTCTTGCTGTCTCTATTAAAACAGATTTATTTTACGAAACTATTAATTAACGTAGAATTCTGGACCAAATCCTTCCGATAGTTTAAAATTTGTAAAAACTTCAAATTCTATTTAATTGAATTAAAACAAAATCCGATTTTGTTATGCGCACTAAAGTAAAAATTGAAAAATTAAGCAATTTCGAGACATTTAATTTTTTTTTTTCTTTTTAAAATGTTATTAATGAAAAACCTAAAATAATCTAAAATATTCGTATATTTCACAATGAAGAAAACGTAAAATAATCTACACTACTTGTACATTACATTAAATCTTACAATTTGAATAAGTGAAATAATAAAATAAAAACAAAACTCTCGCAAACAATTGTTTGTACATTAAAGAAATTTTATTTAAAACATCCAGCAATCAAATTTCAAATTTCCAGTGAAACAAATTAATTTGAAATTTGTATGTGTAGCAGTTCAGTGATAGATAATATGAACGAACCATTCCAAAATCTATAAACAAAACAATTATGTGTCATTCATTATTAAAGTGACATATCATTGTACTGAATGATAATTGTATCGTTATAGTATAAAACAGTGATTTTATCAATTTACTCTCTTATCTTGTTTCATTTCTTTCTTTCTTTTAAATCTCATTATATCTCCCCTTGTTTTATCCAATTTGCTTTAATTTAATTGCATATACTTTGCAATAACATATAATTTCACATTGAATCCTTATAAATTAACTAATGATACCATGCATTTTTTATTTTCTCCTTTTTTTTTAAAAAAAAAAAAAAAGAACGATTAGTTTTTCAAGATGTGACAACATAATCAGAAATAAATCTGATAGCTTTAAGCTTTATAAGATTGATAATATACTTCATTAAATCAACAATTATAGTATAAAATATTTAAATGAGACAACATAATCAAAAGGAACAATAAATTTTTTCTAAAAAAAAAAAAAATTATATAATCGCATTTTGAAATTTCCATGTTTAGAAAATGCGAAATTTTAAGGAAAATATGTGTAATACAAAAAATTTTTCTCAAAATAAATAAAAATTGATATGTTTAATTGCAAAATTTAAATATCACTCACAAATTCACAGTTACATTTCTAATAAATATCATTATTTTTTTTTGTAGTTAATGAATTAACGAAAAGCCTACAAAATAATCAGCGGAAACAAAAAAGTTTTCAGTTTATTTGCCAATTTTTAAATGCTTTAAAAACCTTCATACATTATTTGTTTTTTTCAGTCATTTCTTAACTTTCATACAAAATTTTTTTAGCTTTTTTCATAAATTTTCAGACTTTTTGAAATGAAATTTGAAATTTAAAGAGGATATTTTCAGGTAGACAAAAATTAACAAAAAACAAATTATCATTGTGATATAAAGCATGAAAATATTTTCTTTAAATTTACCTTATTTCGTTGTTGCCTCTAATGATCGCTCATTTATCTGCTATAAAATGTCTAAACCTTATTATAAACTATAAAAAAAAGCAGATCCTGTAAGGTAATAAAATTTTCAAATTAAAATAACCAACATATATTTTTCCATTTTCTAAAAATGCTTGTATTAAAATTCTATTTCCTGGATACAGCATCGAAAAGTTTTTAATCTACTATATATTTATTTATAGGCATGCATTTGCGCGCATTATGCATTACTGCATGTGCACTGCTCTCCCCAGCGCTTTACAAGCGGTGTTTTCAGGTTTTTTCTGTTTTTTTTTTTTTTTTTTTTTTGTTATGCAGTAAATTCATCTTCCCAAGAGAAAATTTTATATTTTTATTTCATTTTATTTTTTTGTTGCTGCTGCATTATAGCCTTTATCTAATAGCTTATTCAGTTTTCCATCTTAATTTTTCGAAACTTATTACATGATTATATTTGCATACGATTGATTAGTAGTTTCAGTTTAAATTTCCTTTAATTTAATGCGCAATTTCATCAACTTATACTCTTTATTTATATTCATTTCTACAGAGAGAGAAAGAGAGAAAGGCAGAGAAAGGGAGAGGGAGAGACAACTGAAATCCTACGACTAATTTCAAGCTAATACAGAACTTATTTCCTTCTTTATTCAATAATTAAGATTTAAGAAGTTACTTTGAAAAACATTTGGATAAGAATAATACCTATTAAAAATTGATCTTCTATCTTCCTCCTAATAATTTGGTGCATTAGCATTATGATAGCAAGTCACTGACAGGTTAGAAATTTAATGAAAATTAAATTTGAAGAGTTTGTAATAATCATCAAAAGAATATATTTTAAATAACCTTTAAATATTAACTAATATATCATTTAACTCAAAAGATTGCTATTAATACTCCTTATCTTTCGGAGATATTCATTCAATATTACCGCTATTTACCTTCCTTAACTTATCAGCTTTTTTTTTATCCTTGCTATACCGATATTCTCTGCACACTCAGACATTCGTATCAGTTTTTCGTCTTTTCTTTTTTTTTTTCCTATAATATCCTTCATTAGATAGAAATTCTTGGAAATTTTCTTGTCTGGTCTGTCTTTTTTTTTTGATATAATTTTGCTCAACTTCAAATTTAATATGAAAATATGATTGAATTGAATCGACCTCATACATTTGTAACTGTAGATGAAAATAAATGGAAAAAGAGCCTATATGTTTGATTAGTGCATGATTATCGCTTCAATACTGCTCTTTTCTTTATTATTTATTTATTTTTTCTTATTTTTTCTCTTTGAAGGGGCGGTTACTAAAATGAATTCCATAAAAAATTTAGCAAACCAAAGATTTCAATAATTTTCACTTTACTATAACTAACAGCTCTCGAACTAACAAACAACCGTTGATTGGCGTATTACTAGTTCTATCCATTACTAACTTAGCTAGCTAGCTAACTAACTAGCTACCTTCAATGTTCTTTTTGCTTATTTTAAAGTCTGCGCAGGACATATATATGACATATAATATATTAAGATCATTTTACTCAAAAGCTATTACCATTTTTGCAAAAATTTCAATAAAATGTTGATATTTTTCATCAAACCTTCTTTATAATATAAAATTGATATGTTTAACTGACGGCAATCCAAAAATATGCATACGAAATGAAAATTAGATCAATAATAAGTGGTGATTGAAGAAGAGAAAGCTTTTGCCACCTGGGAAATAAGCTACACCCAAATATTCATTTAAGGCAATTTTAGCATCGAAATGCTAGCTGTCAACTACAGTGGCTGTCAAAAAGATATGTATGTTTGTATGTGTGTGTGTATGTATGTGTATGTGTTTGTATATGTATGTGTAGAATATTACACTTCATTTCCTCATTGACAACAAATTTCATGGTCCAGTAGAGCGCACGATAGGATGAGTGAAAGGGTATCAGACTAGATTAGTGTCTCTAGTCTGTAATTTCTATCTATCTTCAAGCATTATCTAATTTTAAGTGGCTATGTCCCAACTGAATTAATCATAGTTTGTTTTAAATACTCAATCTTATCCATTTTCTCATTCATTCTTCCATTTATTTATCATTAATAATTAATGAAATTAAAAGTTAGTTGATGTAATCGAACTTTAACAACAGATAACATTATTTTCTTTTCTTTTTAAATGTTAAGTTGTAGTGAAATTAATTATATTCAATTATAAGTAAAGAGAAAAAATTCCTTGGATCCAAATAACATTACTTAAATTTAAAAATATTTGCATATCGGTTCATGCAATTTAAACATTAATCTTCCTGTAATTTTTCTAACGATAACTCCATCTAGTGAAATTTGAAGCCTTAAATTTGAAATACAGACAACATGAGAATGATCTGGCATTTAACTATAAGTTAAAATTGCTTTAGGAACAAGTTGCAAACCGTAAATGTCCTCTTGCTGATAAATCTTTGAAATAATTCTGTTCGTTTTTTTGGAATATTTGCTGCTTTTACTGTGATATACATGTACAATTTCTATTTCCATAAAACTGCTTATCAATCATTAATTCAATTGCTGAAATGAAGTAAGCAGAAAATTTTTGTTGCTAAAATTCCCCTAAAAAAAAAAAAAATTAGAAAAAACAAAAAACAAATTTGCACTTATTCAATGCTAGAAAGTTGATTTTCCTTTTGAAAAATATAACAAGTGAAATGATAAAACTGATCAAAAGAAGATACCATTAATACTTTTTCTACATAGAAGGAATTTTAAAGATTTGCAAATCAAAAAAAAAAAAAAAAAAGAAAAACCATACACCGCTTAATGCCGGAAGGTTTAGAACACAGGAAATAAGGGCCAGAAATGATGAAATGGTTAGATTGATAGAATTACATCAACAAATTAGAGCTATTTCGAGCAAATAGCCAAGCAACGATCATATTAAATACTATCACCTTTTTTTTTTTAAATAAATACGAATTGTTCAATAGACCAAAAAAAAATTTCTCGAAATGAGCTAGTTATATGATAAAATATGGTTTATTGTTTATTTACCAATAAAAATTAATAGTCAATAGTATTTCAAAAAGAAAAAAAAAAGAAAGAAAAGGAGAAAAATAAAGGTGTAAATCTATGTGATCTTTTAGTAACAGAATTTTTTTAATTTTTTTTTTAAACTTATGAATCAAGTTCTCTATTCTTATTTATTCTTTCTCTAATAAAATATTAAATGTTGGAAATAAAGAATAAATCAATAGCGATTTCATAGAAGAGATTTATCATATTATTCATCTATTTCATAATCAAATGATGTAAATTGAGAGCTACGACCAAATTTACTTTTATTTAATCGTTATCGAATTATCCGATTAGTACAATGCAGTCGCTTCCTTTTCTAAAGTTTTAATAAAAAATTAGCTGAAAAAAAAGTGAAAACTTCCTAGAATTACCGCCAGCTATACTGCAGCTATTCAATTCTACTGTGATTATTGAAATCTGATACTACTTATAAACACGAACTATTATTACTGTTAATTAAGACATTTTACTAACATCTTTAATGATTGTTCCATATCTTGCCCGTATCGTGCTACTTTTACCCGAATTATCACCTATCCAAACGGATCATCTAGCAGATATCATTGAAGAGCAGAAATTGCATGGTGAATGTTTCATTTATTACATTTGATTTCATTTACTGTTCATGAAATTTTCTTTTTTGCTTTTGTTCCATTTATCGAGCTTTGGAGCTTTGCCCTAACAACATAAAAAAGTGCAGATTATTTTAAATTTACTTTGTAGATAATCAAACTTCACACCTATTTATAGGTTTTAATAAACCAAAGTTTACGCTAATGTCAAAGTGAAGTGAATTATGAAATAGTTTAATCGATAGTTTTTCTTCTACCTAAATATATTTCCTTAAAAGTTGTGAATAAACAGAATATATTATAAGCTTATGAATGCGGGATGAATATTATTCAAGGAACTCCTAAAAGCAAAGTTAATCATTTTCGTCAACATCAATCAATAATAAATAGTTAAGTGTTTTATTCATGTAACGGAAATTTTATTTTAGGTAAAGGAAGTGAACGAAATCAAATTCTCGATAAACATAAATCATGTGTTCCAGTGAATGGAGAGTTACGAAAAGAACTCATACAGGTAACCATTTCATATTCCTTTTCCATTTTTTCCTACTTAGTGATGAATAAAGAAAAAAAATAATAATAATAATTGGTGTATAATCGAATACATAGTTTGTGAAGGACCATTGCTAAATGTTCGTATAATTATGACACCTTGACAATTAATTCATTTACAAATTGTGTGTTTAATCAATAATAGAAAGGTGCAAATATGCTCTTATCCAAATCATTATTATCTTATTCTTATGATTCCAAAAAAAAAAGATATAAATTCTCTTCTCCTCTCTCGCTTTTTCATTAAAAACGATTAATTTCATTTACGAAATTAAAGTTTGCCCTAAAAATGTAGAAAATATGTCGTAAATGGCACCGAAAATGAAATTTTTTTTTTTTTTTTGTTTGCTCTAACACATTTTCATATCTTATGAAACTAAAGATTTCAAGTCTGACTAGTTCATAAATTTTATTTATACCTTTATTTCAAATAACTGCTTTATGTAGAAAAACTTTTTTACAGTCTTTAACATAATAACCATATTCTTTTGGGCTATAAAAGATTGCAAAATTCTCTATCCTATACAATTAAGGATTAAAGAAAGTGATATCATTTAAAGTAAAAAAATTTGCGAAATTTCATAATTTGAAGAAGCTGAAACTCATTTGAGTCCAAAAAATGGAAAAACTTATGCTAGGTAATATATATTTCTTACTTTCCATATTCTTTTCTGAATATATTAAACCAAACGGATAAAACGAAAACAAATCATATTAGATATTATAATTTTCAATTAAAAAAATCAAAATCTACGTCAACCTTCTTCTTTTTTTTTAGTGAGGAAAAGGTAAAGATTTGAATATTGTAATAAACTTTAAAACATACGAGAAATGTGCAAAAAAGTGAAAGAGAAAAGAATTGTACGAAAACAACTGCTTACTGTTTACCATTTATCACTAATTCATCGCCAACAGTTTAAATTACTTTAAAAAAAAAGAAAAACACAGTTTGCACGTCGAATAAATGTGAACGAACCGATAAAAACTCTCACCTTCATTTATCATAGGCCTAAAATATTTTAATGCACTGCTAAAATACATCTAGTGAGAGAAACAAAATTACGGAGAGCCTTGATATGTAATCTCTACCATAAAATTCCTCAAACATTCTCACTAACTTAACTTCCGATTTCAATCAGTTATTTTCAAATAATGGTAATCAATAATAATTAACAATCAATAACAGTAATTTTAATAACAATAATAACAGTAAATAATAATAATTTTATTACTAACAACTTAGTTGTTTTTCCTCAAAAGGAAAAACGGAATATGTCTTTGAACAGTAATAGAAATTTCAAATTAATAATTGATAACCGACAACAGATAAGTTAATCGTTGAATAAAAAAAATACTTAAATACGCACAGGAGATTAATCAGAAATGAACAGATTTGTAGTTAAACTTTAAATATACAATTCCATTCATGTTATATCGAACTATCAGTTAACTTTCTTGTTACCTACTTTCAACTATTCACATATCAAAATTATTATTCCCATACAGCACATAATCATACTGGATGTAATAATCATTTATCATAAATATCAAATGTGCAACTATTATAGATTATTATGACGTTATCACAAATTTCTTCCATTTCTAGTGCAAATTAACATTTTCATTCACATTTTCACTCTTTATCTTAGCAAACTTCTTTATTCCATTTTTTTCTTCCTCAGTTAGGAAAGAAATATATTGATAATCAAATCGGATTTCACCACATATTTGAAAAGTCTTTGTGTCGTAAGATACAATGATGCATGTGGAGATATGATATTGCGCAATCAGTACAACATTATTTAATGTACGAGATTAAAAGAATAATTTATTTGCAAATAAGAATAAAAAAGAAAAAAAAAAGGAGCATTCCACAGTATATAATTGATAATTTATAAATAAAAATGATAAAATTGATTTAGGATACATTGATAAGCCACAAGAGGGATAGTGATTTAAAAAACAAAAGCAGTCAAAAAATCCCTATTTGAAGAATAAATATGTAAAAGAAAAATTCAGTAGGATGAATCTGCAATTTTTATGAAAAAAATTAATTGAAGTTGTAATACCTAGCCAGGTAATGTTTTCAATTATCTCGTTCTTTTATATTACAAATAACAAAAATATATTTTATTATATCAAGGTAATTTTAAATTAAAATTAACATGATAGGGTTTATTCGATGAGCAAACATATGATAAGAATATATTACCAACGGACAATTCAATAGAAGTAATTGTGGAAGTGACAGTACAGAGTATAACAGAGATCAGTGAAATAACAAGCAGCTTTAAAGCAGATATATGGTTCAGTCAAATATGGCATGATCAACGACTCGATTTTAGGGTAACTTTTAAAAATTATCAATATTATTAGAGTAACATTGGTAGATTCTATGTACTTTCTAGTCTTTTCAATATATAAATCAATAATACATATCTTCAAATGTGCTACGTTATGATAAGATCACATCATACTTATTGCTCAAAAAAAAAAAAAAAAAAAAATATTGTCCTTTCCAGCATTTAAATTACTGTTTGACGAATTTATCATTGGCAGCTCATAAGTTACCCAATTTATGGACACCAAATGTTTGTGTTGTTAATAGTAAAAAAGTAACAGTACATACATCACCATCACAGAATATTCTTCTATTAGTATTTCCTAATGGAACTGTATGGCTTAACTACAGGTATATTTATTTATTTATGAAACAATCAACAATTAATGGAAAAATATATTTCTAATTTGCAAGAATCATTTTTATTTCTCATGCTACTTAGTATTCAATAAATTTGAATTTTTCATCTATATTTGGAAAATTGAAAAAAAAATAAAGAAGCACTAAACAATTTTTTTTAATCCCCATAAGCTTTTTTTTCGTTCTTTTAAATATTTTCAACAGCGTTATTTTTCGGCTAAATCCCACAAATTTTTTATTTGAATTTGCATGGGAAATAACACCTTCGCATACAAAAAACTAATTTATATTCACAACAAAACAAAAATAACCTCAATTTTTTAAATGCAATTCTTCCTAGTTATCAAGCATTAAATTTGTTTCGGAGTTAGGAAGAAGACCAAATGTAGCCATTTTTCGATTTGTCAAATCTTAACTCGAAACAAGATTTCACATCGATATCTTAGAATATTTCGTAAATGATCCAAATTGTGCTTTTTAGTTCTAATTAGAGAATGACAAATTTCAGGATTAGTTTGCAAGGACCATGTCAACTTGATTTAACTAATTTTCCCATGGATACACAACAATGTAATCTTATCTTTGAGGTGGTATTATTTAACAGAAATATTAAACATTGTTTAACCTACAGCCTGACTACTTATGAATTCATTACGGCTATTTTAATATTTGGTATGACTGAAGACAATTTCTGGATTAATTTAGATACAAATTTATGAATGTATGAATGCTTTTAGCCTAACATGGAATTTAATAAGTCACATTATGAACATAAAAATTAAAAAAGTTTAATGAATTGTAAGATTTTCTGGTTTAGTAAAATTGCCATTGAACTGACAATTCTTAAACGCTTAAATGTGAACAGTTCCAACAAATTGAATATGAAAAAAAAAAAGAACGGATCAACAATCAAAAATGTTCTGTTTACAGAGTTATTCATATAATACAGCGGAAGTGAGAATAGTATGGCGTGATTGGGAACCTATATCAATTCCCGACCAGAGTAGTAAAAATTTGCCAGACTTTGTACTTACACATACTGAAAATAAGAACACAACACTTTTTTACACAGCTGGCCAATGGGACCAACTGGAAGCTGTTTTCATTTTTCGCCGTCTTTACGGATATTACGTTTTACAGGTAATTGATGTTTCACGTAGCGATAAAATCAATCGTCTATTATTATCATATAAGCATAATATTCAGAGAGAGAGAGAGAGAGAGAGAGAGAAAGAGAGAGAAAGAAAGACTAGAAAATTACTCTAATGAATAAATAATGAACTTCGATCATTAAGTGTTTCCATTTAATTTCTTTCCTCAAAATTAAATTAAGGGTATATTATTTAGCATCTTTTTTCTTTTTCAGGCTTACATGCCTACATATTTATCAGTATTCATATCATGGATAGCATTCTGGATTGATACAAAAGCATTACCAGCACGCATAACGCTCGGTGTAAGCTCACTGATGGCATTAACATTTCAATTCGGTAATATTGTCAAAAATTTGCCACGTGTGTCGTACGTAAAGGTAAGATAAGCAGACATTTTCATATTATACTAATTTTTTCCATATATCTTCAAAGTTATTTTAATTTCCAACTTATTTTTAGCAAACTAACTTAATATTTATAATTTAAAGTATGATGCTCACAAGCGATGATTTAACAGAATTTATATTGCCTACTTCTTAATTACAATGATAAACAAATGAATAAGTTGAACTGCAAAATTCTCACTTTGTAAGTTAACAATTATTAAACATATAAACTTGCTTCAAGTTATAATACGAAATGAAAAGAAAAATAATTGAGTATGGAGCAAAATAAACATTTTGATTTAGATTCATTATTCAGGCACTGGATATATGGATGTTTGGGTGTGTTGGCTTTATCTTCTTATCCCTTGTCGAGGTAAACGAACCAACATAATAACAACAATATAATTATAATGCCTTTTTGTCCTCATCCTAATTGTCCAAAAGAAAATTAAAGAAAGCATAATCGAGCCCAAATTGCTAATTAAAAGATAACTACCTTCATGGCAATGTAAAAATATCATCTGATTTGATGGATCTATGCTAGCATCCAGATCAAGCTCTTAATCTTACCCGTAATAAGTGCAATCTATATTAGCAACGAAATGAAGAACTGTTGATATCATTCGTTATTATTCTTTTGCAGTTGGCAATTGTTGGTTATGTAGATAAGTTAGATTTGAGAAGACGACGTGTACGGGTTCGAGAGTCTAACTTTCATACCCAAACTGAACCATGGAATATGAAACTGACGAAAAATGATTCACGTACAAATTCTAGACTTCCATTATCAAATATAAGTAAGTCTATTACTGAGTACATAATATGCAGATTTCTGAGAAATGGAATAATACCAGGAGTTTTGAAATATATTTCAGATAGTCCAGTGAAAGCTTTGCAACAAAATGGGTCATTTCTCTACTTGAATTCAGATAATCGGAATATGCATGACAATAGCAGTTTGGCAACACTCTGGTCATCCGATTATCCACCCAGACGGATGAAGCGAGAAAGCTTTTTTCGGCGTATTTCAACTGCTGAAGATCCACGAAAAACGGACGGAGAAAAAATTGACGAGGTAATGGCTTTTTCCTTCAAATACTTATGAATTTTTACTTTTCAAAACTTCTGTAAGTTGCACTTTAACTATATGCAACCATCGAAGATTTAACTAAGCAATGAATTGAACTGGATAATTTACTTGATTTTATCAAAGTTAAGATGTGAAGGAAATTCACGAATAGTAACGTACGACAAATTTTTTAGTATTAAGAAAAGAATTAAGCACATTTAAGACCAAAACTTAAGGTTTTAAGGTTAAGAAAGAAAACAAATTAATTTAACAGTTGTCTGTCAAAAGATAATTTCAGATTTCTGGCAAAACCTTTCCATTGCTATTTATCGCTTTCAATATGTTTTACTGGTTTTACTATATTGGTTTATGCAGAAGATTCACAAAATAAACTTGTATATTTGTTACAAGATGACAGAGCAATTCACTCCTTGCGCAAAAACATCTATATACAATAATGAAAGAGAAAAAAGCTGAAATGGATAAAATCTTATTAAATGAAAATGAATGAATCATCCTAAAATCTCATCAGAAGTAACACTTCTCCTACATACTAAATAAAATCAACAAATTTAAATAAAAAGAAAAAAAAAGAAAGAAAAGCAAACAAAGAAAAGAACCAAATGATGGGATGAAAAGGTTTATTTTTGCACTTAAATTGAAAAAAAAAAAGTTAAATTTTAAGGTGAAAGAAAATAGGATTAAATATTGCAGTGGTGTCACGACTCTGAGACTGTAACACTGTAGATAGAAAAATAGTATATCATTCCTTACCACAAGCTAACTATATGCTAAGTAGTGGAAAAATATAATTTCTCAATGTAATAAATGTAGCAAAGGAAAATGGTACGCACAATAAAGCAATGATTTATTGGTACTATTGAGAATTTCACTGATGATATATGATTCAGTCTGCACCTAATTACTTGCATGAACAAAACCGCAACAACACTAACCCACGCCACTTTGCGCCAACTTCATCAATATAGCCAGTTGACTTGGCCCTACTCCAACAATGAAATACAACGCGGTCCATTATCACATCCCACAATGAAACATTTTCTCTCCCATGACAATATGATAAAGAATCGATGGATGTTCTAATCGCTTCACAGACGATCTGGTCGCTTTCGTTTTCCGGGCGTCACTGTCACAATAGCATTAGTATTAAGGTAGTGTGAAAGAATTTCTCGAATACGTCTTCTGAATACACTCAAAATCTTCTGAATACCTGCAAAAAATTTAGGAGAAATTAGTTTAGTTAGAGTAATTATCGAATATCTCAAATATTACACTTCTACCAGCCAATCTTTTATTAAGCATACAAATAATGAACGAATAAATAGGAAAAAAAAGCACAAACATTTTGTTTAGTTTAAAAGAATGAATGGCATTTACAATTAGTTACTAAATGAGTCATTTTAACTTTAATGAATTAATACATTTAACAGTAGTTCAAACCTTCACTACCACTAGAGTATGATAAGCCTTATTTTGCATCTGTACTTCTATAAAGTGTGATAGGCCTTACTCTGCACTTAGCACCTCAAACTTTTATTCCAGTAAAGTATAGCAAGCCTTACTTTGTACTTAACAACGGCTAGAATCTTCACTCTTACAAAATGAACGAATAAATAGGAAAAAAAAGCACAAGTACAAAGTATGATAGGTCATACTTTATCATTGCCTTAAACAGTATAAGTAATCAGTGAAAAATGAGATTTTTCAAAGATTCGTTTCAAAATTAAATGAAAAGTGATGCAAAGGTAAGAAGTGAATGAATTTGTAGGTAATTTGTTAAAGGTGACAAGAATGAATGAAATTAAACACAACTGATACATCTTTTCATCCTTCATTCTTCATCCATTAACTCTCTAACATTCACTGATTATTAGAAATTTGACAGGTAATGAGTGGTCTACAAAGGCGGTGAAATTTTTGGGGGATGTTTAAATTATTGAAAAAAAAAAAAATAACATAATCATCTAATTTCAATTATAATTGAAAAATATAAATTTGGAATTAGCAAGCATCCTTCATTATTATTTATTTATATCAGAGATTTTATGCTTTAATTGGTTGATATTATATTTGAAAATAACTAAATGAAATTCTACTGATGATAAAATCTCATCAATATTAATCGTACGAAAAGGATAAGTAATTGATTTTTACAGTTTTTGTAAAATAAAAAAGAATTAACTGTGACACAAATTATTTTGTACAAAAGTTAGTTATTTCATTCATATTATGCGATATTTTTATTTCAACTGATATTATTCTAACTAATTTTCCATTTTTTTAAGCAACTGAAAATTTATGAATTTCATGCAAAAATTCAGTTTTTAAGGAAACTTCTTTTTTTTTCCTCCTTTTAAAATAGACAATTTCATTTTAAACAATTTAAAAAGGCGAAAATAATCGATAATATTCCGAAATAGTTTTTTTTACGTTTTAAAAAATAAGAATATAGAATTGACACTCATCATTTCAGATTATTTAGCTAATTATTCAAGTTTCTGGCTCTGAATATTGTGTAAGCATGCAGAATTTTTTTTTTACATCAAATAATTGTTTCGACTAACAATATTGTATGTTTGAAATGTTTCCTCTAATTGATAATAATTTCTGATATTTCCTATATGATTAATGATAATTTCTTTTCTGATCTTTTAGAAACAAACCGTTGTTAAAGATTAGTTGGAATTTTTCACAGTTATCACTGATTTCATTTGAAATACAATTTTTCTCTATCATAACATTCTCTAAAACTATAAAATGAAGAAAAATAAAAAAAAAAAAAAGGAAAAAATGGTCATTTCATGGTTGCAAGTGGAATTATATTTCATTAATGTAAATTAATTGATAATGGCGCAATTTGATTGTCATAATTTTTATCATCTTCTTTTCAAAATGTACAAAAGTTAATTGTTTAAGAGGAAATAATTTTAGCAGAATTAAGAGCTTTTCTTTGATCAAAGAACGGACGATCAGAAAAATTAAGCGCTCTATTTGAGCGCAAATATATCTCTTCCTTCTTTTATTCTTACACTGTATGATTGGTTTGCGGCCAGTTTTTTTTTTTTTTTTTTTCTTGTTTTAATTTAGGTAAGAAACTTCACAGTAGGTAAATTTTAATATCATTTAATGAAAGTGAGGAAATTATTGAAGTGTTGTTAAAATTTTCATGAACAGTAGTAATATTATATCATACAAATTTTTAAAATAAAAGGAAAAGAATGATAATTTTGTTTTAATTCGGTAACTCATCAATTTTTTGTCAGTTCCTTTAGGAGAAGGCTAAATTTGTGTTAATTTATTTTCAGTAAAAATATGGCCCGCAAGAAGGGTAAAGCTTGGAGAGCAAAACGTAGGAAAATTTCTCGAAAAAATTCAGCCCGTAAAAGCAATGAACCATCCAGTTCAAAAACATCCGGCCAAAGATCATCCGGTCCAAGACCATCCAATCCAAAACGATCCGATCCACAACCATCCGATCAAGAATCATCCGAGACAGAATCAACCGAAACAGAATCATCCGATCCAGAATCATCAGATTCAGAACAACCAGAACCATCAGATCCAGAAATAGCCGGTCCAGAAGCATCAGATCCCGATCCAAGGCCACCTGAACCAGGACCATCTACCAGTACAGTGGCAACAGATTCAGACAATAAACCACCCGAGAAAAGTCCAGAGGAACAGAGGCGTGAAATTACACGAAAATTTTGTGAAGTGCTAATGTCAACTTTAAGCATATTCAACTTCGGAGAGAAAAATAATATACCAACTGAAGTTCTAATGCTAATTTTCATAGTAAGATATGCTTGTTTTATATAACATTAATTACACTAATGAAATAATTGTTGCAGTTTAGTTTTGTATTCTCGAATCACTTTGCGCCTTAGAAGCTATCTTGGAAATAGTCAATCTATTTTAGACTAATGCGATGATGTCATTTAAAAGATCGCCAGCAGAACAATGACTGTTTGGTTTGCTAATTTTAGCCAAATTTGCTGCTAACTTACTTTTCTAAATTTCATCTTCGTTCTGATCAAATTCTTATCAATATATTTTTTGTGCTCATATTCGATCATATATCGTTTCCAATTTTCGCAATTCCTCTCGATCATTTTGTTATATTTATTTTATAACTCAATATGTGTGCACATATTATGCAAAAGTGCATGCTTAAATTAAAAGTTTAAAGAATTTAAATTTATGTCTTATCTTTTTAATATTGCATTTAGTATTTTTTAATTTATTATTTGCGAAGACAAATTTCCGATGTAGTATTCTCAAAAAAAAAAAAAATTATTTCAGAAGGGTAGATGGAGAAAAAATCCAGAAATACTACTACCAAGCTGGGTTAAACATTATAATAAATTCGGTAGAATAGATGGACCAGGATTTAATTATATGCGAAGAGATTTTCGTATCATAAGAATTGAAGTATCAGCTAATATTAAAAGATTAATTAAAAAATTTCCATTTGGATGCGAAGAAGAAAATGAAATTACCTCAGAGAATAAAGAGACTGAGAAAAATGGTTCAAATCAAGAAAACGATGAAAAAACCGAAGAGACTAATGCAAAAGAAGAAGTAATAATTGAACATTCTACCTTAATGGAGAATGTGACAAGTGAAGAGAATGTGACAAGCGAAGTGAATGTGACAAGTGAAGAGAATGTGACAAGCGAAGTGAATGTGACAAGCGAAGAATCTAGTTCAGAGGAGAATGTGACAAACGAAGAATCAAATGAGGATGAAGAAAATGAAGAATCTGGATCAGAAACGGATGAGGAAGATGAGGACGAAGAGGATAATAAGGTATCTAGTGATGAAGACGATGATAGCTGTAATATGCCAGCAACCTTATTAACCGAATTACGACAAGATTATGTCAAAAAATCCGGTAAATTAGATACCTATGTTTTAATTCATTTAATAGTAATTAATGTTTACTAATGTTATTACATTCATTTATGATAAAGTATTTAAATTACTACCGAACAATTTGTCATATCTAAGTTTAACAGTAGTTAGAAATATTAGCAATCAGATCATGCGTGCTTTATCAGGTTATCACTGAATAACTAGGAGTTATCATTGTTTTGCTAGATGATCACTACTTGCATTTACTTTGCTAAGTTATTAGTTACTTGCTTAAAAATTATTATCACTTAGTTAAATTTGTCAATTGTTGAACTAATCTTTATTTTATCCTAATTCTTTCTCATTTATACTATAAAATTTATTCAAACAGAACATATATGTATACGTGTAAAATCATTTTAATTTGGAGAAAAAAGGAAAGAAAATTGAGAAAATAATAAATTTACAAAATTTTTTTTTTTTTTTTTTTTTTAAAGAGTTTATAAGAATAAATTTAATGAAAAGACTTTTTAATAAATTCAAATCTAAATTTTGAATGAATGAAAATATTGTTAAAATTAGCAATTTAAATTGTTTTGCAAAATTTTCAGTATATTTCAGGAAATAATCCTTCTACTTTTAATCATTTCATACTTTTAACAACTTAAGGAGCTGTGAAGTTTTCTGCTTAATACTTTAAAATATTTCAGCTGCGGCTAATATTGCTCTCGAAATAATTTGCATGTCTAAAACACTAATACGTTTGTTTATTTTTGAAAAGCATCAGGTTAGCATTTTGTTATCTAAGAAAAAAGCAAAGTCAAGAATAATTCCATCTTATTTTTTACTTATCAAAAATCTTTATCATTAATTTTATCAAAATCTTACCACAAATATGCTGGGACATCTAAGATGAAAGATATATACTTATGCTAGGAAATATTTTAAGCATATTTAAATATAATTTTGATTTTAGATGGTAACTGAATGGGAAATGGCTAAGGAAGCATACCTTTTACGAACCTTAGATTGGAGATTAGCACCAGGAATGAAAATTCTTTGTGATGAAATAGCCAAGGAAATGATTGAGATTGATAAGGCTCTCGAAGCTATTTTATGTTTGGTACGATATGAAATGGCATCAAATTTGATGGAAAAACTTGAGGTTAGTGAATATATCACTGTGAAAATCTTCCTGAATGATTTAAAAAAGTTTTCATACCTACAAGAATATTTATTGAGTTTAATTAATTTCATTTTAATTTATTATACTTATTGATTAGTTTTCTAGTTGTTTCAATAATTTTTTTATTTACTGTAAATCGAATGTTTAATGTAAAAATCATGTACAAATTGATTTATTATTATTATTATTTTTATTTACAATTATCATCGTTATTGTTTATTTATTATTATTATTATCATTGTTATTTGTTACTATTAGCATTATGTATTACAATTTATTATTATTATTATTCATGTTAATTATTACTTTTAATTATTAGTTTTTTTGTAAAATCCTTTTACAAATTATTTGAATCAAACTTTTTAAATTTGAAATTCCAAGTTGAACATATGAATAAATTCATTCCACTAATATGGTTGAATTCTTTTGCATCGTTTCTCTTTGATAATTCTTTCAAACATAAAAGAAATTTTATTTTATTTTGTTTTTTCTTTTAAAACACTATTCTCTCTGTTTTGCTACATGAAATAACAAGATTATTCGAGTATAAAATATTTTTTAATTTAATTAGTGACAACAATTTTAGGAATGCTTCGGAACTGAACTGCAGAAACGTGTTCCACGTAAGAAAGGTCACGCAGAAGAGGAAAAAGACGGTAATGATAAAAGGGAAGAAGAAAAAGGTGAGGAAGCAGAAGGAAGAGAAATTTTGGCGCATTCTTCAACAGAGTCGAAAAATATTGGTCAGATGGAAAAAAGTGAACAATCTGAGGATGATAATGATGATGATGATGACGATGATGATGATGATGACGATGATGATGATGACGATGATGACGATGATGGTGATAATATGATCGATAATGAGAGGAAAACGGAAGAAATTGTTAATAAAAAAGAAATGAAGAGAGTGAAACAACATTTGGTGAAAACTTTTTTCGATTTATTGAGAGTAACCGAATTCTTTGCCGGAATACGTGGAAATGACGAAAATGAAAGAGATTATCGTTATTATTTAAACTATAAATATTATCGGATGTTATGTTCTTTCTCTGAAATTTATTAATATGTCATTTCATTGTGTCTGATAAAAAATCATTGCTTTATCTTTTTCCTTTAATAAATCAATTTTTAAATAAACTAAAATATTTCATTTTTAACAAATGTGGAAATTCTTTTTTTTTTTTGTTGCTATTTTAAATCAAATTTTACCTATTCGTATTAAATATTCCCAAATAAATTTTATTATCAATTTCCAAATTAATTTCTCCAAATTTTTTATAATTTTGCCTTGTGTTTTTTTTTTCTTTTTGTGGGTTTATAACATTCTGAATCAAATCAAACTTACTATACTTACTGTCATATAATTATTTCAACCTTTGATTATTGTTTATTTTTATAATGATAATTGGTACTTTGACATAAGAAAGTTTGTTGCAATCATTGCGTGGATTATGATTTTGATAAAAGTTTTGATTATGGTTTTAAAGAAAGCGTTAGAATGTGACTTTGATAAAAGCATTTGATTATGATATTGATAAGGTAAAAATTCCCTGGAAGTATTTCTCCCGCAAAATCGATTATAAGAAATTTTAGCTCCTCAGTTTTTTTTTAATGAAAATTTTCTAAACTTGAATTTTAAATGTTGAAGAATTAGAGGGATTATAAGTGAAGTTAGGTTGTAAGGCCCTATCAAAATGTTATCCATCTGATATAGCTAAGTGATAATACTATTTTGATTAGTTCTCAAAAAGTTTTTTTTTATGAAAATATAAGGAAAATTTTTGCATTTGCCAATTACTCTTATTTTTTCATTCAAAAGTTTTTCAATGATTATATAAATTTTTTATATTTTTCTTCACAATTATACCATTCATTCAGTTTGTTTTGTACGAGGTCAAATTGTTGGGAAGAAGAAATCAAGAGAGAGTGACCAATGATCACTAAGCAGTAAGATTACTTGTGGTAGTCTGTTCGTCGAGATCAGTTAGATTTTGGCAATTAAATTTCTGTTCTTGAGTTAAACTAATTAATTCATCATTATCATAGCCGTCAGTTCAAACTATAAATTTAGAATCCAAACACGGGAAATGGCTGACTTATATTCATATTGCTAAAGATTAAGCAGTGCTTTTAATGTGTAACACCAGAGGTCATAGAAGTCAGAAGTAAATGCTAAGCTGTAGAAACATAAATAATTTCGAATAAATGATTTGGAATTTAATTGACTAATCCACCATCTATTTTTATTGTGAAATGCAGCATATAAGATTTAATTATAAGAGTTTTAATTATTACAGTATAAAAAATATGAATAAAATTTGTTTATAAAATGATAGTTTGAAAAAGAAAAAAAAAAATTACTGCTACTAGCAGTGTACAAGAAAATTCAGTGAAACCGAAGAGAGTAGTACTTTTCAGATGTTAGCAAAAGAGTTGATGAATTGTTTTATGATTCTATGAACTTGATGAATAAAACATAAAACATTTAGTTGAAGACGAAACTTAATGCATCAGAATTAAATACTTTTAAACTGAGCATTTTTTGGGTATAAAAAAATATCTTTAAAAAATTATCAAAAATTATTTCAAATAAAAAATACATTTAGCATTCGATATGATGTCAAGAATGAATATGACATCAGAATTGTGAATGGTATCACTGATAACAATAGTTATAATACTGTTGAATTTATGGATTTCTTTCTTTTTAAGAATTCTTTATTTCAGATTGAAAATTTTGAAAGGACGAAATGAAAAGTGAATGATGAATGATTTCTTATAGCAGTTATCACAAATTTATTTGCATAATTAAATATTGATTTTAAAAATATATATTGATTATCGAAATGATTGTTAAAACATTTATTGATTATTTGAATATATATTGAAATAAAATATATTGATTATTTAAATTAAATATTAATTTAGTTCAAATATGACGTACGATCAAAAAACGAAATTTTCTTAAATGGTTTCATGAATATTTGTCACTAAAATTTGTTGTCTAATAAACAAAACAATTTTTGCGAACACCTTTTTAACAACAAATTTTTTTTTCGCTAAACTTTTTGAAATTTTATGACTTCCTTGTAAATAAATTTGTGTTTATTAGTTTCGATTTTTTCATTTTGTTTTTGCTTCAGTTTGTTTATTTCCATAGCAAAAATTTCCAAGCAATTTAAAAATGACATTTTTTCAAAAAAAAAAAAAAGAATATATATACAGTAAGGATTGGAAATTTTTTTTTTTCCTTTTTAATGGAATTTTATAAACATTTGAGAAAGAATTTAAATAGCTATCAAACTGTTGTATAGTGGCGGTAAATGTTTGGGTAATATTTCGAGCGGAAAGTGAAAATGATGGATAAGGCGCCGAGATTGATAGACTGTGAAAAATTGGATTTTTGAAACATTTAAATGCTAATAATTTATTGAATTAAATTATGCGCATTGCGATAAATGTTGCAAACGATTAAAAACGAAATAGAAAGCATATAGCATTTTCAATAGCGAAAATTTTCATTTGAAAGTTATTTCGAGATAGTTTGTAAATTTCGAATTACTTTTTCGAGAATGTTTAGTAAAAAAAAAAAATGATTCTGGTAAATTCTTTAGCCTTCTAACGGATTTTTGGTGACAAAATATAAAGCAGAACAAAAAAAAAAAAGTGTTCCCGCCATACTTAAACTTTCTTCTTATCTATTTATGTGGTAGTAAAATCGATATCAAGGATTCTTTTGGTTAGATTTCTTGATGGATATTACAGATATTTGGTGTTTAATATTTTCATTTAATTAGTTTTATCATAATTATTTTTAATTAATTACGATAGAAATTTTGAATTCAAATTTGATGTTTCTTTTTCATTAATTTCAAAAAGTGAATTAGAATGGCAAAGAGAATAAATTAAATTATATAACATGTATACTGGAAGTATTTTCTATTTAATACTTTCAAAACAATGTATTTTCTAAAGATGCATTTAGCATTTTTTTTTTTTTTTGATATCTATGAATTGTTGATTATTTTATCGATTGATTTATCATTTCTTGCTTATGCGTTTGATGATTACATTTTTTTAATTTTATATTTCTATTTTAAATATATTTCAAAATTGTTATTATTTATTACTTAATTCAATGTTTAGTTCGCGATGGCATCTGATGACAAGCATTCTGATCAACAAAAAAAGAGTAAAAAACAACGTGATAAAAAACCAACTGATAATAAGGAAGAAATGGAATCTTTTATGTCAAGGGTCAATAATTCAATGTTATCAATGATCGTTAAATCCATCTTATCAAATGAGCAAAATTTGGAATAACATAAAAGCATTATAAATTGAACTAATGCTAGCTCCTTAGTCTATAATAGTTGTTCACAAAGGATCAGTGCAATGAAATGATAATTTCATAGTGTAACAATTGCTGATAATTGCTGATAATGAAATTTAGTTGAGAACAATAATTGCTAGTGAGTGTATTATTTGAACGAAATTAATCACTTCATTTGCTAATCTTTAATGAATTATTATTTATCAGTTGAAACATTTCAAAATATTTTCATATAATTTTGCAGTGATTTTTTCTTTTGTTTTGCTTTGTTTTTTGTGTTTTTCATTTCATTAGAACTATTAAAATATATTTAGATTTGTTCCCGTTTTGAAAGATTACATCTATTGTCACGCCTGTTAGAAGAACCAGAAGAACAGAAACAACAAAATCCTACCGAATCACGGCGAAAATCAAAAAAGTCTCAAAAAATCTCAAAAAATGTTTATGAATATTTTTGTGATCAACCATCAACAAGTAAACAATCAGATCCAAAATCTCCATCAAAAAAGAAACAATCCAAATTGAAGCCTTCATGTAGCAGTGATATGGAAGCTAATGAAGAAACGGAAATGTTTTCAGCTGAGAAATTTGATAATGCTGACTTGAGTGAAGAAACTGAAGATAATACCGCTATTGATTCATCACAATCAACACATTTACCAATATTTGATGAACAACCATACATTGAAAATCCTGAAGAGCCATCAACTTCGACCGGATTTCGAACAGTTCGATATGATGATGAGATTTTAGCAAAAGTTTTAGGACCACCAAATTTTGATGAGGAAGGAACCGAGCAAAGTGGTATGGGAATGACACAAAAGCCAAAAATATCCACTTTATATGCAATTCAAAAGATACCTCAAGTGATGAAGCATTCTGATAATGAATCGTTATCTCAGATGAGTGCAAGTTCAAAGCAAGCGGTAATAGTTTTATATTTGTATGATAAACTTAAAATGATAATTTCTCTTATTTTTTTTTTTAAAGTTAATAATTTATCAAATATAATGTAACCAAATAACTATTAAACAATGCTTCAACTGATCTTCTGATCATATCTTATCATGTCGTCGTATCATGTCTCATCATGTTCTGATATATCACATATCATGATAATTTTCCATCGTTTCTTTTGTATATTTTATTATCAAGCGAGAGATAATCAGTCAAATCTGTCTGATTACTAATGTTTGGTAGATAAACTAAGTTAGATAGCAATAATTTTAACCAAAAATTTTTCTCAATGATATAAGAAAAGATCAAATGCAAGTAATAGTAATATATCTTTTTAGCTTATATTTAGATTATTTCAAAAGTTAAATTTTCATTTAATTATTATCGAATTTTAGATGAAACAAGCAAAAGATGAGAAAACAGCAAGTGCAATTAGTGCAGATGAAAAAGTGGATTTAAAAAATGTAAAAGCTGAAGATATTCGTGGTCGTATAATTTTTAAAATAAATGAATATCCAACAAATAAGCCAATTACGGGTGAAATGAACTCAAAAAGTGAGAGTGAACGTGCGCAACAAGCACGCAGACGACTTCGAAAGAAACTTGAAGAAGGACGGAAGTCATCAGATAAGACAAAAAAGTAGTTTTGGTGGTGGTGGTGGTGGGGAGATAAGTTGAATGAAATTTGATAAACAATGGTGTCACATTGTCAACGATACATTTAAAGATGAGGAAAGAACAAAAGTATGGCAAATTTCATAGTTAAAAAAGCTATGAGACAAAAGGATTAATTTGATTAATTAGCAAAAATTCTTCGCAGTTAATTAAAATGAAATTTGCATTTGATTTTTGAGGAATTTTTGCACTTTTTTAATAATATTTAAATTGATCGTTTTTGTTTTTCTCTTTTGCTATTATTTGAATATTATCATTTCCTAACATTTTCTTTCTATTTCCCTCAAATGAATAACTGTTTTTTTTTTTTTTTTTTTTGAAAAAAATTTGAATAAATCTTATTATGATAAAATTTTATCATTTTTCCTCCTGCAATATCTCTATTTCTTCCATAATATGCATTATTAATTTATTTAATTTCTCTTTTTTTGTTTGTCTTTTTTTTTTGATGCAAATTATAATTTGAGAAAAGTAATTAGCAATTTTCAAGTCTTGAACAATTAAAAAATTGCTAATTAAAAGCAAAAAAGCATTTCAAAATTGGTAATTAATTTAAAAAAAAAAAAACCTTTTGTTTGTTACTTATTTTAGTTTATTACTTAAGATTTTTTTTTCTGGACTTATCAGTTAAGATTTCAGTTCTCGAACGTGTGCAAAATTAAATAAAATAGCAATTTAAGTTACTTTTAGTAATATGCTTTCTTGCTACTGAATAATTTTCAAATGACACTTCACTTAATTATTTATTTCATCTACAAATTCCTGCTTCTAATCATTTTATCATATCAATCTGGATTGTAAATTTTTGATTATAACCATTTTATCGTATCAATCCGAATGCAACCATTTTGTTACTTTGTTATTTTTTATGCAATTTTCAAATTTGTATAATTATTCGTTCTGTATTTCGTTTCCTTTTTTTTTTTTTTTTTTTTTTTTTTTTCCAATTTTTTTCATAAATGTGAAAGATTTGTTTTTCTACTTCACTGATTTGAAAATTTGTAGATTTTTTGATTTATCACAAAGTTGAAAGAATTGATTTGAAACCTTTATTTCAAATTATGTTTTTGTTGCAATTTGTTATTATTGCCTCTTTTCATGATATTATAGTACTTTGTTACTTCAATTGTTTTATTATTTAAATATCTTTTGTATTTGTGTTCTGCCTTCTGTTTTCTTTTATATCATTCTGATTTTTTCTGAACTGATATAAAATTGATGAATGTGATAAAATTTTATTCATATAAAAGCACAAAATCTAAAGTAACTTTTCGTAAAATTTATTGCTAAGACTTTAAGAGAATTAACGTTTTGTAAAATTTAATGACATAAAGAAAATGACTTTTTGTAAAGTTTAAAAAAGGTTTTTAAAATTCTGCTTTGAAACATTTCCATTATACTTGTAAGGAAGTAGTCTTGGCAAATAATACTTGTCCTTTCTTTCTTATCACTTTTAGTTTAAAAAGGTTTAAAATTTAAATTGGAAAAGTTTGAAGATTAAAAAATGTAGCTGCAAAATAACAAGAAATATGAATAGAGTAGATCCACGAAAAGGTTGAAATAGCAGGATGGAGGATATTTGGAAAGTTCTAGCAAAGTGAATCAGAAATTTTGACCTTTTCCCTCTGTTCAGATCAAAATTTGAGATCGTTTATTCGGGTGGTATAAATCTTTAACCTTAAATCAATCAACTCTAATCACTTTATTATCTAATAATATTTTATGGTAGAAAAGAAGGTTCAGTTATATTGTTCTACTGCTTGGTGCTAATCTTTTCAATTTCTTGTGATGTCGACAAGATTTATGATTTCAATTTGAGCTAATTTATGAAAACATCTTAGCATAATTTCAAGAACTTAATTAGCTTTTCAAAACTCTATTTTTTTGATATTTTAATTTTAGTTCAAATATTTATGAGGAATAAAAGTTTTAAATTAATCAATTTCAGGAATCAATTAACTTTACTAACAAAAGATGCCTTACAAAAAAAATGATAAGAAAGTTAGGAAAAATAGGAAAGGACGAAAAAAGAAGTTGAGGGATATAAATTATGATATTATGGCACAAGTAAAAGTTTTAAATTTTAAAATATTGTGATCCTTCCCCAAAAAAAAAAAAAAACATTTTTGAATTATAATTTTAGAAATTTTTCAATCCTGTAAATACTTCTTTTCTTCAGAAAAAGAAAAAAAGAACTTTTTATTTTAGCTATCCGTTGAGGAAAATGCAACTGAACGTTTGTCAAGTGATTCAAGTGGTTATTCAATGGAATCCAAATCGATTTCTAAATTATCACAACCATCGACGAAGTTAGGATCTAAAACAGCAAAGTTTATTTTAGAAGAAATGATAATTAATGCTAGCTCCTCTCATTCCAAGGAGAATTTAACGCCTCAACTCGGTGACAAATCCGCCAGCGGAAATGTTTCACATAAAACTCACAATGCCACTACTACCATTACTACCATTGATAGTGTCGATAATACATAATTCAGAGGTAAATTAAAAAGGAATGTTTAAATGAATGGTTCAAAATTAAAACGAATTTATTTAATAAAATTTGCATGAAATCATTATCGCAGCATTGTTATAGCTATATAGCTGATAAAGTGAATTGATAACTTTTCATCAATAAGAAATTAATAAATCGTTGATTAGAACTATATGCCTAAATTTTTTGGACGTCAAATATTGTAATTAAAATTGTTGTCATAGCATTGTTACAGGTATTTAAAATAAAAAAATTCAAAATTTAAAGATATTAAATGTTTTTTTTTTGAAAAGCGTTTTGTCAAGCTTTTTAATATAATTTATGAAATTTAATAGTCTATTGAAAATTATAAATATGTGTAATTTTAAGTCGTCGCTGAATTTTACACTGTCAATGTTATCAGTGCCGGCGATGTATACAAAATTCAAAGAAGGTCAAAAACAACCAAATAATAATTCATTAAATGATAAGAAGGTAATGTTTAGAAGTCTTTTTGGTTAATTACATTTTTGATAAGTAATTAATATTCTCAAAAATATGGATAGAAGGATGATAGAAAGAATGAAATGTGAGAGATATTTAAGAATAAAGAGAAAATGAAATTTTTTCATATTATTTCAGTAATCTTTCTAACATTTCATTGTATTATAAATGGACAAAAGCGCCATTTTGCAAACAAAAAACCAACTGCAATTTTCTTAAAAAGTTTGTTTATTTAAAGTAATAATAATATAAAAGACGCCTTATTCAGAAAAAATTCTCTATTAGCATGAAATTCAACAAAACAAAATTAAATATATAAAAAAATTTATAATTAATTTTTGCAGGTCAATTAATATGTTCAGCTAATTATGCGACATCAATATATCATATTTGATAAAAAGTTGTACTTTTTGAATTTATAATAAATAACGTTGTTATCCCAAATGTAAAAATTGTCTAAAGCATCAGTTTTGTCTCTTATAATTTAATTATTTTATTATTTGGTCGCACATTAACTTAGACTTAAGTCTGTGAAGTTTACTTACGTTTTCATATGCTGGAAAAATTAAAATCTTTTTCATAACATAAGCAAATTTTGGTTATTTAAAAAGAAAAAATTCAATTTACAGGCATCATGAAATTTTTATGAGTTTAGAGTTATCACTATGAGTGCATTTTAAGAACGACAGAAATGATAAAGCATATGTGTCAACGTAGTGAAATTATTTAATTTAATGTAATTTTAATGATTTGTACATCCGTGAATTCTTGTTGAAATTTATTAACAGCTCAAATGCAATCAATTCTTTTCAACACAAAACATATTTATATTATATTCATTTTATCATTCATTAATGGCCACATTTATATTCAACAGTCTTATCATTAATTAAAAAATGTCCTATCATTTAAATATTTTAAATAAAATTTACCTTGTTGTTATATTGGTTAGATGTTATTGCCTTTTTTTTTTTTTCAAAGTTGTTCAAGCACGAAATAAATTTTAGGTGCAACTTTGAACAAATTTTTATTTACTCTTTTTTTCACATAGTATCAATGAAAAGGGAAAAAAAAGTAGAAAAATAAAAAGGAAAGGAGTAAATAAACATATTCGTGCATTACCGCTTAAGACAATTGCGCCAATAAACAGTGCAAAAGATTAGCGATGTTACACCAGTAATATCAAAAGAACAATAATATGTAAGATAGGAAAAGAAATTTTACACTTTTATTTAAAGATGATCCAAAGATGATGCAAAAATTGTGTGAAATAATTTCAGGAGATTTAAATTTGATAACTGTATGTATTTAAAGGCAATTTGTAAAGTAAATTTCACGTATTAATATAAGTGAATGGTATAACGGTAGCAATAAGAAGGTTAATAGAGATGATATGATATAATGATAGTCGATGAATACTCACATCATTAATATTATCATTTAGCAAATTTTATTTGAGAGATAAAAAATGTTCCAGAATTTTTGAGAATTAGTTTTTGGCTCTATTAATCAACAATTTTTTTTTTCCTAAAATAATTGCTTTGATCTTACTTACAAATGCGCGCCCTTTGTTTCGTTGTTTTTTTTTCCTTGGACAAATAAAGCTCAGTTGGATGCTTGAGAATTGGTAATCATCACGATAAAATGAGTGGTCCATTGTCATCGAGTAATTCATTCTTCTATTTATGTGGCGATTGGCTTGAGGTATGTAAGTCATTATCAATTTCCAGTCAATTTATTCTACTTAATTCAAACTTTAAAATTTCAAAATAATTACTTGAATTATTAAGAAATTCATTTTTCAGTCTAAAATGATATTGATGCATATTTATATGAAATAAGAAGTATGTTAGGGTTTTTTTTTTCTGACAACTATTTAACTTAATTTAATTTTTAGGAAATAAACGATCGAGGATTAGTATTGCAAATGAAAAATGAACTTAATAATTTCACTTCAACAATCATTTTTCATCCTTATTATTACTACGCTTCCGATTTCTTTTTCGACTCAAGCGTAATAACTAATGAGATAAAATGTTTGGATTTGACATATTTAATGGAACAACGATTTCGATATACACATATTCGAGATGACTTAGAATTACCGCATCTTGCAAGTAAACTTCGACGAAAATGTGGAAATTGTTTGAGGAAAATGAAAGGAGATTCAGAAGACGAAGCAAAAAATGATAATGCTGTTCAAACTGAAACTCAGGTGGAAGGGAATAATACATCACAAATGGTAGAAACAGAAAACAGAGATGGCACTCAAATTGAAACTCAGACAGAACCTAATAATGTAACAGAAACGGTAGCTTCGGGTGAAGATACGGTTACTGGAACTGAAACTCGAATGGAATATGGTAGAACGTCACAAACGATAGCTTCAGGTGAAGGTACGAAGAGTAGAGATGTTACTGGAACTGAAGCTCAAGGTATGTCACAAACGATAGCTTCAGGTAGAGGTACGAAGAGTAGAGATGTTACTGGAACTGAAGCTCAAGGTATGTCACAAACGATAGCTTCAGGTAGAGGTACGAATAGCAGAGGTGTTACCGGAACTGAAGCTCAAGGTATGTCACAAACGATAACTTCAGGTAGAGGTACGAAGAGTAGAGATGTTACTGGAACTGAAGCTCAAGGTATGTCACAAACGATAACTTCAGGTAGAGGTACGAAGAGTAGAGATGTTACTGGAACTGAAGCTCAAGGTATGTCACAAACGATAGCTTCAGGTAGAGGTACGAAGAGTAGAGATGTTACTGGAACTGAAGCTCAAGGTATGTCACAAACGATAACTTCAGGTAGAGGTACGAAGAGTAGAGATGTTACTGGAACTGAAGCTCAAGGTATGTCACAAACGATAACTTCAGGTAGAGGTACAAAGAGTAGAGATGTTACTGGAACTGAAGCTCAAGGTATGTCACAAACGATAGCTTCAGGTAGAGGTACGAAGAGTAGAGATGTTACTGGAACTGAAGCTCAAGGTATGTCACAAACGATAGCTTCAGGTAGAGGTACGAAGAGTAGAGATGTTACTGGAACTGAAGCTCAAGGTATGTCACAAACGATAACTTCAGGTAGAGGTACAAAGAGTAGAGATGTTACTGGAACTGAAGCTCAAGGTATGTCACAAACGATAGCTTCAGGTAGAGGTACGAAGAGTAGAGATGTTACTGGAACTGAAGCTCAAGGTATGTCACAAACGATAGCTTCAGGTAGAGGTACGAAGAGTAGAGATGTTACTGGAACTGAAGCTCAAGGTATGTCACAAACGATAACTTCAGGTAGAGGTACGAAGAGTAGAGATGTTACTGGAACTGAAGCTCAAGGTATGTCACAAACGATAACTTCAGGTAGAGGTACGAAGAGTAGAGATGTTACTGGAACTGAAGCTCAAGGTATGTCACAAACGACAGATTCAAGTGAAGATACGGGTACTGAAACTGAAGTTCAGGAAAAGTTCAATGATGCATCGCAAATAGCTGATTCTGAAAGACCTGAACAGGAAACATCTGAGAGCCAAGAAGAGAAAAAAGAGCCAAAAAAGAAGAAGAAATGTAAAAATTTGCAAGTGTTGAAGCGCTGTTGGTTCAGACGTGATCAAAGTCCGCCACCAAAAGATGAAATGGAAGAACATTTGAATGAAATACGAATGCGAACACGGAAAGAAATACACACATTATTATATCTTAACAGTGCTGTGGTATGTTTTGCAAAATCATTTTGCGCTTTTATCAATTGTTTATAGTTTTTTTTTTTTTTTTTTTCTTTTCGATGATTTAAAACATTATGCTTATATTGTTTTTGTATTATTCATATAAATAAAATTAATTTTTGCGCAGCTTTTTTTTTTAAAAAAAAAATTATCTATTATATAACTTATGATGATTAGCTCAATTATTTATATTTCATCTAAGTTAAAATGATTTATTACAAAAAACAATTGGTCTGTAAATCTTTTTCATAATTGATCCATCTCGATAACTTCAATTTATTTGTTTTAATTTGACATTTCTTCATATCTTGATGCATGATCACAACGAAATATGAGTAATTGTAATTGAGGAGTGAAAGGAACGAGTTTAAATAAGTCTGAAAACAAATAGAACAATTGTCTTAAATCAGTAAAAGTTGTATGTATATAAAAAATTCAGTTTATTTCTTATAAAATTTAATTTTTTATTTGAATTTTTTTTTTAGCAAGAAAGAAAGATTAAATTAATGAGAAGGTATGCAGCAATGTTAGATGAGAAATCTCAGGAAAAATGGAACAAATTTATAAATATGATTGATACTGAATATGCAGGTATAATGAATCAACCAACAGAATATAATGCTAATAACGTAAATCTTTCTTTCCTAATTTTTTTCTTGATTACTTTTGAAAAGAATTTCTGATTCAAATTTATGATCATTGACAAATCAAATTCGATTGAAACAAATTACATACAATTATTTTAATCATTTATTCCATTTTTCATCCTTTAAACTTGCGAAACATTAAGTATTTAATGAATGATTAATGTATTTTTTTTTTCCATAATTTCAGTTTTCTTCCTTTCATTTGTAATTTTTTTTTTTTTTTTTTTTTTTTTGCAGTTATTGGAACGCTTGAGAGAAAATCCAGAATTAATGGAAGCTATAGATAAAATTAAACCTGACAAAATTACACTTACGACAATTAGGGAAGAATCCTTTGAAATTGCTACAAGAATTGAAAGACAATTCTTCAGTCTCATACCGGGAGTTCCTGGTTTGACTGCTTACAGAAATGCAATGATTTGTGAAATAGCAAAAGATGAATCAGTTACAATTACTGTATAGTAATTACTAAAATTTGATAGCCAATTTATCTGATCATTTCTTCATTATCATACAATGATTGCAATGAATCCAAAAATTTCATACCCAATACTACGATCATTTTCGATTACTGTATAATTTTTGATGCCCAATACTACGATCATTTTCGATTACTGTATAATTTTTGATGCCCAATACTACGATCATTTTCGATTACTGTATAATTTTTGATACCCAATACTACGATCATTTTTCGGTTTCCGTATAACATGAACTAAGATTTGATTAATTGATTTTATATGATCGTTTTCGTTTTTAATTTATCAGAGTAAAAAATTTGTCATAATTCTATGCTTAGAACTTTAATCTTACTGAAAAGTTAATTTTCACTCCTAATATCCATCTATCACTATTTACAATTAGCTATACTGTTTATTTTTTCATTCTCATTAAGTTTCTTCACTTTACTTTGATCACTGTATGTGATGATCGCAGTTTAACTATCATCAAGCTAAAATCATCTAATTGGTCTGTTCTTCGTTGTTGTTGCATTCTTTATTTTAAGTATACTTTTTATTTCACTGGGATTGTTATTTGATTCTTGTTATTTCTCATTGTTCAAGCTCGTTTACTTATCATTCAATTCTATCCTATTTTGATTCATTTGTCTTATTTTTCCTCACATTCTCATATAGCTAAATAATGTTATCACTTACATTCTGCAACAAAATTGTTTTATCATTTCTTCAAATGGTGTAGAAAGTTTCAGGCTTTTAAATTTAGTATTTTAATATACATTGATAACAACTGAAGTACGATATAAGTCCATTTCTTTCTTTTTCGCCATATGATAATAAGAAAATTTCTTAAAACATTCATATTTTAATTTCGAATTTATATCTATTCGATATTATTTAAATAAAAATTAAATCAAAAATGTTTCATTACCTATTCAAGTTTCTGTGTTCTTTAAATTATTATATTTTTATTACGTACTGTCATTATCATTCTTTATTGAGTAGTTTAATAACTAATTGATTTTACTAATTAAGAAATTACAACAGAACTTTTATATATTTTAATTTTGCTTTGTTCAGGACCGATTTTTTTTTTGCGTATTTTTTTTTTTTTTTTTTTTGCGGTTGCGTAATTTAAGAAAAACTGATTAGTTAATTTTAGATTTCTCGAAAATGAGTAGGAAACAATCGAAAAAAAGTAGCAGAGAAGAGACCGATGAAACATTAGAGACCTCTTCTTCATTTGAACCTTTCTTTGAGGCTGGACCAGAAATTGGTTCCGTGGATCCGTCAAGTTCCGCCACACCGAGCACTTCCTCTATCTCATTCATATCAGATGAATCATCAAATCCTATTTCCACTGCTCCAAGTGGTTCAACTATCTCATCTGCACCGGATGAATCATCAAATATAAGTGAAAAGGTCCTCGAAAATTTAACGGTACCAGAGCTCTGGGCACAATATGTAAAATGCTTAATGATGGCAGTACCATCTAATGTAGGACGAGTTGATATTGAACGAACTGCTGGAATACATGCGGAAAAATATTTGGAACAAATTTTAAAGCTATCACCAGGTTATTCAATTATTTCATATTGCTCTTTGTTTTCATTTCTTTTTTTTTTTTTTTGTTTCAATTTTTTTCATAATAAAAAACAAACAAAGGAGCATAGCTTAGCTTTGTATACATCAATTAAGGCAAATTGCTCTGGAAAGAAAGAATAAAAAAGTTTACATTCTATATTTGCTCTGTTTGATCTTTAAATTGTTTGCATTGCAATACCATAATTAATGCAAGGAAAAAAAAAAAAAAAACTTTCATTTGTCAATAACACATCCGAATTATCCCGGGAATAATTACTTATTATCCAATATTTATTAATTATAAAAAAAAAAATATTGCAACATTTTCTACAGAATTTTACAAATTAAATTAGCTTTTATTGATCATAATTTTTTTTTTATTGATTATAAATCTCGTAATTTATAATGATTAGAATAGATAATGAGCTCTCAAATTTATTTGTTACAGTAGCATCAACAGCAAGTGGAGAACCCTTACAGGTACCATGTTTTAATCCCTCAGATCAGAGAGAAATTAGTGAAGATGAAAAATATAAAGTTGAAATATTGAAAGCAACTAAAGCAGATAGCGAACTGATATGGAATACTGCTGCACAGGTAATTTATATTTTCTTGCAGTAAGGTTACAATTAATGCATATTGTAACCTATTGTATTTCTCAATCAAAAAGCATTTTTATCTTTTTTTTTTCTTTTTTGAAATTTAAATCTAATAATCTCAATAATGTAATATACTAAAAAAAAAATGAAATAGGACATTTGTATTTATTATATGTTACACAGATTTAATAACATTTAGCGATTCAATTCTAACTCTTATTTATTCCTCAATTTAATTCCTTCTTCATTCCTTAAATCTCTATTATCAATTACACTATTTCTCCATCTACTAAATTGATAAGACTGAATTAACTACATGGATAAACATCAGTTAAGCTTGTCAAGCAATATTAATTAGATAAAGCAGATCATTTAATAACTAAGGAATAAATTTTTTTTTTTTTTTTTTTTTTTTTGAGTTTTCTTTAAAATTCCTTTTAGTTACAAGCATTAATTCTCATTAGGAGAGGAAAAGGACCAGCAATAGGATTGGATGAGCTTAGAAAATTTAATACTGCAATGCAAGAAGCAGCAGATATCTATCGTGAAGCTATTGCTTCCAGTCAAGTAAGTCAAAACTAATTTGTAGTATCACAATTCTTTCACAGTAAATATTTTCAAAGATTTAATTTTTCAATTTCTGCATGTTCCGTAAATTTATCATCTGCAATTGGCCTGAAATTACATTCTAAATTCTATTCAAATGATAGCTTTCAAAAAAATTTGTTGCGAAAAATTTCATTCTAAAAGTAATGAATAAGTGAATAAAAAGATGTGAATGTTCACATTTTCTTGTATTTTATTTTACTTTCTGTTCTCAATTAAACTCTTACTTTCAGTTTTCTTTTTTTTTTTTTTTGTTAGCTAACAAATGGATTCAAAAAATCGAATCATACATAATTTATTATTAAAAGCGCTAAATGTTAGGTACGAGGAAAAAAAAAATGTAACTAATAATTGAATATAACATTGTAGGAAAGATCAGTTAGCCGCGTTGGAAATTTTCAGTATCGCGTAAGTTACGCTGGTAGAACTGAAGCTTATCATGTAGATGTAATGCGAAATTTAATTTTGAATCAATTACCGCCAACAGTTCGCTTTTTTACGGAACAAACAAAAAGTGAAAAATTGAAAAGTGTACTGCATGGTTTGAAAAAAAAGCGTACACGTAAACACTGATTTTAACTTCTAAATTTATTTGGCATATTTTTTACATAATTCAAACATTTTATTTGGTATTTCTATTAGACCAAGTGATTTTTTCTTTTTTTTGCTTCTCAAGATTTTAAAATGCAAAAATTTTTGTCAATTACAATCATTTTGAAAAAATCCTAGCAATTTTTTAATCATCTATGGCTAAATGTCTTTTTTTCTTCATCGTTTTTCTAAAGTTTCTTCAAAGCGACTAATTCAGGTGGAAAACTCTCAACTGCCATTTTTAGCACTGTAAATATCATTTTCAAAAATTTTAAATTTTAAAATATTGATTGTATAATACTGTTTCCTTTTGTTTGTTATCAATAAACTATTTTAACATCTGCATAATTTATATAAAACTTATCCATCCCTGTATTCATTTATTCCATCAATGTATCCTTTGTATCTATTTCTTCTGTAATATACTTTTGTGATTTAAAATCAAGAAAGTATAATTGATGAAGGAAAGAATGGCATTTTAAAAAGTTTAAGAAAAACTCTGATCGACCTTTTAACCGGGAAATCACAGGGAAAAAGAAAGAATAATTGTTGACATAATTACAAAAAGATTTTTCTTTTCAAAGAAAAGAAAAAAATTAGTTCATTAGAAAATTTTAAAACTATAAAACGAACAATTCGCTTTGAACTTCTTTTGAATTAGTTAGTAGTTCAAAGTTAGTAACATTCTATCTCATACTATCGTTTATTTTAAAAGAAAAAAAAAAGACTTAACCATTTCAATTTTCCTTATATATACATATATATATATATATATATATATATATATATATATATATATATATATATATGTTTGAATTTTACTTTGGAAATTAAAATTCAACAGCAGTAAATAGTTTGTAACTCATCAAATTATCCTACAGTTCTGCATATATTTTTAACTTTTATTTTTATATTTTTAATTTCGTGTGTATTTTTCATGTATTGTATGCTCTGATTCAAATATGATAAAATAAAGTTGAAGCAATGGAATGTTTAGAAATAAATTTGAAAAGTTTTTTCAATTGAACCAATCAATAATTTAAAATCATTCATATAGTGAAAAATTATAACAACAAAATGCATTGAAGTGATAAAGTTACTTTTTCACGTGAAATTCTCTTACATATTCGATCATTTGGTCATATTGTATGTTCGATTATGAATTTTTCATTTTTCATAATGATGAAATTAATTTTACATCAATCTTTCGTTTTTATTACCTTTTGCATCAATCTTTGTTTTTTATTATTTATACTTTTTATATATGTTTTTTTGTATTACCAATTAGTTTTCAGATGTGCTATTTTGCTATGCAGATGTTAAAATAGTTAACCATGTTAGCCTAATTTATATTTGAAATCTATTCATTACTGTTTCTGAAATACAATCTTGAATGATTGGAAACAAAATTGCATGATTGTTCTGCGTTAAATGGAGTTTCTACATATGCATATATGCACATAACGCTCGGGAAGATTTGCATTTGTTGGACTTGGGTTTTGCTTGGGGGGCTGAAATATGTGATGTGGTAATTTGGGTTGAATTATTTTTGAAAGACAGCTAGTGATGAATTCGTTCATATTATTACTCATTAAAAGTGTTAGCCTATGAATAGAATTTGAAAAAATAATTTAAAATTATTTGGATTAATGCAATGGGAATGCAGTATGATATTATTGAATATGCAGACATTTTCCTGCAACGTTATGATTTCTTTTTTAGCTTGCAACATGATAATATGTGAAATTTTGGCTAGCAGAGTGTAATTGATGATTTTATCATATGGTTTGCCCGACCCATTATTATTTTTTGTTTGATGAATATTTTATTATCAAATTTTATGATATTTTGTGTCAAGACAAGCAATATGATTTTTAGTTCTTTACTTTTTTTTTTCGCCTTCAAAAACTTGGAAGGGTTTCTCTTTGTTTTTATGCTTTGATTTTTATAAATGACGGTGAGAGAGCATGGATGAAACATTTTGGATTTTAGATCCTTTTGTATTTATGTTTTATAACATAACGATGTATGGTGTAAAAATCTTCTCATATTAAGGAGTTGTTATACCGTTATTCTAGATTGGAAAATGCTGATACAGCATGTATTTATAATTAACCGAGCTGGAAGCTTGATTTACGATTGGGATGGCAAAGTTGATTCTACAGGTGTTGAGAAGACATTTAGTTACCCGCTGGATATTGTCCTTGATATTATTGATCAGAAAGTAACCGTTGTGTTTGGTGAACGAGATGGAATTGGTCTTAGGTTTATTCTTCGTTTTCTTTTTTTTTTTTTCCTTTTTGGATTTCGGAAAGTTGGTCAGTTTTGAACATTTTTTAATAACAAGAGTCGTCTGGAATTTGATATGGCAACTAACATTGTAAAACTTCAATTTGTTAATAAAGTTCTTTCAAAATAAATTCATTTGAAATTTATTGACGCTAGTTTACTTCATTTACTGCTCTTTTAAATTGAATATTGTATAGTTTTAGTATAACAAATTAGTTTAGATACACGGTGTCCGCAATAAATGGCATCCCAGTACAAGCATGCAAAGTGATTTTCGGTGGTGTAGAGAAGATGGTTCTGGATGTTATCCAAGAAGAAGCAAGCTATCCTCTTAGCATACGTTTTCAGGCACCAACAATCACAACAAATGAAAAGATCATCCTTTCAAGTACATTCCATTCACTTTACACAATCGCTGCTCAACTGAGTCCTGCCCTGAAAAGTTCTGGCATTGAAGTTCTAACTACTAATCACTTCAAGTGAGTATATTTGATTTTTTTTTTTCTTTTTTTGTTTTGTTTTATATGGATAGCTTTTAGCATAAGGCTTATATCATGGAGTTCGTAACGTTTCATTTATTGTTATTGTTATTTGGTCTTTATTTTTGCTACTCACACTTTAATTTATTTCAGCTTTCATAAGATATACAATATCTGGATTTTAAGGTGGATTTGCAAAATTCATACTAAGTATGTAGTTGACAAATATGAAATAGTTATTTTAAACATGTTGTAGAAATATTTTGAACAAACGGCGTAACGGTTTAATGCATGTCCAAAATTTCAGGACTTGTCATCACGGCAGTAGTTTTTTCCCGTAATGTTAGCGATGTTGATCAAAATGTTAAGCATAATTTACTATTTTATCAGCATCATGACATGCTTTTCGATTTTCTCTTTTCTGTAATTAGAACAACTCATTGCTATTCTAATGAAATGTAGTTTGTTTGAATTTACGATGTGTTGAAACTTCAGTAAAGTCTGATTCAGAAGCTTCAGTATTAATGCGAAATTATAGGCTTTACTGCTACCAGTCGACGACAGGTGTAAAATTTGTCGTGGTTGGCTCGTTATCACTGAGCAGTGGTGTCGATGGACTATTGCGACGGATTTATGAGCTTTATGCCGATTTTGCTCTAAAAAATCCTTTTTATTCGATCGATATGCCAATAAGATGTCAGAGGTTTGATGACGCAATCCGATGCCTCATAGAAAGGCAAGATAAATTTAGTATGTTGACAATTTGAACTTATATAGATTGAAGTTTGTTTAGTTAGAAATTTTATATATTTGTCAGTTGTTATAATTTGGATGTAGTTATATTTTTCAAGAAGTTTGGGCAGAAGCTGATAAATAATATGTTTTTCACTTTTTTTTTTTTTTTATCGAGAACTTCTTTTATCAAAAGCTGGTTGAAATTGAAGATGTTCTTACTAACACTGAAGACATAGTAAATTATAAGCACAATCTTACATCTATTTCATAAAGTTTGCGAAATAACTGATAAAAGCCAGTTTTGCAGATCTCGTATTTCTTGTTATCGAGAATTTTAAACTTTTTTTTACTCTACTAATCTTTTTTTAAGAGATATCCTTTTTTTTTTTTTTTTTTTTTTTTTTTTTTTTCAAGACTCTACTATTCTTTTTTTCAAGAGATTGTTGTAAAACCCATCCTTCTTTTAATTATTTTACTCATCAGTTAAGTTCGTGTTTGTAAGGATTCATATGAAAGGGGATATATTTTATTTGGTGGAAAACTGTACTTTGATAAACATGTTTTAGAATCTGTGAGAGACGAGAAATTATTCCTATAAATATGATGTGATGATATAGTATTAGATAATTCTGCGAGCGGGTTATATTCGTTATTTATACTTTTTCTACTAAATTTTATGTGGATTCCTTTATAATTTGTAAGTTGTACATTATTTATTGCTTGTAAAAGTTTGTTTTCAAATTCTGTGTTACTGTTTCAATGGAAGCAAAAGCCATCTGTTATATATTGTTTCCAAAATTTTTAATGAAGTTTGCGAAGTGCATTCGTATCAATGATATGCGTATTTCTTTCATATTATTTAAATAATTTAGATTAACTTAATGGAATCTAAAACGATCTCATTCTTTGAATGAGTTGACTAGCATGACATTCAACATTTTGAAGTACAATGTTCAATGCACTTTAGATAGATGATGATATAAGGAAGCAATTTTATGAAGTTTATAACCCATTTTTCCCATAGAAGTATATATTAGAAAGTTAAGTACGTGTCGGAACTTCGAAAACAGTTCGCAAGAAATTGAGTGCAATTGTTCATACATTTAGTTAACTAGCTTTGACGAGAATAAGGTCAGTCTGAGAAGCGTATGCTGTGATTTGTTGAACTTTTAGTTGCAAAAGTTAATTGTGTAGAAGTGTTGTAAATTTTCTGAAAAGACTGTTTGGAACTGGTACAAAACATGTTCAAGTGGATGCGTTGACTAACATAACTTTTTCCAGGAAATCTAAGAGGTGAACTTATGTATTTACGCACTGACGATCTGGACCACAGATGGATGTTACCTTTTCATTTCTAAACTATATTCCAGGTCTAAAAGGGTTCATTGTGCTTTCAAATGGCTCAGTCATCAAGGTTTCATTTTTTGGATTACATTTTATCAGTTGGTATTTAAGATTCTACTTTAGTTTAGGTAGCCTTTTCCTGCTCAAAAAAAAAAATCAAAGGAAACGATTGGACAGCTGCTTTAAACGAAATGCTTAAGTAAATAGCATCTTTGATTTTCTTCTTATTTTCACTAATCTTCATTTGGTATAAAATTTCCTTCCTTATACCAAAAAATTGAAAAAGCATTATTTACAATGAGCATATAATGGGTTTACAAAAAGGTATATTAAATTCTGTAATGTGATTCATTTGGTCATTTATGGATTGAAAATTGTCAGATGGACCAAGTCTTTAAAATTTGAAATGGCTGTTCTCGAAATTATTGAGACCAATATCTTGTTCTGTTGACCTATATGTTTAAGGTTGTTTATCATAAAAAAAATGTTAATGTATGGGTTAGATAGTGCATTGTGATCTGACCATTTATTATCAATATATCAATCTGATACTGACCAAAAAACGGAGTGTCTTCTCCCTATTTCGGCTAATTTTCAGTTTGCTTGCATTTCTTGTAGAGACGGAAGGCAGAAAAGATAAAATTTTAGAAGAGCTTTTCATCAGTATAATTTTTGTCTCTTCAACCACAGTCTGTCCCATTACTTCTCCAAATTCCAGCAATCGTTTTCAAGGCAATGAGATGTATATTAAAACGATTAAAGAGAATTACAAGCTTAAAAGATATTGGATTTCACTTGTAATGTATTTTTAAATGAAATAAAGATTAAAGCTAATAATGGAAATAGTTGCTTCAAAGTAAATTTAGATAGGGAAAAGGTTGAGATTAGATGCGGAGCCAGTGAAATAGCATTGCTAAATTATTTAAAAATTTTTGTGCATCTTCCCTTGCATATTCATATCTGAATTAGGTGAAAATTTTTCTTTAAGTTTTCAAAAGTGACAATGTTTCAGTCGGATGGAGAGCTAGAAAATGACGAATTATTGGCAGTGAATGTCAAGAAAATGTTATCTATTGGCGAACCTCTTGTTCATGTCGTAGGAAAAATCGAAAAGATGACCATAGCATATCCAGAGCATAATCTTGAAATTGTTCGAAGTGGCAAATATATATTTATTGTGAAGAAAAAAACAAATAACTAGTAGGAATACTTTACATGTCTCTATTTCTAAAACATTTTATGAAGTAAAATTATCTTTGGCAAAATATCGTATATCATACAAAATTGCTAAAATATATGAAAAATTTTCTGAATCATTTCTCATATATGTTGTTACTTCTTTTCGTATCCTAAAACCCGTAAAGTAGCTGTAATATTCCTTTGATATGATTTCAGTAACATTTACAGTTTCCTAGAATATATTGTATGCCGAGAAAATTCTTAGGTTTTTAATCGGAGGTCTCCTCCTATTGTCATTTATCAATGAATTCTGTCAAATTTTGTAAAACAGTTGGAATGTTTCACACAACTAGATTTCCAATGAAATCTGCTTTTGTGTTCTGTTCTGCAATTTAGCATGTGTCGTGTAGTACTTTCAACTTATTCAGATTTGATAGTAATTCTATTGAAATGTATGGCTCAGGTTTGTTTCAGCTGTGGTTATGTAATAAATAATGCACTACTTTCTTAATTGAACTCTTTCAGTACAGAGCATCTTAATGAAGAAAATTTCCACATTTCCATCCACATTCATAAGACTTTCAGATCTAAGTAGGTATCGCTTAGTAAAGCAATAATTCTTCTGGCTATCAATTTCTTGAGATAGTCTCCAGTCATCTTGCAAACATTTGCTTACCATTGCATCGTGCATCAAACTAAGTCACAGAATGCAGCAGCCCATTTATTTGAAACATTTAGACAGGAATAATGAATAATATGTATAGTGAACAGAGCATAAATAAAGGTAATAGTACTGTTCTTCAAAGAAAAAACGCGCGAGAAAAAAGATTTTCTCAGAAATAAGAAAATCTAGTATTAGTAGTGGTGACTAATAATAATAATAACAATAATAATAGTAATAATTATAATATAATAATAATAGTGGTGATGATAATGGTGTAATATAATATAATAATAAAAGTAATAATAGTACTAATAATAATAATCAAAGATAATAGTAATAAAAATATACTTCCTTTTTTCCATCAAAAACACAGAAAACAATGAAAGTAAAAATAAATTAATTAAGAGCACAGATGGACAGACATAGCAGTAGTTGGTCGGATGAGAAGACAAAAGAAATGAAGAGTTTAAAAAAAAAAAAACACTGGCCATTTATGAACCCTCAAAAAAAGGAAAAGTGCTAGTAGAGGAGGAAAGAACTTATGTGTGAAATTTCATATTTTCAAGAAATTAAAAAATAATTCTTCGCAATGTACCAAATATAAATTATCTAATCCATGGAAAAAAGATGTAACAAAGAAAAGGAATAATAACAAAAGATGAAGCATGAAAGGACTGAAGATGAAGGAGCATTATAGCAGTGTCAATAACCACTGCATAGATTACCGGTTACACTGCACTAAAGAATAAAATGAACCAATCAGATGATATGCATCAAATTTTTGAAAGGAAAGTAAAATGGACGTGAAAAAAAAAGGATAATATACGTCTTCAAATTAAGAGATTTTTTTTTTTTTTTTTGTTTTTTGTAAAAAAATACAAATTCTTTTGGGAAAAGGGACAAATTTATTAGCACTTTAAATGAATACATAATGTGCATATTGATGCATGCATGCATCAATATGCACATTACGATGTTATTTACGCTTATTATATACAAAAATAATATACAGCTGAATGAAGCGAACTTGATAACTGACTGAATGACTCATTCATTGAATGAACGATCGAATGAGAAAAACAGCAATAAAATACCACAAATTGTTTTGGCACTTCCGAGCTGCATGAATTAAATGAACAAAATTACCATTCAAATGTTGTAAGCATGAGAAAAATATGTGTGGACGAATGCAAGAGAAGTTTGAAGAGAACAAGATAATATAATGATATCGTAATAAAAATGGAATCGATGCATGCAATAAAAATTTCATTTAAAATTAGGCAGAAAGTTCTAAATGATAGTGAATATATATTTGCTGAATCTAAATAACGTTATTTTACTACCAATTGAATTTTGGCATATTTTATCTTAAACTAATAATATTTCATTTAGATAATTGGAAAATTTGGAAAAATTACATTAACTTAACTGCAATCAAGATTGATAAAAGATTAAACTGATAATGATACCAGTCATTACGTATCAATAAAAAGCATGCTATTTTTAAAAGCAGATAAGAAAAAATAACCGAGAACAAATGCAAATACTTTTGCGTAATTTATTATTAACTGCTCTCCAAAAAATTCCCAAAGATTAATTTATGAAATTGCTGTTTCAAACATTTAAAAAAAAGAAAAACAGCAAAATGGAAAAAATAAATTAAAAAAATCAGAACAAGACGGAAATTCTGTGCACAAAAAAACAAAAAAAAAAAAAAAAAGAAGATAAAGGGAAAATATATACATTGTCCATCTAGGTTTTCTGTTTGCCCTTCTGTAAACTGTCATAATTAAAATAGGATAAACCATAAACGGAACAGCTTGTGAGACGAGGAAAACAAAATGACAAAAGAGGAGAAAAAATTTCAACAAAAAGGAGATAAATCACAATACATTATTTATCGCAGCAGACGTAAAGAAATGCATCCTGTATGGGAAATAAAAATATATAATTGGAGTGAAAAAGGACGAAATGATTTGGTATTCATATAGGAAACAAGAAAAAGAAAGTTCCGACTTTTCTTTATAGCTTTTCTCGGGAAAAGATGAATGAACTTTTGCAATGATCATATGATATTGTACCAGTTGCGCCTCTTCGAAAACATGTAATATCCACCAAATTACGATTGTTCAAATAACAATGCATCCAGTATCAGTGCTACTCCAAATGCGATACCGGCAAAAAGCAACTGAAAATGGAAAGCATGAAAAATGTGGCTTTCAAATTCAAGTAGAGATATATCGTTTAATATTTAAAAATTTTATTAACCAATTTTTACGACTAGTATACAAAATGTGATCTTCTTTAAATCCTTTGTAGAAATAACAATTTCAACTTCATATTAAACATGAGAGATTCAAATGAGAAATTAAAAGCAACCAGGATGACAAATGCGTAATGTTTATCGGATAAAATGTGATACTGGATCCATTGCACGTTGCTAATATCTTGCGCTCGAATGGCAAGCATCTCTTGCTCAGTCACTTCAAGGGTCTTTTTACGAGGTATTACAGCAAGTGATGGAGTTGCAAATTGTATAGCTGACGGTGCTGAAACGCTTTCAATTCCATCTCTGATCCGTACACATTGAACACGAAGCTGAACACTTTCAGATGTCGAAAGTGAGTATGACGTAGACATACCTTCGTATGCCTGCAAGAAAATTTTTCACAATCATTCTTAAAAATAATTTTAGCAATATAAACAAATAATTCGATGCTTACTCATTAGCAAATTTATTCTCACTTATTACTATAGCACTTTCAAGTATATTTTTTAACAAAGTTATGACTGATTAATAGCAACAATGCAAATGAATTTTTTATTTCAGCAATTCTATTCACTAATAAAAGCAGAAAGTGTTAGTACTCTTTCTTAAATATCTGAAACAAAGATTACTGTTTTCCAGATATTGTTCGACCGTTCAACAGAACTTCGAGATGCAACCTGAAGGCGATACAGCAAAGATTCTTTACTATTCGCTGATGATATACGAACCGGTGACCATTCTACCTTAAAATAAGAATGCTATTAAATAAAAGCCAAATATGGTATGATATTATCTGAAATACTCATTATAAGTATTTGGAACTGCGAAGAACAAAAATTTTCTGTGCTTCAAAAACCCACTGAGTTTTAAATAATGAATTCAGAATGTTCCTTAATTCATTCGCACTATTTTGTTATATTAATTTCATTATGCATCATTATTTATATTACAAATGTGATAATAAGCTATTTGAAAATTTTCATATAGAATCAGTTAAAATGCATTTTTAAGTGTTTTTTTTTTTTTTTTTTCTTTTCGATGTCTCTGGCAAAAACGGAGAATAGATAGTTTTACTAAAAAAAATTAGAGCAACCTGGAAAGAGCCTGATGCAACTTCCGTTACCGTCGGCGCAGATCGTATTGTCGGAGGTGGCAATTGCTCGGTTGAAAATTCGAATGGTGAAGACCAAGGACCAGCACCCGACACTCGTGACGAGCAACGAATACGGAAACGGTATTTTGTGCTTTCATTTAAGTTACGCACTTTTGCATAACGATTATCGCCTTCATAAATCTACAGAGTGATAAAGTTAGACAATTCCAAATTAAATAAAAGTTGTGAAAATTTATAAAAATAGATAATTAGTAAAAAACTGTGATGCAATTGCAATCATAACATACACTTTATTTTTGCCTTAAAAGAATTTTAAACTACTGCATTATAAAATTTAATTTTAATTGTAATTTATTAACCGGTGAAAATTTTCCGTTATCATTCTCTTTCTCCAAATAATAATAATACTGCGTCGTGGTTAGTGCCGATGAATTTCCATTTGGTTTCCATTTCAGCTTCAAATAATTCGGACCTGCTTCAGAACAGAGCAGACTAGGAGGCTGTGGGGGAGGTGCAAGTGTTGTAGCTGTTGTCCACGATGGATCACCTATTCCAATGGCATTTACGCCATAGACTGACAACCTAAAATCGCTATTTGAGAAAAGAAAGTAAAAAAAAAAAAGCATTTTAAACTTAGTTATAATGTCGCATAAACAAGACAAACAAATTTCTAAATGATAAAATAAATGGAATACTCCCACAGGAAGAATCGAACTTTTTTTATCACAAATAAACATCAGACAACTTGGAACTTAACTTAAAAAATTCTAAGTGTGGCAAAAAAAAAGCGAAAAGTAACAACAGAAATCAAAATTAACCTATATGTGTGACCAGCTTCGAGTGAATCGATGACACATTCGCATACAGATGCTTCTTGCTGTATCATTCGAACCTCATTACCAGAGGAATCATCAAGCACACAAATATTATATTCGAAAATTTCACTTCCATTACAGCAAGGTGCACGCCATGATGCTTGCAGTTGCCTACAACCTAAAACTAATTTGATCTATTATACCGTAATCAGCAACTAATTGACGCTAATTTTTTCATTTCGAATATATGCTAACCAATCTTATAAGTACACAAAAACATTCCATATCCCTCTGTATTCTATCATAATTTTATATTCTAACTGTACATAACAACAGTATACTTTAAAAAACAAAAAACTTTTTAAAATTGATAAAACATACCTTGTGGAAGTGCATGAAAATTCAATGGTGCAGCTGGTGAGCGGGGAGGAATAGAAACATAGATGCACTCACTGGGAACACTTGTACCGCCACTATTCACTGCTGACACACTAAGTTGATACTTACAGCCAGGTTGTCCATCAGCTACACTAATACTCAGCACCTCGGCGCTTTCACGTTTCACTGTCCAACCACAATTTGCACTAGTCGTTTGATCATTGTCACCCTTAGATTTTGATCTAAAATTTTCGACAAATAATTGCTAAATTGGTGCCATATTAGCCGTATTATTTTCGCAAAATCCTACTTAAAATTTGTAAAAAATTATTAAAAAAAGAATGCATTAAAATTCATTTAAGCAAACAATAATATAAGTGATTTATATTTTTTAAGAAACTCAATTCATGCAAGACAAATGTAAGCCTTAAAGCGTAATGTGTGCTTTAAATTACAAAATACAAAATAAATACAAGAAAAAAGAAAGATGTGTGCTTTCAAAAATAACTATTTTGTGTAATAAAAGAGACTATAATTAGCAAGATGCACTATGTGCAATGAAGTCTTTTAATCCGCACTGTAAAATAAAATTTCTAAAACTGACGTGGATGAAGAGAGGACAAGAATTCTTTCGACAATATATTCCAGAATTGGTGCTCCATTGGTACTATTTGGCGGTGACCAATGAAGCACATTATCGGCATCAACATGAATATCAATTGGCGGTGATGGCGGCTGTGCGGCGGTTCTTCCAACAGCTACTCGACTCCACTCGCCTTCCAAACGTTTCCCATCGAAAGAAATAGAAACAGCACGCACCTGCACTTCCATCTCTTCACCCGGAGCACAATTTGAGAGGTCAAACATTGTCGCTTCACCTATAGGAATTGTTACTATTATAGTGTACAGGAACCATAATGCTATTAAACACACATATTACCTTCATCTTTTAAGTCATATAATGCATTGACTCTACACAGTCATTATAGAGATTTAAAAACAAAAATGACGGAGAAATTTGGATAAACTAAATTATAGTAATTCGTATTTGCTGTTGCTTTTTGCTGTTTCTTACAAAAATGCTTTTTTCAGTTTATGCCCTAAAACATTCGTGTGTAGCGTGAACTTTCTAAGATGAATAACTTTTCAATACTAAAGCTTTTGACATTTAATTTGTTTTGTTTTATTAGCTATTTGTTTTAAAATTCTGAATTTGAAGATGAATGATGGTATTCAGACAATTCCTTGAAGATTTTTTTATCGTACAAAACTGCCTCACCATTATAAATAGATACCTTGATAAATAATACTGGAAGGTTGCAAATTGACACGATGGAGTTGATAAATTATCGAGGACATCACACTGTCCGGTGGATTCCACTGCACACGCAGGCAACCTTTTGAGATTTCAGTGATTGTAGGTGCTGCACATTGTCCCGGAACCGTAACGAGACGTTGTTTTTCCTCACGTCGAACACGCAACGTGTCACTCCATCCACTCTTCAGAATGCAAAACCATAAGATCAAGAACTCATCGATTGTGAATAATAGCAAATAAAATTTTCGGTTCATTGTTTTTATTCTTTAACTTATTATTGTTGTAATAAATTAATTCAATATAATAGTCACTTCGTTTTAAGAAGCATTGCTATACTAATTACCTGCAATTGTTTTTTCAATGAAGCCACTCGGAAGGCTCGCATTTCAGGATTATGAATTTGTGTACTTATTGCAGTACCTTTGTATATCATAGTCCAAGATTTCTCATCTGAGCTACCTTCCAACACAAAGGCAAGATCTTTCTCATTTAAACGTCCTGTTTTCCAACCAATTTCAAGACATGCTTCATTGTTTGAAATGACGTGTGGTCGTGAAGGCGTCGGGGGAGGCGAACCGGACGGTGAAGATGGAGTACGAACAGTAAGTGCTTCAGATGGCTCGCTGTCACCGGCATCATTATGAGCGATCAAACGGAATTGGTACTGATGGTTACTGTAAAAAAAAAAAAAAAAAAAAGATTATGTTATTATGGAAAAAGATTATGGAAATCTAATTATAAATGATTATTAAAAGATTACAGAATAATGCAAAAAATATTTTCGAGAAAATTATGACAAACGAACAAAGCTTACAAAATTATGACAAATCAACCTACTTTATAATGTCACTGACACTAAATGAAGATAGCTGAGAACGTTCGCAAACAACCGAATACTCATTTGTTCGAGTATCACACATTTCCAACTAAAATAGAATTTTAGAGAAATTAGTAAAAACATATTGTTATAGTGACAGCCTCATCATTAGGCCTATCAGATTTCTTGTGATTTTCGTATGGTTATTTATGATTCCTTTTATTTTGACCCCTTGAAATAGCAGTTGACAGATTTATCATATGAAATATGTTTCAAAAGGATTATATTTCAAGGTTAATGATTTCATTTAAAAAGAAATACAATATTAAATAAACAGTCAAACAGTCGAATTACTTTTAACTCATCTAAGTTTGAAGAAATCCAGACAGTTAGCTAAAAAATTAAAAACAAACCGTGTAATAATGTTGAGGTTGAGTATTCCAAGAAAGTTTAATACATTTAGCTGATAAAGAAACAAGCTGAGGACAATGTGGTTGCTTCGGTGGATGGGAAAGTGCTGATGTACAAACGATAATTGCAGCTGATGGTTGAGAATCTCCATCACTATTCGTAGCGGTCAGACGGACTCGATATCGTGTTGACGGTGCCAAACCTTTAATTTTGAACTGTTCTGCTAAGCCTTCATACACTGTTTCGTAATTCTCCTCCTCTCGTTGTCCACTCTGAGAAGTAATGAACGATATACTCATTAAGCATTGTTTTATAGAAAACCAAATTATAAACTGCATTCTCATTGCTCAAAATCAGTATGCCATGAATGACTACTGCTCTAAAGCAATTAAACATTATAAAAAAGAAAAAAAAAATTAAAAAGCTCGGAAAACAAAAAAAAACAAAATTTAGCAACCTATTACGAATAGCATTGGAAGAGAATAAAATAAAATTGGTTAGTGTGCCAAAAATGGAGAAATTTGTTTGGAGAATGATTCGGATTATACAAATGTCAAAATGCAAGTGACATCATCTTTATCCTTTATCCTCTAAGACAGTTATGAAGATATGAGCAGAAAGCTTACCTACATGTCATAAAAATATCCCACAATTCATTTTTGTCAATACTTAATAAAGCTTATTACTTATTTTCTTTTTTTACTATTCTACAAATACTACTACTACGGTACACTTACAGATGCCAATTCCAAACGATAGCATGTAATCGGTGAACCGTTATCAATAGCAGAACGCCACGAAACAATAACTGAATTATGCGTGCGTGAAACCAGACGAGGAGGATGCGGAGATTCTGGTACCGTTGTAAGTGTTCGGAATTTTACAGCAGTTGATGGATTACCCTGCAAACCACGTTCCTCCAGCGAAGCCCTCAGCTGCACATAATATTCGGTATTTGGTCGAAGGCGACATAAGCGTACTCGGTTACCCGAATCAGGCTCACATCTACAAGTTAGTTCTTGCAAAAAATTATAAAACAACTACAGCCAAAATATAAACGTTAACGAGTGGCATTTCTTGATCATTCTTATCATTTCTAAACTTTCGCATAATTTTTCAAAAGTAACTTTTAAGAGAAAAAAATAGCCTTAAAAAAATTCAAATAATTTTTGAAGACAGAAAAAAAAGGGTCAACATGGATAAGGAAGTTTATCTTGAGGAAAAAAAAAGTGAATATTTTCATTATTTTTAGTATTTCCAATGCCAATAATCAATAAAGAATGAGAATTTCATTCATTTATAGAAAAATAGTGGCATGAAATTAACCTATAACTGCTAACAATCCGTCCAACACTTTCGAAAAGGACAATATCGTAAGTAAATTCGGATGCGTCAATTTGTGGAAATGGTCCACCAGGAGCAGATGCTTCGGATGTATCTAATTCTTGCCATGCAATATCAGCTTCCTTTGCTGCTACTCGAAGAATCTGAAAGTTGAGCAAAATTTGAAACTTGGAAGTTTTAGAACTTACCAAGTCGATCGAACGATGAAGAATCAAAAACAATATAAGTAAATTGACACGTTTCAATTCTTCTACCTGAGGTGACTGCATTCGTGAGAGCATTTCGGTGAGCCGCTCCCATTCTTCCTCTTCATTTGCTGAAGCTCCTGACTGACTTTGTTCCTGAATATTAAATTCAAATGCATTATTTTGAAATTTTGTTATTTCTACCGTAGAATAGCCGACATGTTAGTCATCGTTTTCAATTCATCACAGATTTTGCGAATACAACAATATAATTTCTGAATTATCTGGATAACCATTACTTACTGTCCACAAGCAAGTAAAACGGTGCAATGTCTAATCCTGTGTACAAACGAAAACCACTTTATCACCAAATTTCTTTCAAAACAATCATTCGCCAAGAAGTGGAAAATCTACGGCTAAATCTATTGTAATCGCTTCTCTAACATCCCCGTACTATAAATAGTTGGGAAGAGCTAGAATAAGTTAAAGGTTAAAGCAAATTCATAATTATTAAAACTATTCTCAGAGTATCTCATAAACATTACCAAACAGTAATTCAAGAACATTCTTGAGAAAAATTTTATGAAAAGCAAATGTGTAAAAAGATAAGTTCCATCTGCAACACATAAACAGTAAATAGATAAGAAAATGAATAGAATAATTAACTTGCATTTTTGTCTTAATGATCTGCATGCACCGTTACCTACTACCTCTAATGGACTACTAAGATGTATACTTACATGATCGTCAGCATTATTGGTTGGTACTTGTACTACATGTGGTCCGTCGAACTTCTTTCCATGTGGTATCCAGGTCTTTCGAAGATTATCTGAAAAATAGCAAAAATTTACGCAAAATTTATACTTTTAACTTTTTTTTAGACATCAGTTTATTCTTCATTTATTCATATTCAAAACTTAAATAAGTCTGAACTATTCCAGTTTAAAGCAAAGTTCTTGAATTTCTGCATACAACATAAAATAAAAGAATAAGGTACTTGTAACAGAAATGAACTGCAAAAAATGAAAAATTTCTAGAAAAGCATATTTACCTTCACTAAAATCAGTATTGTTATGAAGAGGGTAGGGCACAGTTGGAGGTGGATATGGAGGCACGATAGGTGGTGACGGTGAATTATGCGCAAACGGTTTCAGTGGTGCATTCGAATTATGAAGTGGTGTATTTGCGGTGATCGTCGCTGGTGGCGGAACGGTCTGAAAATCATAAAACTATGCTAAAATTATTACACTGTAACTATTTTTATCTAACTGTGATGATTATTCGTGTGTCATAGAATATCTTATCCTACTTTATTTTTGCTGATGAAAAGATTAAAAGTAAAGTCTTAGAGATTTTAAATACAAATAATAGGGAAGAAAAAGCATTGTCATTTTCACTCGAACAGGGAGTGCTCTAAAAAGCACAAAAAGAAAGAAAATTTGTCGATAGGACTATATCAAACTATGTATATTCCTTGCTTTTTTATTCTCTTGCAATTACTAAAAAAAAAAAAAAAAAAAAATTGCAGAAGATAATTTTTCTGAATTATTTCCGTTAAAATTGGAATTTTTCAACTCAAAGTTAGCATATTTTAAGCAAACCAACCATCCACATAAATCATTCTTTTCAGAATGAATGATCGCTTATCAAAAAAAAACTCGAAACACTCAACTAGAAGTCTGGTGAAAAGTGATAAGGAATGAAATTTTATATCTTATCTGTTCTGAAGTATGTAGAGGCCAAAATATTTCATGTATTCATATACTCATATAAATATATATTTATCTTTGTAATGATTTCGTTTCTATAGACCAAAGCATGCTAAAGAAAGAAGGCTAATTCATAAACACAACACTTTCATGTCCTGTCCAGTAATTTCTTGTCTCTGACAGAGCCAAAGTATACCATCAATATATCTTAAAGAAATGCTGTTTTCAATAAATTATCCGATGGCAATTAATGAATTTAAAGTACTAGAGAAAAAGAAGATATGACAGTTTGCAGTTCTATCTCAGCTATCCTCCGAACTATATATTTGCCTGATATAAAAGCTACCATTAACTGCAGCATCATCTAATTTCTTGATCGAGAAAAATTTATAATTTATTATCCCTTCACATAAAAATTCCTCCAAAATTATTGGAATTTTTCTTTGGGCAATGAAATCCGTCAAAAGAGCAAGTTTGTTCTTTTCTCAAATTAAAAATTGAAGACACAATTTTTAAGAAAAAATGAAGCAAACCGGTATCAAGCGCGATCCAGGAGTAGCTTCTGGTGATAAAATCAAATGACGCAAGACGCCCTATAATTTTCCATCAGTTACGGCACAAGAAATCATCGATAAAGCTTAAATAATGTGATTTATGATTAAGATATGACTTTCCAAGCCATTCCGCTAACATGATTATAGAAATGTAAATTACCGATTATTCTACCACGTCTATAGGCTAATTAGGCCTGCCATGCCTTAGCCTCAGGCCGCAGCATTAAACGATATTATACAGAAAATAAAAAAAAAACACGAAACTTCATGGGCTCATCAATCGCCTCCCAATATTAACCCCCAGCTCGGCATTTCTAGTCTTCGAATAAAGAAAAGAACAATAAAAAAACCTTTAAGACCTTTATCAGCGTTTCACAAAAAGGCAATGTAATGCAACTAGAATTTTGATCTTAAAAATATTTGAGAAGGCGCAGATTAGTTTTTAGTCTAGAAAAACCTTAGGAATGATTTAAACTATGCTCCAACATTGTTGAAAAAATACCTGTTCATCAACCATTTGCTGAACCATATGTCCGGGTGGAACATGCAGTGGAAGAGCAGATGGTGACATACCTGCCTGATTTACCATACGCACCGTTGCTGGGCCTTAAAACATTTCACTTCAATTTATGCCAATTTTAAAAGTAAGAATTTATATTTCGAACTGAAAACATTCTTGACCATAAAAAAACATAAAAATTGGGTGAAGCAAACCTGAGATATGTTGAACGTCGTTCCCTATAACGATCGAGAGGGTCTCGCCGGTTTGCACATGTACAAAAAGGTCATTACTACCAATGGAGGTTGGCGCACGTTGTGTCACATTGATGTTGCCTCGTACTGAAATGTGAAACACGTTTTGGATATCCATTTTCGAAGATTTTAAAACTGAAATTTGAACTTTTAAGTAATACTAAATTTAAACGTGATCCTTCTAAAATGGAACAGCATAATATTTCCGAATCTATATTTATACATTCAAAAGATACCTTGAAATGGATCTGAAATGTAACAAAGGTTATCATGATTAATAAATCAAATGTTTATGATATTTTATCGGTAGATAGATATGATGTTAATGAATATTTTGCTATTCTACGTTCGTTCTATCTTCGCAATTGAAATAGCTTTTTTTTCTTTTTTTTGATATTAATGCAGAATTTTCGACTTAGCTTTAAAAATGAGAGAAGGCCTAATAAATTACCTTACTGATCCTTGCAGTGAAAAAAAGATGAAGGTAACTAGGTTATCTTAAACTATTCAAAAAAAAAAATCTTTGCTTACAATCTACTTTCCAGTGCATTTGTAGAGATTGCAAAACAACCGCACAGAAAAACAAAAGTAGTTGCATTTGAAATATTATGCAAAATTATGCATATATATTTCATGGCAAAAGATAAGAATTAGAACCTTGCAGTTTGATTGTTTTTATTAATTTTTTGAAGTATGGTTATTATATATATACATATAATTTCTATACCTATTGTAACACATGTATAGTGTTCTTTTCCGATAAAAGTAACGTCAAAACGATATGTTCTCACTAAATCCTTCAAACAATTTTAATTTTTTTATTACGATAAAAGAAATTTGAAATTTCAGTGGCCACCAATTAAAAAAAAATTTCAACCCAAATTTTGTACAAACCTGAATTTCGCCAAAAAAAAAAAAAAAAAAGAATTAAAGTTTATGAGCAATGTAACTGAATGAAGCAGCATTTTAAATATCAAGAAAATGATATATAAAGAGATGATTAAATGTTAGTGCGATTAGCGCGTAGCAAACTGTCAGCTCCCCAGCTGGTATAACATTCAAACATTTTTTTTTTTTTTTTTTTTCAATCAAAAGAATGGTACATGATAGGTGGGAGAAGTGATGAAACCAGGACTTAAGAAATGATGATATACACCGATAACTGCCTCTTCTACTTCTACATATCACTTCTCCTATACGACTTTACGCTTTTCAGCAAAAAGGGTACAAATTTTAATAGTGAATTGCATCCATGCTGAATTTGAAATGTATATGATTTTTCCCCTTTTTCATATAGAAAATTCTACAAAACAATGTTGTGGATTTTTTTTTTTTTGGAATGAACCATTGCCCATTTCCTATTCTTTTACTGTATCATACAATAGTGCATGGTTAATAGATGCAATGCAAATGCTACTTATCAATCATTGAATACAATTGAAAAATGTGATAAATTAAACAGACTTATCCGTTTTTTTTTTTTTTTCAAAATCATGGAAATATCTATATCTGTGCAAATTTTTGACTATATGATAATGCAAAATAAAATCAAAAGAACAGAAATTAGCTATGATAGATCCTGGATCAAGTATGTAGCTTTTAAATAATAAATGGAGCTAATAGCGCAGTGACAATCTCGAAGGTCAGCAAAATACGAAGTATGATGTCATTTCCAGTATATCACTTTTCGATTGATCTCAAAAGCAATAAATTAGACGTAGTGGAGGTGACACATCCTACTAGAGAATGCAGGACAGAAAGCCTAAGACAGTTGTGTTGACTTGCTTAGCATCCTAAATAACACTGCGAGAAAAAGCCTATATCTGATCATCACTTTCTGATAAAAATTTAATTACAATAACATTAACATTAGAAAGTCGATTCTCCAGACACAGTAAACTAGGACCATTGCTTTCTTAATGCAATCTGCTCCGGAGAAGAAACATTTACAGATCGACATTCTTTCACCACGAAGAGAAAATTATGCAAATGTTAACATCAAACCAATAGAGAAGCATTATATAATATAATGAAAAGTGCAATGTGGATGAGAAAAGTAAGAAATAAACGTTGATAAAGAAATGGGCGTTGTTTTCTCGAGAGGTATTACATAAGAAGTCGAACTAAGTAAGACTTTTTAACCAATATCAGACACAATAAAAGGTTATTCTTCAAATAGATTAGTATCTTTTTCATATTACGAACTATAGTTAGATGCGGTTGGTAATTATTATTATTAATTAGCCAAGACGACAACAGTTCAGTTCATTAAAACGTATTTTCGATCGAGATGCAGCGCCGAGAAACCAAATGGAGAGAGCAGAAAAATAACCTTAAAGATTCCCGACATGATCGTGAAATCAACGAAACAAGAAAAAATGTCATCTAATTAAGGTTAAAACAGGATGGAGAAGGATGACTGTTTCACATTCTTCAAATATTCATAGAAAGAAATAACCACGGAAAAACTTACGTCAGTAGAGGAAGAACGGGAAAGAACGTCAGACAAAAAATTTTATTTTGGGATATCATTTCTAACTCGTAATTGCTCACAAAAACTTTGTTCATCTATCTTATCACTTCATTAATTTACAAATTAAATGATTCCTGTAAGTGTTCTAAGTTATGAAAACATTAATCTACATGTACGACTTATACTTTTATTACTCCTAAAGACAAAACCAACAAACTCTTTTAGGTTCATTTCATCTTCAACAAGTTTTATTGGTAAAGACAAAGTGCATTAATAAAAGAAACACGAGGTATTTGACAAGATAACATTATCCAAAAATAACATATAAATAAATATTTTCAAAGAAATAAGTCATGTACATTGCAGAATAGTCAAAACAAACTTTTCAGTTTTCTAGTGGGTTATTTACTAATTTACTTAAATAAACCTACGAAAAAAAAAAAAAAATATCTTTTATTAAATGATTTTATTGTGAGCTGAAAATTTGTGCAAAATTTGCATCGGAAACAACAAAATTAAAAAAAGTTAAGATGGTAGTGTCTTCGAACATTTCCTACTGAAATTTTTATATTTCTTGAAGACTGAATCATGACACAATGCAATGGTTAATTAGCCATAAACTTTGATTTTGATTTTTTTCTAAATCAACAGTAATGTAAATGAACTTACCGTGATCAAAAAACATAGGAGTTGGCGAGGTGGAAGACGTCGGAACAGTATTGCAGGACATGAACATTGATGATACGGTGTTATTCAGAAGCACCGGATGAGGTATCACCCAAGCGTTCCTTACTCCCACCGGTGCGTCACTACAAATAAATATATTAATAAATTCAATTAATAAGTGAAATGGGTGAAGGACAGTTATTTTATTCACTATCCTCTACTCAAACGCCAAAATGGATTGGAATTTTTGATTTAGAAATTTAATAAACTATATTACAATAAAAAAGTTTTAATTTTAACGAACCATATCTAATTCAAATACAAAATTTTGATTATTTTTAATGAAAGGAGCCTCGTATAGCTCAGCAAATTTGGTAGCATGAAACAATAAAGGAAAAGTGACACTGCAAGTGCTTCTCAGTTTAAAACTGCCACAATTGTGATATTAAAAACATTTAACTTGAGGTATCAAATTAAAATATTTGCCTGAAGTGATTTAAAAGCAATGGAAATTATTATGAAAGCAAAATATTTTTACGTTCAAGTTCAATGTTCAAATTCTACAATTCATAAGTTTTAATCTTTCACTCAGTTTTCCAAAGCCTTCTCAACAGATAGCAACGGTGATAGAGGAAAGGAAATACTGAGCTAAAATATATGAATTTCAATTAAACAACAGCAAATTTAGATGTCAAAAATTCTATATGCTTAAAATTGCTCTTTCTAATAGAAATGTTTGGAAAATTTAGTGCCTAGTGATAAATCCAAGTACCAATACATCAAGGCTTCTATTGATTTTCTTTTTCAAATCATCTCTCTTTTCTGTCCAAGATTTTAATAGTAGGAGTTAAAAAGGAGATTAATTCAGTGATGTTCCAATGATATGAGGAACATGAGATATCGAAATATCAACAATTTTCATAGAACAGGTTCGATGCAATTTGTCGTAAATTGTTATTTTTAATGATATGTGGCTTTTTCAAGACATAGGTCCATTATCCTGTCCCCTCCCTGTCTCCCAATGATGTATCGAAAATGCAAAAATAACGATACTTTTTTGATTACATTAATCATTTCCGTGACTGTCAACCTTATTTTAATGAGCAGAAATATGAAGAAAAAAAAAAAAACTTACGCTCAGTTATTCCTAACATACTATTAATTATTAAGGAGAAAGAAAGGGAAAAAGGGTAGAAAATTAAAAAGGAAAAATGACAACAACGAATGAAAAAATGATTAACGATAATTTTTGAAATGCTTCCAAGAAATTTTCTTTTTCTTTAAATTGCTAATCCTTTTTAATAGGTTTTGTTAAGGAAATTGCATACAGCAAACAAAATATTTGTTTGCTGTATGCAAAGTAAACAGCGATTGTGGAATTATAACACTTTTTTTTTTCTTTATTACGACTACCCGGTAAAAAAAATTCCAAAAATTAAAACTTTTTTCAGTAATCATCATGGTCCATGGTCCAGGATCTAACAGAATCACTGTCAGATTCAGGATTCTGATTTTCGTTCATCAGATATTAGAGCTAAGTACCAATATTAAGATCATCTTCCTTTTCTCTCTCTTCTTGTCACTTTCTTATACTATTACAACCAAAAATTGAATTTACAAAATATTCATTCACAAATTATATTCTTTAATTTGTATTTAATTTCTTCTACCTCTTCCACTTCTTTTGGTGGAAGTTTTTATTTTAGTTTTAATGATATCGTTAACTTTCTTTACTTGTCAATAAAATTAAATTCATAAATTGGTAAATAAAAACAAGACTGCAGATTGCAAATATGCAGAATCTAATATTTCATTTCAATTTGAATTTCTAATCATTTTCTCTTTTAAATTAAAAAAAAAAAAATCCTGATTTTGAACAACTAATCTTGTTAATCTTGTTAGCAGAAATATTTTTGTGTATGACTCCAAAATTATAACTCAAATTTATACTGGTTTCTTCTACTATGCCCTCCTCATCCCCGATTACATCACAGACATTTCTTTCACAATTAATTATCTAATACTTGACTGCTTCGTAATGTTCACATAGTTTAGAATCCGGGAGGCAAATATCACACAATTAATTATCAAAAAAAAAAAAAAAATATTTGTAATGTGATCAGCAGTAAATAAGACAAGAAGGCGGTAAGTGATGTGACTAATATCCAGAAAATTGCATACATCACACTTTTCGAGAATACATTTTTTGCCAAATATATAACATTTTTTTTAAATGACGAATATATCAAATATATTTCTGCAGCTGCAACCGCAGTTAAATATTGGCATTCCATAGTAATTACAATAAACATTCCTCTAAGCTGCCCACTTCACTTACTGCCGCAGTTAAAACTTTTAACCTGTATTTTTATTCAAACAAATCAGAAAGTACTGGTTTAAGAGATAAGTTAAAGTGAGCTTCTGAAAAAGTACACTTTACTGCATTCAATGCTTATCTCGCTGATAAGGTCATTTGCTGAGGAAGTGCAAATAAAGTGATTGAAATGTAAAAAAAAAATTTACTCCTTGTTGTAGTTTTGCAATTTACTAAGAGAAAAAAAGCACACATGCAACTGCACAAATATAAAATGATGACAATGTAATAGGTCAATGCTGAAAACAAGACTAAACTTTTTAAAGATGTAATATTTTCGTATTTTGAAAAAGCTTTAAACATTAAATGTAAAAAATAAACATTAGCAAAAATTACTATAAATGCATGTGAGTCCCAGCAAAAGTGAAGTAAAAATTTGAAAAATATAATAAAAGCAAAGAGTTTCTATTACTTTCCTATATCATTTGTGTTTCCATTGCTAATGCTAGCAAAAACTGCTCGACATATCGTGGGTCCTTTTTATTACTCATATTCTTCTTAAGACAAAATATGTCAAACGTTTTGCAAATTCCAAAGATCTGCTGATGATAATCAGAAAAAAAAAAAAAAACATTTTTACATTCTTTTTAAATGTGGTTCTTCCTGACATTTCTTCAATTATTTTAAACTGTAAATAATTTATATTAAAAAACTCAGCTAAGTAATAAATATGAGTAATAAATTCCGATATCAAATCAAATCTTTTTTCTAACATTTTTCCATTCAGTATAACAATATATCACTCAATTTAAAGTTATTTAAGTTAATACAACTTACTTGCTTAATACAACTTTTCTTCTCTTCCATTCTTTTTAAATGTAGTTTTCTTTCAATATTTCTCCAAAACACTGATAAATTAGCAGGTAATAACTGTGTGACAAGGAGGACGAAAATGAAGAAAAAAGTAAAAGAATTGACACAAAACTTTCATGTAATAAGACAGAATTACATCACCCATCAAATCTTTATGAACCTTATACAAAATTTAATAGAATGTGAATCTAAAAATATAAACAATTTAACTAATTTTTCCATGTTTAAAATGATCAAATAATCCACAGAAACAACCATTCTGTCCATTAACTTGACAAGTAAAATATTTAAACTATGGACCCAGTTAAATAATCCTATAATCAATAGGTGTGCAAAATACCAAAACAGTACAATTATGATTTCCTGCAATAATAACTACAGAAACATAAATGTTCAAACACCAAAATATTGCTGAAGCATTAATTTTCAACCAATTTGCATTTTTCCTTTCAATATTTTAAAAAGAAAGAGAATTAGAAAAATTAATGAAAAAAAATAACAAATTTTATCAATATTATGTCTACAGGTTCAGCAGTTGTAAATTCATCTGTTTTTGTAAGCCATAATGCCTACAACAAAAAAAAAAAAAAAAAAGACTGTTTGACTCAATTAAATCATTCAAATTTTTACATTATGAACTCATTTATAAATGCTATATGCTATTAACTATCCATCCATAAAGACTTAGTGTCTATACCAAATTATGCCTGATATTTTGTTTCAAATGATTGCTTAATCAAATTGCTACTGAAGTTGCTCCCTGTTCCTATCTTCAACATCTGCTTAACCTCATCTATTCGTATCAATGGAATAATTGGACTAGATATTGCCGCAAAATTTCTACGAATCCTTTTGAGAGTTAATGAAGCTTCAATAATGGAATTTATTGAGTGATTAATAAAATCTGTTGTGTACAGTAAAACGGCGTGATATGGCACTCAAGTCGCAGTAATTTAATCTGCTTAGTTGAAAACTCCTTTAAAAGAGAAAACACAGGTCTCTTTTAAATAAAAAGAAACTTCACATCCATTTCGATGCGACAATCGTTCACGCTGACCGACAAAAAGTGCAACAATTTGACATGGGTTGAACGGCATTTTAGTACAAAAAGTGAGTCACAATACTTCCGTATACCTTCCATGAATTCCATCTAGTTCAACGGAGTATCGTAAATTAGAAAAAATATCAAAATAATGTAAACTTTTTTACACCTCCATTTCTCAACCAGCCATCTAGAACTTTCAGGTAATTTTAGAATTTATTTAATCGAAGTTATCATGAGAAAGAAATTCCATTCACATCTTCTAGAATAAATCAAAAAGAAAAAAAAAAAAAAATAAAAAGGAAAAAAACAAAACATTCATTAGTTTTAAATGACAATTTTTGGCTGACATTCAGTACCCAATTCGAAGGTTGATGCAAAGATATATATCTTTTTTTGCGAAACACGATAATATTAAAAAAGTAGAATTTTGTGTTCACCAAGCTAATGCTCACCGTGGCGTATAGATGATTTTGCTCTGTTTTAAGCAGATAATTTACTATTAATGATTCATTAAATGCTAGATTAAATCCTTGATTTATTTGCAGTTTTTTGATAAAAATGAAAAAAAGAACTGTTTAACATCTGGATTAAATACAACTTTCCACTTTAAAATCCACTAGAAGCTTAGAAAAAAAAATCCTTAACATTTTCTTTGTAATTTTCTTTTCATTTTTATCTTGATAAAGGCTAATTCTACTACTAATAATATCAGGAAATATGCGAATGAACAGATGGAGTTTGGAAGAGTTCATAACAGCACAGAGATACCCGCTTACTTTACTGAACAGGTAACGATCAGATTTTGTTAGCAGTTTGTCGAGAATTAAATTTTTGAGCAGGGAAGATGAAAGAGAAAGAACCTGGCCAGTGATGATTCGTCCGATGATATGATATCGGTTTTGGTCATACCACCAAGACCAGATGATGAACCACCGCAGTCTGATGATGATGGCCTACAAATTGTACCGTTCAGAGCAGCGATAGCAGGATTCGGAGCAGCAAAAGTGTCGAACGGAGGTGCTGGTGGTGGGATAATGCCGATAGCAGCAGGTGGAGTTGCGGTTGTAGCAGTACCGTCAATACCGTTAACAATACGTTGCAAAGATGAGGGTGATATAATCGTGGTAGCAGTGCGGAAAGAATCGAGGGATGGCGTCTGGTGACGTCGTTGTTGGTGGTGCGGTGAGTGGGAGTGGTGATGATGAGACAGAAGTCCCCTTGATGCGGTTGCTCCCGGAGGATGTACTGAGTAAGTTGTTGTCATAATTGTGTTCGCGCTGCTAACATCCCTTTATGCTGCAGAAGGAAGCAATGCCAACCTGGAAATGATACCTATATGCTAGTCCTATTATAATTATTTAGCAATATAGAAGTTACGCAATATTTCAAAATCACGCAAATTATTTTAAATGCATTTACAAAAGCAACCAATGAAATTCACATACATATAAATTTACATAAATATACACAAATACTTTGAATACGTCACAGAGCTAACTAATGAAAAGATTAATTCCTACGATTAAAACTGTAACAAATAATAAAAGCATATATAATTAAAATGACAAAAATACACGCAATAAATTATAAATTACACGTATCAGTTTTCACGATTCAAAATTAAACTAAATGTAGAAATTTCAATTAAATTTAACGCCGTAAACTACAAACTATAAACAAACGAGAAAGTAAATAACAAACAAATAAACAAACAAACAAAGCCGTATGGACACATAATTCACTCAAAAATTTATCGCAAGGAGCCTATTTTTAACAAGTGGCGCATGGTCCGTAAAAATAGATATAGAATGATATGATGCTAGTTTACGAGAGTACGAGAGAGAGAGAGGGAGGGAGAGAGAGAGGATAGATTAGACAAGAAGTGTCGTAGTAGTATAAGTTTGAAGAAGATTAGGATAGAAGGAGAGAGGGAGAGAGAGAAAATGAGAGAAGAGACGAGGTGAAAAGGAGAAAAAGAGAAAGGGAAATTGTAGATGTAAATAAGTAAATAAATAAATAAGTGAGTGGTACTTATGATATGCAAGTATTGTATAACTTATTATTGTTATCAGCAAAGATAATTTTCTTGAAGTTTGATTCTTCTTGAAATTTAAATGTCTTAAAAACTATTATGAAATTGTTGATAGCATATATGATAACATTAAGTTATACCCATCACGTAATGATTGTATGTTTACTAATAACATTTTTAGTGAATTCAACTGAAAGATTAATATTTCATTTAAATCCGCATTATTTGTTATTCATTGTTGACTGAAATCTTTTAGCTTTAATCAATATGATTAAAACTTCTCAACTTGCATGAATTTTCATTCTTCGGCTTTTATGTTTGTTTGTTCTGATAACATTTCATCAAAACTTTTAGCAAATTTCATCCAACTTATTAGACTAAAGCGAATGTAAATGCTAGGAATAGCTAATTTATGTTATATCTTCAAGACTTAGCTTTTTTCTAACATTGAAATCCTTTGAGAATGATGATAATAATATGGATTAAGAAAGTGAAAGATACCATATCATATCATTATGTCATATCGTGATGAAGATAAATGAACAAGTTAATAAATGAGCAAGGCATAATCCTTCTATTTGAACTGATATCTTATCTTTTTCTTAATTATCACTTAAAGTTGTAGAAGAAAAAGAATGTAACTATGTGTATAAATTTAAAAAAATCATGATAAAATAGGATGAGTACTCCTGGATTCAAAAAAAAAAAAGAAGGAAAGAAAAATGCTACGATTATGCCAAGTTCTATTTTGTAATTTATATGACAAGTTAAAATATTATTAACTTTCTATGAAAAATCTGATTTTAAATTTGATACAAAGTTTGACTTGAAAGTTAAAAATAGATGAAGAAATGATAAGTGACTTGGAATGTTTCATTTGGAATGATATGATGATGTAGAAATGATTTTTAAAGTTTTCTTAATGATAATGATGTTAATTTAGAAATAATTATTGGAGTTTTAATTAGAAGTTTAGCAAATTTATCACTAACTTCGACAAAAAAAAAGAAAGAAATAGAAAAGGATCGCTAAATATTATTTCTTAATCTATCGGAATAAAACAATATTTAATGTGACATCTCAATCTTATCCTCATTTCAATATGTCCCATGGCCTAAAATTATCATGAATTCGATATTTCGCTCATGATTAACATTTTTAAGAAAAAAAAAAAACCAAACGGACAATTCCGCTCATGTGGTGTTAGTTAATTGTTACACAAAGAGAGCAGAAGAAATTTGCTAGCAGTTTATTAATGATTCTCAGAATTTGTCTACTTGAATTTCGGGCATTTCTTTTCCAACTTCCAATAGGTGAGAAATCATAGAATAAGCCATAAGAGTTAATTATAAACACTATTATAGCTTTTGCAAAAGAAAAAAAAAAAAAGAAAGACCGCCTGCAAATAGGAAAGTAAGTGCGCAGTTGTTTCACACATTATCTGTCAGGAAATAAACAATCAAACATTTCACATTTAGACTTTTTGTAAACTATCTGAGAATGACTCATCGTCTCATTTTAACGACGAGGAATCAAAATCAAATCAAACATTCATTACAAATCTGCTGATTAATTTTAAAGTAAACAAACAAAACAGTACTTAATAATTACAAAGAAATAAAAAAAAAGAAGTATGAAAAGAATTTTCTTTTAAATGATTCGATAATAAAATGTGAAAATATTTTATTAATTTGCTATATTAATGCACTTCAATTAAAACAAATAGCATTTCATTTAAAATATGTATGTATAAAGTGCATGAGCGCAAATGACATGCAACAATATTCCGCCAAATTAATAACAAAAATGAGGAAAAGTTTACAGCAAGAAAGTTAAATAAATAAAAGGAACATATAAACAAAAATAAGAGACGGAAGATTTTAAGGATGAAACATACGTGTATTGTAATTGAATGACAATAATGATAATAATGACGATGGTGATGAAAATAATTATGATGATGATGAATGAAAGTAATGGTAATAGTGATGACGATGATGATTGATAATAATGATGATGACGGTAGTGATAACGATATTAAAAATTGATACGAGTTGATTTATAATATTGAGAATAAAAAAGCGGAGAAAAAAAAGGGATCGTTTCACAAAACGAAATGAACACTTTAAAAAATGTTTTCTTTTGTTTTTTTTTTTTTTTGAAAAGAATTTTTGAACAAATATGAGAGTTTAAAGCAAAAAGCGAAAAAACTTGTTTTTGTCAAATGATGAAAATGGGAAAAGAAGAAAAAAGAAAACAAATATTTCATTTTTATCATATCAATTAGTTTCTTTCAATATGGAAAGTTTTTTCTTTTTTCGTAAATTATTCAACAATTTTTGCTAATTAATTAATGAATTAAATTTTTATGAATGAAATAAAGAAAAAAAAAAAAGCATATTTATTTTAATGAGAAACATTCGTTTGCACTTTAAATCTCTTTATTTCTTCTCATATTTGGCTTATTTCCGGTGAAGTTGAATCACATGATGAAATGAAATTTCCTTATTTATTTCCTTTTAAGATTAATTCTAAATTGTCCCAAATGAAAAGATATAATAAACAGACTTGGATAATTTAAAATTGTTGAAAATAGTACGAAAAAGTTTATTATTTTTGATTGTTCAATTTTTACAAGCATTGTCGGGTTATTTAAAATGTTTTACTTATTAATGTAAGATTAATAATTCAGTTAAATGAATTTAAATGGGTATAAATTAAAGAAAAAAATATGGATGGATATTTGGTTTACTTATACATAAACATAAAAAGTTTAAATTGAACAAACTGGATCGAATTATTTCATTTTATTCTCCATTTCTTTGCTGACTACCATAAATTTTAGATATTTTGAGTTGATATTTCGATTTCAAAAAAACATTTTTAGGAATGTTGAAAATACATGGCTAAGTTTCATATTTGATAACAACTTAAGACTATTTAACTATAAACTGGGATCATTTAAATTTAGTTAACTTCACAAAAATCGAAGTAGAAGAAAAATAATTCACTAATATTTTTTTAGCCAAGAAGGAAAGAAAATGAACAAAAAAGAAAAAAGAAAGCGAAGCATACTTTAGACAGTTAATTCAGATTTACATTTCTCTCTCTCTCTCTCTCCCTCTCCCTTTCTCTCCTTTTTTTCTCTTCCCCTCTCTCTCTTCTTTCATTTGTTTCTTTTAATCGTTTATATGAAACATTGAACATATTGTCAATTACAGTATCACTTTTATTGTTGTGCCAAAAACACTTTATTTCATTGGTTAGCAAAAAATTAAACCAAAATTGTTGTATTGTCATTGATTGCATATACATGAATGAACTGAAATACTCAAAGATGCGCATTTGTCCCCATCCTATCACCGCCATTTTGCACCCTTATACATTTAGTTGTTTGTAAATATGGTGACATTAATCAACTTTCCAATCTCTTCTCCGGTAAAATTAATCATTGCCTAACCTTTCCTAAATGAATTTGTTTGTACGAATGTGTACACACCCGTGTATGTGTCTGTCTGTGTATATATTTCATTTTGTCCTCTATATACTATGGGTGGTATATATCTGTCATCTACTGTCACCCTACACTCGTTTTATTCCAATGTTGATAAAATGATGGATTTTCAACGACAAGTTACAACAAATTCTCTCTTTCCTAACCTTTTCTTCAGCAAAACAAATTTTAAACATTAATTGAAATTTAATTTTAAGATGAAATCGTTCTGCTCCATTTCAGTAAACTTTTGCATTTCCTAATTTATTTATATTTCTATCAATTTAAATTTAAATAATAAAAAAAAAAATTCGCATTCCATTTGGATATTTCTTCGTATTTTGTTTGTATTTCAATGATTTGTTCCGCTTTGCGTTAAATATTGCTTTTCTAATGGTTGATTTTTTTCAATAATACATTTCTCAACTTTTTACTTCACGAATAATTTAAGAGATACAGAGAGAGAGAGAGAGAGAGAAAAAAAAAAAAAAAAACGGAATTGACATATATAAGAGTTAGTAATTTATACAAAAATGTTCAAATGCAATAAGAGGAAAATTTTAACTTTATGAAAGCATACCTTATATGATCTTTAAAAGAGTAATAATAAATTTTAGAAAAAGAAAAAAAGGGAAAAAAGACTTTTTTGAGATCAAAATTTATAAATACCTTATAAGAAAGGCACTTCAAGCGCAAATATACCAAATAGTACTTGAAATTAATTACTTGCATATGTGTTATTATTGGAATTACTTTTGTATATGTATTATGAGATGAGAAGATATGAAAATTAATTATTATTCCTAATAATGATCTTAATTAACAAGATATAATTTAATTGGATTAGTAATTTATTTAAAAAGTGAACTCAAAAAGTAATCAAAAAAAAAAAAAAATGTGATAAATCTTTTCAATCATACAATTATTTGCACTTAGTCAAATATATTTTCCAAAAATTTCACCAAAAAGAAAACAAAAAATAACATTTCAGAAGTGGATTAAATATCATATTACACTAATCTTAGAGAGATTTGAAATTAATTAAATTAATAAAAAGAAAAGAAAAAGCAGTGAAAATATGAAACAAATGATTGAAACGATGAAATGTAAGAAGCAACTAGTAACAGCTATTCGAATTTTGATTTAGTGATCGATGATTAAATTTGTCAGAATTGTCTGAAAGCAATCATCTTCAATATTTCCATTTTTTTTTTCTTTTATCATAAATTATGTTTACAAATGTGTTTGTAAACATAAATATTTCCGCCCACTATTTTTTTTATATATATAAATTTTAATAGAATTAATGTTAGAGGGAAAAAAGAAAGAAAAAATATGAAAGAGTTGATAATTTTCCGCACACTAAATTGAACTGAACAGCACTACAAAAGGTCTTTGACCTTTAACATTTATTATCGTTTGGATTAAATTGAAATTGTAATGAAAATGGAAGAAATTTTTTTTTTTTAGGCATTTGTTATTATTTATATTAGTCATTTGGATTAATTTGATATTTTGAAAATTTAATAGAAAATTTTTGTGGAATGAAATGAAAATGAAAATAATTTCAAAGATTTATTTAGGTATAATAGTTTCTAAGTAATAATATTAAAGGAATATGAAAGATTTAAAAATAAAACAATCAATGAGAAAAGTTAGTCAAACATTCGAAACTAATTGATAAATTTGTTTTGAAGTTGAAAAAGTGTTAAAGTACAGCTAGCTTCGTTAGCTTATCAGTAATGCCTTCCGTTTTACTTTCAATTAATTATTCACCACAATATCTGATTGATAACTGTAATAGAATACTTGTATAAAAGTTATTAAAAGTAGTATAAACTAATTATTATATTTTATTCATTACTAAATTACCATATTTTAATTAATCATTAATTACTTTTATGACTATTCAAAGTGCTATCACGGCAGAAATAATTAATAACATATAATAAGAGCAGAAATTCTGTTACATTACTGATGGGGTCATAGGTTATACGGAAAGAAAGGGAGGGAGACGAAATTAACGAAAGAATTTTCATCATTAACTGGCATATTTCTCGATCTTTACCTTTTTGCTTCCGAATTTTTGAGCAAATAAATTTTAGTTAAACAAACGACATATGCCACCTGACACTTTTATCAAAAGCAGTTGATAATGGTTAGTTGCCAGTAGCTCTTATCTTCTTTCTAGCTCGGAAAATTAAATTAAACATTCTTAAGGGTTAGTTAAAAAAAAAAATGAAGAAAATAAGGGGAAATAAAACAAAAAGAGCAGAAATCAAATTTTTTTTTTTTGAAAAAAAGAAAAAGAAAAGAAAAAAAAATGAAACATAACATTTGATGAAAAAATATTTAAATCTTATTATGAATACTTCAATAATCCTATTTAAATGATAATTACTAATAAAAATTATATTTTCTTTTCTTTAAAATTCAGTAATATATTTTAATCTGTCTGTGTTATTTTTTTGTCTCTTTCAGCTCTACATGAGAAATAATTTTTAAATGATATAGCAAAATTTTCCGCCTATTTTGATATCTAACATTAACATAATTTTCTTTTTATTTATTTATTTTTTGCTGAATGTTTGAAAGATTTAAAAGATGTAAGAATGTTTGAAAAAAATGATATGATTTTGGTGAATTTTAAACAATTTAAATTCATGCATTATAATGATGTTTAAAGAATGTTCGCATGAAATGAGGCCAAGAGTTGATGGAGAAGAGCGCTCAGATCCGTGACATCTGAAGAAGGAAAAGGACAGGAAAAGCGGAAGAAGGAGAAGAAAGAGAAGAAAGAGAAGGAAACAGAAGAAGGAATAACAACAATCTCCGGTTGACTGAAATTAAAAGAAAGAAAGAAAAAATGAAATGACCTATCTTCTTTTTTTTTTTTGACTCATAAAAGTAATTTATAAAAAACTTTTAAAACTAAAAAATTCCTCCTGAAACATTTGATTAGAAGTTGAATAAATGGCATAAGTAAGAAAAGAAAGGCTATCTTCACTGATAAAATTTTAAATGACATTAATTGTGGTACCAATGAGATGGTAACCTGAAAGTAATATCCAGAAGACAACCGGTCAATCTGGATTACATATGAATGAGCATATAAAGAGATATATGTGTGATGCTAGTGAAGGAAGAAAGACTGATCAATTTAAAAAAAAAAAAAAAAAAAAAAAATTAACAAAGCTGTTCTTTTTGAAATTGATTATTAAAGTGGACAGAATTTCCACCCATTAAGGAGGGTAAGTCTAGTGCAAGTAATAGCTATAATTCTAGTATCTGGGATTGTTATTATTGTGATTAAGAAGCAGCTCTGCATGTTTGGTATTTTAGGACTATTTATTAAATCTATTAGATAAATAACTAGGCTTCTAAGTTGAAGTTTACTTTGAAAAAAAAAAAAAAAAAAAACGTATATTTACGTTTTTGCTATCACTAATGATAAGCATTGTAATTATCAGTGTAATAATCAAATAGCCAGAAAGTGACGTTTATTTGGAAGAGAAGAAACGGCTATTATCTCTTTATGGTCAACGCTAATATAATTCAATTTAATTTTACTATCAGTGTGGGAGAATGTTACTTAATTTATTTCTGTTATTACGTCTCGCTGTTATATCACTTATACGTATATCCTAAAATAGTCCATTGCACAACGTGAAAATCACGGAAAAGCAATAAGAGAAGAAAATGAGATTGTAAGTAATAAGTGAAATGAATATTTAAATGAAAGTATTCTCGTTTAAATATAACACAATAATAAATAATGATAGTGATAATAATAATAAATTCTTGCAATAGTAATAAAATTTTATAAAGTTTATGATGACAATAGGATGACAGGATGGTTACAGAAATTTGATATTAAAACGAGTGACAGCGGAAAATTCTTTTCGCCCGAGGGAAAGCAGACCAGTTGATTGGTTGGTTGGTTATATGAAGAGAAAGAAGCAAACAAGCAAATGGAAAGAAGACCACTGTTGCAATGGACAAATATATCAAATCAAAATGATCATTGTCGTCCTTGTTGTCATTGTCGTTGTCATCCATCGCCGCTGTCGTCATCGTCATCATTTGTTATTAAAGTGAGCAAAAGACAACCCCGATGAGAGCAATGCAATCATAGACAATCACCGCCTCCTACCTGACGCCAACATTCCAATCTTTCTGCTTTGCTCTACATATGATTGAATGACTAAATAATACTTCTATGTCTCCAAATTATTACTATTAAGCTACTACTACTACTACAACTTTTTGCATCTTTCATTTTTGCATTATAAAAATATTGCATGCACTATATTACATTATCAAAAGTGAAAATTTATCACAAATATCTTTTTAATTATTTTAATTTTGCTAAAACATTTGCTATTATAGTCTTGAAAATAATGAATGACAAATGCTGATTGATAAGTTTAAAATGAGCAAAAGAACTGATCTCTAATGAATCATTTGATTGTTACTGAAATGAAAATTTTAGCAAATATTGCTATGCTAATATATTTATGCAAAACATTCAAATTTTGACTTATATTCAATCAAAAAATGGAAAAAAAAAATCTATTAATTGAGGAAAAAAAAAAAGAAAAGAAAGAAATTGTAACAAAAAAGGAAAAGTGGCAAAAGCAAAAATTCACATACAAAAAAAAAAAAAATTGAAAATATAATGAAATCTTTAAAATACAAAAATTCTTTTATGAAAAAAAAAGGAAGAAAAATGACACCTTTTTTTATGGTAGTTGACAAAGGACATATTTTAAGACATATTTTAATCATTAAACATTAAATTCTATCAATTTATAAAATGAACGAATATTATTGCATTTAAAAAAAAAAAAAAATTTTTTTTTTTTTGAAAGGTATGAAGATTTTTTTCTCAGTATTTTCATTCCATAGCAAATATGTATATATTAGGTTTTTGATTTGAGCTAAAAATGATGATGATGATGATGACAATGAACGAAAAATGATAATATGATAAGCTAATCAAAAATTTCCTTTGGAAAAAAAAAAAAAACGGAAAATGAAAAGCGGTAGAATCAGTCAGTTAATCATTTGTTAGGTGTTGTTTAAAATCGGATTTGTTTACCGTATATCATCGGATCGGTTTACAAATACACAGAAATATACAAATAAAATTTTCTCTCCATAAAAGAAATTAAATTCCAAACAGTGTCTGTCTGTTTAAATTTGTGTTTTTTTTTTTTTTTTTTTTTGAAATGATTCATTCGTCCTTCATTTTGTCGTAATAGTTTATCGTTTGTTCGATTGTGACCGATACTTCTTGAATGCTTAATAAATTATATTTAATTTATGATAGAAATGCTATGGAGAGAAAGAGAGAGAGAGAGAGAGCTACTGATAAATACTTGATATCTGGGAAATTATTTAAGAAAATTTGTTTCCTGTCTTTCTCTCTCTCTCTCTCTCTCTCTTTTATTGAGAAAGAAATTTAATTTGAACATTTTGATATTACTCATAAAATGATGATAACAATTAAAGAGCAAGGAATCATTGGAATGATAAATGTTTCAAGCATTTTGTCATAAAATATTGTCAGAATATAACGAATTGTAATGTAGCTTCAAATGCAATTTACTGATTATAGAATGTTTGAATTGATTGAAAAAATTTTAAATAAGGTCAACAGCATTGTATGAAATATTAACCTAACGATACTTCTAATGTTTTATTCATTTATATTTGAAATTAATCTGAAAAAGGGAAAAATATTTAACGATCAGTGATGGTTAACGAGTAAAACAAACATTAAGTGATATGATAGTAATACGGAAAAATAAAAAAAAAAAGTGGAAAGATAATAGTTCATCCGTATGATACATATGATAAAATTGAAACAATGTTAGGAATTTTAAGATATAAAAATATTTAATTACAATGAAATAATATAAATGAGATAAGAGAAATTATATTTATATTCAAAGAAGGCGAAGAAAAAAAATATTTAAAAATAATGGGTTTGACAATCAATCAAGAAGCACATATATTGTATATGTCCATTCTATTCACTCATTCTTTCACTGACCATTCACTGACCACATCATCCTTTCACTCCCAATATCTTTTCCGATTAATTTTATGAACAAATTCCAGTTTGGATATTTCATTCTTACAGTTTATTCCGCCATTTTTAACTGCTACACCAATTATCTCTTTCTTTCTCTCTCTCTCCCTCTCTCTCTCTCTCTCTTTTTCTTTCACCTTTTTATAAAAGAATGAAATGAAGTTTAAAACTAGATGATCTTCCTATCAGTCTCAGTCTAACTGAGGAATTTACAATTCAATCCAATAATACCTGCTGTATAAATAACTTATTTTACCTGTTCAAAAAAAAAAAAAAAAAAGATTGTAATCATACCTCAGAAAGGCGTTAATTTTATTAGCCTAAAATTAACAATGATGTAAATTAAACTATATCAAAATGATAATTAACAGATCAAAAGAAATGATAACAGATTATACATACTCTCTAAATATATGGAATTTAAATTTTAAAAAGCACTTAAAAATGCATGTGAGAAGTATGGAAATAATAAAACTTAATAAATAGTATGATGCAATGAAAATTTTTCCGATGAAAACGATCTATCAAAAAGGTCAGACAAAATCAACGAAGGGTTTAATTTAATACGAATTCATAAATTCGTATTAATTGTTATGGAGCAACAAAGGTCATCGACATTGTCTCCCCTTACCCGCCCATTTCCCGTTGCTTACCCGCCATCACCCTTCCCGTGTCTCATTCTATCTACCATTGTGAAAAGATGCATATATCATTGTGTTTCCAATAATTTTAATTATTTAATTATCATTACAATGTAAATCAATAAAGAAAATTGAGCAAATTCATCTAATAAACACTAACAATTTTACTATAAATTATGATATTATTAATAAAAATAAATCAAAATTTAATTTATACAATTTCAATCTTTTTTTTTTGCCGATAAAAATATTGTTAATTTAGTTTTTTTTTTTTTTTTTTAAATCAATAAAATTAATCTATCTAAAAGATATGAAAGTAGCAAAAAGAAAAAAACAATAATTACTTTTCATCAAAGATTTTGATGGACAATACCGCCACCAATTTAATTACAATCGCATAACATTTATTCAATTGCTAAAACATTAATCTTTTGCATATTTATTATGTCAATTAAAGAGCGAAATATGTAAATTATTGCATGTAAATTTATGAGAAAAAATAAAATATAAATAGTAAGAAATAAAATAAATATTTGTTTGTCATATTTTAATATATTTTATCTGTCGAATACTGTTTCATTCATTTTGGGTAAGAAAAATAAAACAAAAAAGAAAATAAAACAGAATGAATGAGCAATCAAATACAGATAAATCTGTGTTTCAAAAAAAAAGTCTTTTTTTAGCTCATTATATATTCAGATGTATAATATTGCTAATAAAAATAATAATATTAATAATAATAATAATAAAATAATAATAATAATAATAATTAAAATGTAACAAAAAAAATTTTTCTTAATATAAAGTTACCAAAGAGAAATAAATTTTAATAAGTCTGATTTATTTTAATTTAATTCCTATACTTTGCATAATCCATTTCTTAGTCAATAAAATGTTTTTTTTCTTCTTCTTTGTTAATAAATGATTAATAATATTGCGAAAATAAATTTTATTAAATTATAATTAATTTTTCTTTCTTTTTTTTTTAAACAAGCAAGCCTTAAACATTAAATTGATTGAAAAACCTTAAAAAAAAATTCTTTCATACGAAATGACATTCAATTTTATATTATGCATTGTCCAAAATGACGAATTTTTCCTTTCTCTCTTTTTCCCTCTCTCTCTTTCCTCTTTTTTTTCCCTTTTTTGCATTTCCATTTAGCCATAGCTAGGCTAATATGTACTTTTTTAAATGATGCAAACGATGATGTCATTTTCAAATTATGCTCTGAAATAATTTAAACTAAATGCATCATATAAACTTTGTGCCATAGCATACTTTTTTAAAGTATATTTCAGTTATTAAAATTATTAAAGAATGTCAAATGAAAAATGACATCGAAGAGAATTGATAAAAAAAATTTCAGTACAATTGTTTTGCAGACATCATATTAGCTCATTTAAAAATCTAAAAACATTTTTGCTACTGCTTTTAAATTATTGCATACCTGAATTTGATACCTGAATTACAAATTACTATGATATACATTCTTCCTTCTTTTTGCTATAATCCAATGTATATCATTGTTTTGCAACAATTAATGTGTGTTAAAATACAAATGAAAGTTAATAACATAATTAAATAAGTAATGCTAAATATCCCAAAAAGTTTAAATTTGTAAAAAAAAAAAAAAAAAAGAGGAAAAAAATGTTTTCTAAAATTTTTAAATGCAAATTATAACTTTTATTAAAATGCTAAATTAATAATAGTTACGATATTTTAGGTAAAAAAAAATATAGATTAATGTTTAATTAAGAAAAAAAGCTTCAAAAAAATATATAAATTAGTAGTAAAATCATATTTTGAAATCCATTAAAATTATATAAGTGGGCTATATATTTCTTTTTTTTCTTTCTATTTGAAACATTCTCAAATTTTCAGTTATGAAAATTTTCATTTCAATGCTATGTTACTTTGTGACATAAAAATTATTTTCTCTTATCATCTTTTTCCATTATGTCATTAATATTTTCCAAATCGTTCATTTTTTTTTCCATTTTCTAAATTTTATTTTATTTCACATTTGAATTACAAATTTTCATAGTGAAATTTATTGCCAATAAAACAAATATACGGCATCTATATACTTCTCTGTATCAAAAAATTATCATTTGCTTATCATTCTAACATAATACTCGCATTATCAGTGATTTGCTTGTCATAAACATTAGGCACTATATATTTCAGTAAACAAATTAATACAAAATAAAACAACAAAAGAAAAGAGAGGTGAAATATTTGAAATATTTAAATTTAAATAATATTTAAAATTTCTGTTGATTGAAAATTACTATTAAGAAAAAAAGAGTTGAATAATAATTAGTTTAGAAATAAATAAATTATTTCTATTAATATAATTAATGTGTTTGCTAGACAGACAACGTTATAAATGATATCATCATCGATGATATCATTTATACTAAATGATAATAACTTATTACTAATTGTAAGTGCTAGGCTAAATGATATGAACTGAAGTTGGCTGATAAAAAAAAGCCTAGAAAAATAAATGCTTTACATTAATTGCGCAAATAGTTAAAACAATGTAAACGTTTTGAAAAGCCCAAAATAGGCAAATGGCACATGGATGAAATGACAGTCATTTGTGGACAATTCATTTTACCCTAATTTTTAATGAAAAAAAAAAAAAACAGAAAAAAAAAAATGGAAAAACTTTTTAGATTCCATCAAATGAATGGAAGAGTTAATAGAGAGAAAGGCAACTAAAAGAAATACATCAGTAAATAAAGTTTAAATAAAAAAAATCATTTTGAACTATCTATTCATTGGCGATTACGACACTTTCAAAATTTTTCTATTATCATCGTTTATCAGTCATTTATATGATTAACACTGATTATCACTACGATAAAAAGTAATTTCAGTATTATCGGCTATTGTTTACGATCACTAAAAAAAAGCTAATTGTTCCGTTTTTTAATTTCGTTGAAAAAACTGTAATAGACAAGCTAAATTCCTTATGTATAAATTATTCTAGAATTATTCTAGTAATTTTAATAAAAAGAAATCAGTAATACTTCAATATTTCAACTTTTTAATGTGATATTTCTCGTAAATGACAAAAAAAAAAAATTTTTTTTTTTTTAAATATAATAAATTTAACGCTAAAATATAATAATTTTAACATCAAAAGTTTTTAAATTACTATCATTTTGTAAAATTTAATTTAAACTATTGAAAATTATTCCTTACCAAAAGTAGAGAGAATAAATTGATCGAAATGAATGATCCGTTTGAATTTTGATAAATAATTCAGGAATGATATGATTTAAATAACGTTTGAATAACACTTAATTGATTAACGAAATAATCCAACTGATAATCGTAGCATATCCCAACACAAATATATTTATTCTCAAATTGTCCTAAAAAAAAGAAAAAAAAAAAAGAATATCGGAAGAAAAAAAAGAAAAATCACTCCACATATGGTTTTAATTTTTACAAAACTATTTGTTTACAACAGATGGCAAATCAAAAGCGGAAAAAAGGCGCGCAAATGTGCTATAAAATATTTGCAACGAAAAAAAAAGGGAATAATAATGCATAAAGTTATAAAGTTACTTTAAGAAAAAAAAACTGTACAAATAAGTAAGTAAGTGAGTAATTGTGCATGTAAATAAACTATTATATGTAAAAATTTTCAAATAAAATTGGTTGAAATTATAAAATAAAATGATTATTATTTGTTATTGAATAA